AGTCCCTTATCTTCTTTTTTCTTTTCTAATCATAAATTATTTTTTATTGCGATGGCTTATAGACCATGGTAAATGTATCACAGTAAATTTTAAACGGTTTTTTACTCTTTCTTATCTTATCTGAACCGGTTATAAGCAAAATTGCAGATAACAACAACATAAATCCGGACCGAACTAATTTCAACACAACACAAGCGTAGAATTACTGGAGTAAATTCAGTGTATTTATATTTAAATATTTTAACTATTTAATCAATTATTTAACCTTTACAGATTTTGACTGATTTTGGAACTAGGAGTCAAACATAAAACTTAACCCGTTTTCTTGACCCACAGTTCCTGTATAAATCTCTTTAGATCTTTAATTTTATATTGATAATCAGTAATCTATCGTATATCATATAACCAGTAATCTATAGTTATACTTGCAAATTAAAGATGTGCAAAGAGTCTTGTAGATGTAGATTATGTTCTAAAAAATGTTTAGAACGTAAAGATCCGCTAAAATGCAGCCTTTGTAACGGTATTTTTCATCGTAAATGTGCTAATCTTGAACCAAATGACGTAAATCGAATGAAATTAGACAATAGTTTCATAAACTGGTATTGTTTGGCATGTACTACTGACATATTTCCGTTTACTAATACTGATATTACCACTCTAACTAATGAAAATTCGTGTAACACTTACATACCCTGTAGTACAGAAACAAAAGCTAAATCTAAAGTAAGTTTTGCCAGGGTGAGTTGCAAAACTTGTAAAAAGCTAGGAAACAAATCAAAAATGGCGGTTTGCTGGATATGCGACGCTTATTCGCACAATAAATGCTCAGCGGGCGAGTTAGGATGCAAAAGCTGCACACGTGAATTGTTTCCTGGTTTCGAGGTATCACCTAGACAATTATACACCGTACACGGTAATTACGAGAATAGCGCAAAATTTAACCCATACCATAGAAACCATGACTCTAATTATATAGGTAATACTTTTGAAGAAAACAATGACTTAAACTTTAATCCATGGGATAACTGCTCAGATGTACTAAATAGCTGTAAATACTACGAACCACGGCAAATCAACACGAGTAGGCCTTATGAATTTAAAGTTCAATCTCTTAATATTCGATCTTTGAGCAAAGCAATCTCTAATATACGTGATGAAATTGAACAGCACCTAAAATTTGATGTTCTGTGTTTCAACGAAACAAACTGCACGGTTGTAAGTATGGCATTTCAAGGAAAAGAATTAGAGTTAGAAGGCTTTCATCCCCCCTTTATTCAGGCTCCCGCAAGGGACTCTGGTAAGGGCGGTGGTCTAGTAACCTATGTAAACAAGAATCTCTGTGAATTATCTGATGTCACTGCACGATCTGAATTATCTTATAGAGATGATCCAAACGTTGGCGAATTTCAGTTAATAGAGATAGCTCAAAATGGCCACAAAAACGTCATACTATGCAATATGTATCGGTCTCCCAGTGGTAATGTCCCCAGTTACTTAGAAAAATTGGAAAACACCCTAAAAGATTTGGCGCGACATAGCAACAAAAACGTATTATTTCTAGGTGATACCAATATTAATCTATTAGAATACGGCGTAAATGACCATACTACTAAATATGTTGATATTTTTGCAGAGTATGGATTCGCACCAACGATATCACGACCAACTCGTATTACTTGTCACAGTGCTACACTTATTGATCACATTTTCGTAAACCAATGCCATGCTATAACAAAGTCAGGCATTAGAACTGAATCGCTATCTGATCACCTTGCCACATTTACCGGCATACTTCTCGACACTAATAGAATAGGAAATAAATTGAAAAATGAAACTTGTGAATCATCAAACCGAGTAATAAATGAAGAGAAAATCGCTCGTTTTGAGGAGAAAATAGCGTCTATTGATTGGAATTTTTTACACAACGTTGACGGGACAAATACAAAATTTGAAGCTTTTCACACTAAATATGAAGAAGTCTATAATGAGTGTTTTCCAGTTAAAAAGAAAAAATCAAACCACAGAAAAAACTCTAAACCGTGGATATTAGATTGGCTTCAATGTGCATGCAATCGAAAGAACCAACTATATAAATCCTTTGTTAAAGAGCCTACTGAAAAAAATGAAAAAACTTATAAGCATATGAAAAAGTTTGTTGAAAAACAAGTAGATATTGCGAAAAAGAAGTATTACGCATCATATTTTAAAAAGCATGCGAGCAATAGCAAATTACAATGGCAAATGATTAATCAAATATTAAACAAGAAATCAAAAGAAAAAATAAAAATAAGTAAGATTAACTATAAAAATAGAGTTATAACCGACTCACAAGATATAGCTGACAGTTTTAATGATTATTTTACTAATATAGCTGAGAACCTAAAGAGCGAAAACAATCTGGTTCGCGGTGCAGGATCAGTAGGACATTCTCTTCCCCAATCAAGTCGATGTGATTTTGATATGGAGCTGGAGGACTCCTCGCCCTCCGAAATTGCTGAAATCATACATGATCTTAAGAACAAATCGACTTCAGATATGAATATACAGCCTCTTAAAAAGGTTTGCAATGTGCTGTCTCCAGTAGTTAATCACCTGATCTCACACTCCCTTCACGAAGGAGTATTCCCCGAAAAGCTCAAACTTGCTAAGGTTATCCCACTCCATAAAGGAGGATCGCGCAGCGAAATTACAAACTACAGACCAATCTCACTTTTGTCCTGCTTCTCAAAGATATTCGAAAAAATAATGCATGCACGTTTAGTAAAGCACCTAAAATCACGTAATATTCTATATGCGTCGCAATTTGGTTTTAGATCGGGTCACAGTTGTGAACATGCGTTGCTTGAAGCTCAGTTTAACATACATAAAGCTCTAGAAAGGAAGCAAGTGTCAGCATTACTGCTTCTTGACTTCTCCAAGGCGTTTGACCTAGTAGACAGTGAGATACTGCTACATAAGCTGGAGCACTATGGTGTAAGAGGCCTTAGCTTATCCTGGTTTGAGTCTTATCTAACTAACCGGAAACAGTATGTTCACGTCAACGGTTGCAGTTCAGAAAAAATGGGATTGGAACATGGAGTTCCTCAAGGGTCCATTCTTGGTCCTATATTGTTCATTATTTACATAAACGACCTTGCAAATGTAAGCGATATAGCCCATTATATTTTCTTCGCTGATGATGCAAACATCATCGTTTCTGCCGACACGTACACTGAACTGAACATGCGTGCAAACAGAGTATTAAATACTGTACAGACATGGGTTAAAAACAACGGTCTTAAACTCAATATAGGAAAAACTAAATACATGATATTCACTAACAGATTACCAGAGGATATAAATATTAGTATAGAAGGACAGCGACTAGTGAAAAGTGAACATGAACGATTTTTAGGTGTCATTATTGACTCAAAACTTAGCTGGAGCCAGCACATTAAACAGTTAAAGACTAAAATATCCAGAAATGCAGGCGTAATGATGAAACTTAAAAGTTCCATTCCGAATAAAGCTCAAAAAATGCTATACAATAGTTTAATTCAATCTCACCTGTATTACTGCGCTACTGTTTGGGGTACTAAATCTTTAAATTCCATTCAGTCTTTATTCTCTGCTCAAAAGAAAGCTATTCGCGCCACTGATTCAGATTATCATAACTATTTTTACGACAAAGAAAAACGTAAACTACCATCTCACACAAAATCCATCTTCAACAAAATAGGAATTTTGGCTCTTCCTAACCTCATTGCTAAAAGCTGTCTAACTTTGATGCACAAGGTTTATATGGGAGTAGCACCATCGAGTATCTGTAGTATATTTGAAAAATCACCGCTTAGACAAACGGAAAGGAGAAATCCAAAGTATTTTGAAATTAAGTTCAACAGATTACGGATCACCGATTATAGCATCTCTAACGTAGGACCACGATTATATAACAACACGATAAACGAAATAAACAAAATCCTTCCCTTCAACGTACCTAAGTTACAAGATAAGTTTATTAATTCATACAAGGACAACATTGTACGTTACTTACTGGACAAACAAAAACTTGACCTAGAAAACCTTTCGTGGACGGACAAGAACTTTGTCCTTTACAACTTTTAAACAAAATATTAGCAAAATATAACAGCTGTAAGAATCCTAAACGTTAGTGCACTGTGCAGTCAAATAAATGAACTGCGAAAATGCATTTGACAGTCAGTCACTGCAATTTATTCTGCAACTTATTTTTCAATTTTCACTGCCACACTTAGGCTTATCTTGCCTACACATTTAAAAAAAAAACGAAATTCCTTGCGCACCGCGTACTAAAATTACTTGGATTTCTACCGCTTTGATAAATGACTACATGAAGATGGGGAGTTAATATTGTTGATTTATATAATATAGATTATTTATTCTTTAGTGTAGATTAACTTTATTTTTATATATTTTACCAAGTGTGAAGGATCAACCATACGTTATTGATATTTTTGAAATATTTAATGATACATTGATATAATAATAAATGATTGTAATATTTTTATTGAGGCACATGCCACCCCATCGCGGGTTTACTACTACTAGTTAAACCTAACTCCTTGCTATAGCTATAGCCAGTAGGTGAGGCTGGGATTATTTCATCACCTTCACTAAGTTCAGCTCTTATGACGCAATCATTATGACGCAATCATTAAACAACAACGACTAGATCACTTACGTAATCTCCAGTTCTAGAGATATTATATACTTACAGTATTTGTGATTCAATTATTAGATGAGTAGAAACTTTACACACAAAACAAGTCACTGACAATCTGTACAATATTTTGGGAGCCCTTTTTAACCGAGCCGGCTAACTGACTAATGGCTATCAATATCATAAACTTAGTGGTAAATAAATCATCGAGTAGATTTATCGTGTCTTCTTGGCTCGAGTATATTGATAAATGTTAACGGAAATTCGATCAATGCGATAAAAGACAACACTGCGATAAAAGAAAACAATCCATATTTACCACATCGAGGGATCTGTTGCATCTTGGGCTCTGAGGTGATCTGTGAATCTCTATTTTCTGGAACTTCTCTGATATGTGTCTTGGTCTGTTGGAAAATTAATGTCATTGACAAACAGACAGATATACACACATACGGACATACAGACTTACTTACTGACTAAGGCAAAGTCAAATACAACGTGTTGACGCTAGCCTTACCCTTCACTGTCAACTTGACACTTGACAGTATTCCACAACTTACAGAAAGGTCATATTATAATTAACAGATAAATTGGCGGGAAACTTTACTGACTCACATACTGACTCACATACTGACATTTGACAATGTACCGAGCTGAATTAACTTAACAAACTTACTGCTTTACAGACAACATTCTAAACTTACACGGTCTCTGAGTTGATACCAAGGATCTCCTTGTTGTAGAGCTGGATATCTTTGGGTTTATTGTCACTGGACCTCCAGGGAGGTAATTCCTGCTCTCTGTGCTTCATATATCCTAACTGTAAATACAGTAGGTTATTAACCTCGCCTTATTGTATGGGGACATTACACTGTATTCAATTAAATCGGCCTGCCAATTGAAATTTGAATCTAGTAGAGTATTCAGAAATCACATATAAGATTACTAATCAGGTACATACAAAGTAAAGTAAGTTAAACCGATCCCTTGATCACAACTTTCATTAATTGAGTCAGTTCATGGTTCTAGAAAAGAAAGCAAGACGCAAGTACTTACGTTCATGGGTGCAGTCTCGCCCAGTTTGTAAGCTTTAGGTTTGCCGTGTCCTTGTCCCTTGAGACTCTTCTTTCTGGCTCCTCCTCCAGCAGAGGACCTCCTGCCTCCTGACTCCGCTGAGTTGTTCAACATGCCGTCCTCCTGAAACAGTAATCTCTTATTATCACTAGAAAATATTAGATATTTATAGAAACCACTGCACTGGAACGTTCGTCATGATGTATGAGTATACGGTGACTGAGGATTAACTACAAATCAGGATAGCACCGCCGTGACTGCGGGTACGCTGTCGTTATTTGTTCCCACTCTTACAGTCTCCTGTACTAGAAAACTACTTAGTTATCTCTAACTTCGTTAGGCGCCTCGTCGCTCTTTGAGAGGTTTCGAGGAATAGATTACGTATTTTCATAAAAAGCTCCTTGATAAAATAAAGGGTGAGCACCCAACTCCCAAGATGAGATTTGCTCCAGTAATGTTTCAGTCAACTTTGACAGATCATCTTTGGGACGAACATCACCCTGAATACTGTTAAATGACCATATATGGAATAATTACAGAGTTACAGGTCTTTCTATGCTTACTTTCATTACCAAAACATCATAAAGTCATGAAATTTTGCAAAATGTTTTTTGTTATACGCAAAACACACGACCAAATATCGCCACAGATATGCCACATTGCACTTTTTAAAACCCTGGGTGTTCGATTTCAACAAACTGATATTGAGAGGAATTTAAAATCATGTGATATGGATTACGGACATGTGGCTGATAATTTGATTTTAAAATATCTGAGACTTGCTGTTGGAAAGAGGTTCGGTACTCCGTCATTACCCAAAGGTTCATTGAAATCACGCCATTTACTCATTTTATTTCCTCTTTAAAATACCTGATAACCAGATATACACGGAATTTAACTCTTGGAACGAAATATTGATTACATTTGATAACATTTGACATTGATCGAGAATTTGGAACATAGAAGCTTTCTTTTAGAAAGCACACGTAATAATATGGTACAAAGTTTATGGTTGATCAGACAGGACATTGTTAAACTTACTTCTACCACTTCCTCAACAATTAGTTCAAGCTCATCAACAATAAGGTCAAGCTCCTAGAAGAGTTAATGATACAGTGCAAAACAAGTCAAAATTCCCCGTCGTTCTATTCTATGATTTCTACATTATGAACCTATGAACTACCGGCGGCCACATCTCAGCCACAATATTGCCACAAGTTTTAGTAACTAAAATTCCTGCACAGGATAGAGCAGGGTCACTGGGAGAACAGTGGTTTTAAAACCACGAATTTGACCAGTAGCCTTTTTGTCTTTGAAGCCCTAGAGGTCGTCGTATTCTCACGGGAAATACATTAAATTTATCTTTATCATTCATATCATGCAACGATCACAGCCTTTTTTAAGCATGCTAATTGCGTTGACAAGTATTACATCAGCTTACCTCAGTAATATCGAGAGGGGGAGGAGGAGGGGGAGGGTGGAGTAGATCCCATACTTGTTGCTGGTAGAACCTGAACAAAAACAGTGGTGAGGTGTGGTGGATTGTGAAAACCGCAAATTTAACGGATTCTGATAAAATCACAAGATCACTTATTTCTAGATATTTGGTTGGCGAGGAACGTACCGTTTCCAAACAGCACGCTCGTAAGAAGGAATAGGTTTTCCGTAGTCCCAGCCTCGTCTCAGACACTTTGGTTTCCACACTACATCGTGTTCACACAGCCACTTCCAGTGCCAGGACACCTGAAGAGAGATATGTTCGTTAGTAGATATTATCTAGATATATTATCTTGTCAGTAATAATTACTGGGTAAGCAGTAAGCACGAAGTAGGGGCTGGGTAAGGATGAGGTTACGCAGCCTAAATTAAGGTTACGTATGGCCAGGCTAAACTAATGAAGGTCCTGTGTGTAATTAACCGAGAAACCCTATCAAGGATACCCCGCATAAACTCAGTAACTTGCCTGACGATTAAGTGGAGTATTGTAAACCCTTGACACCCACTTAGACCGTCTATAACCAATATTCTCCTACTTACTTACACACAACCACAATGCCAGTAGCATGGTGTGTTGTACTGAGGAAAGGTAAACACACGCTAGTGAGATATTGAGTATTGTTATACCGGACACTAACAACTCGCCAGCCAGTGTCAGCCAGTCATCATCCAGCTAAAACCGGATATTATGTGATACTAATGTCTTATTTTTACAACAGCTGTGCGATTCTAATGTCATTCTTTATTTATATAAATAACAGCTATTTTACGTCATCTGGCCAGATTTGATCAAATGTCCGTGCGAAATCTTAACTACAGCGACCAATGTTTAAATCTACTTTTCATGCACTTGTCAGTATGAACTTTACTATTCAGCACAATATGAATTGAATACGGTCCTAAAATTCGGACCACAAGCACATCATATCGTCATCTGTGCACGCCAGATCTCAAATGAAATGTGCTAAACAAAACCGCGCTACACCACGCCTATTAGTTTTCTGTAATTCGCGGGTGTCATCTATTAGCGTCATTATAGAAACCACGGAATAAAATATTTCCTTGTGTTTGACTTACCAAGCTTGCTTGAGCAAGAGTACGGGGGTCAAGGTATCCCAGTATCTTGAGACTGATGTGTTGGGGCAGTGCTCGTGTAAAATCTTTTGGTTCTTGTGGGACTCGGTCTTTTATCATGTTGTGTACGAAATGTATACTCATCTGGGGGAGGAACGGAAATTAGTCACATTAATCTGTTAATTATTCATTATAATCAGTTAATTAGTCATTATAATCAGTTAATTAGTCATTATAATCAGGTAATTTGTTATCATAATTGGTTGGAACTTTGGAAACAATAGTAATGCAACGACATCCAATGGACACTAAATCATTGTAAGTAACAACTGAGTTACTGCAGTTCTTCCATTACAACGATTAATATGCTCCTTCATGACTCGATATTATGACAAATGAAACCATTCATTATGGGTTTCAATCTGTAAATTTCGTAACCATAAGTTTCACTGGTACACACCACTCAAAATAGACAGTAAGACGGGTACATGGTCATGATAATCTTTAATTAGTGTGATTATTAACCCAGGATTAATTAACATAACCATTATCTATAATATAACTGTCATTTTTTAAAACATTCTGAGAAACCCGGTAACATTATCTCAGTTACCATTCACCGTACCCTGGGAAATCATTCACTTCCAACAACCCCTGATTTAATGTGAACTATGATGACAGATTGTGAGGATTAAGCTGATTTTTTAGTACTTGGCACTATTCCAATTCTCTAAAAGCGAGCTGTCTCTATTCTGGAAACGTGTTTATTTTAATTATTCTTACTCTGACACATGTCACCCACTGTTCGTTTACTGTCACCACACAGATCCCACTCTTACCTTAGAACTGTACATAAGGTACAGGGCCTGTCACACAATGTTCACTCATTCCTCCTAGCTCAGAATATTCTGGCATTATCAAATATTCGCAGGTAGCCTCCAGTATTGAATATAACTGGATTATTTGATTTAGCATAAGGTTTCCAAAAATATGTTCTAGGTAGGTGATCTAATACGCGAAAGCCTATCTTTTGAGGAATCAGCGTCAATCGTTATCATGAACCACGCGAATAACGTCATCGTCAAGTAGGTGTTAACATTGTACATCTTAGATTTAAGCTACGGATAATTTTAATCTCAATATAGAATTCAAGCAATGTAAATCATCAAATCTTATTCTTAATCCTCAGTAATTTAAAATTTTATTACATACTTTCTTACATATTTGCAACGTAATCCAAGAATCAGTAATTCAATACGAGAATGGTGACGTGACGCCGGAAATTGAATATTGGTCCGTGCGAAGAGGAGATGGTTACCAATTAGTAACTAGTAACTAGTAACTAGTAACTAGTAACTAGTAACTAGTAACTAGTAAATAGTAACTAGTAACTAGTAACTAGTAAGTGTAACTTGGTTCAAACATTTAGACTTGAGAACAGAGTGTAATAATTACTGTAATATAGTACCAATATTTCTGCTATTGTAATGAAAACTGTAATAATAATACTGTGAGTTATTTACAGCCCTCCGAGAGTACTTTGTAACTGTGTTTTTAACAAACTGACCTTTTTTTTCTACAAATATAGACATACTTTGCTGCGGTATTTGGAGTACAAATTAGTGAGTTGAAGGAATGTTTATTTCTGCCCGTAGTATGGGTTCGGTTAAAGGACTGTATAACTCGTTACTACTGACTTTTAGCAAAACTGGAGTAGGACTACTAATTGCCGACCCAATCATAATTGAACGTGACAATTTCCGGACTTTTAATACACATTATACCCGGAGAACCGTTCTGACGAAATCTTTCCCGGTAAAAGTTTGAATTTTGTATAGCTAGTATAAAGCTAGTATAGTACAGACTTTGAAGATTGAATGTTCAATGTAAAACAGTGTCACGTTTGTTACAATACAGCTCATTAATAGCGATACTGTCGTAGACACGATGAGTGATATTGGTATAGTACTACTGCTTCCCTCTTTACTCACTAGTGTTACACACAGGGTTCTAAACAGACACCATTATTAGCAGATCTGCTTTTTTTATGCAGAGTAAAAACCTTTCTTATTATCCTGAGGGTTTGGAAGAAGCGATCTTTACACTAAACACTTCCTGTGTCGCTGTATGAAACACCTGGAATCAGGCAGACCCATTTAATGACTACTAGTATGATATAATATATGAAATGGATTGAAATGAAAACGATTAAAATGTAAGTTTCGAAGCATTTGCCGTACTTGATCCTTGATCCTCTATCTCAAAAACTACCTTATTATAATTAGAATTTTCTATCTACATTTCGTGACAGAAAAATGGAGAGAGTTGTCTCCTTTTTTATTGGTTTTGTATTTTTGGCTGACAGAGACCGCCCCGAGAATTGGTGACTTTTGCAGAAGATCTGATTATATTTAACATTTGGTCTCTGTCAGCAGATTGCCCGCATGGGGCAGTTACAATGTGCAAAAGTTGTATTTATACCCACTGTAACTGTAAAATATTTCCTTGTGGATTCCCCATCGACAGGGTACTCACGTGACCTTAACGTACTTTAAAGTGAGCTGCGCATGATATGGTGCAAAGTGTTACAAGGGTGTTAAATTCCAATCGCCTTGTGTCTAACTAATAATTATTACAAAGTCCAACAAGCCAGAAAATTATCACTACATCATTATGGCTCCTCTCGTTTATTCCAAGAATTCGTTCCAAACTGAAACTATAAACTGTAAACTAAAGGAAAATACCAGTGCTGGAAGTTAGAAGCTAAAGATATTCTTGTCTCACATTAAAGTGGTGGAGAGAATTCTCTCCTTGTTTGTTAAATGGTTTTTATATCAGTATTTTCGATAGTACGTCTACTATACTGGATTGTCTGTCTCCAGATTTTTGTTTGTCTCCAGATTTTTGTTTGTCTCCAGATTTTTGTTTGTCTCCAGATTTTTGTTTGTCTCCAGATTTTTGTCTCCAGATGTTTGTTTCTCCGGCCTGGGAGGCCCAGGAGATTATCTCACTCATACTGCCTCGTCCAAGGTATTGGTGATTACCTGGATACCTGGATAGATGGTCAGGTACTTGTATGGTGTACATGATGATGAGATATCTCAGAAGGCGATTACCTTGCTGAGACACTCACTCTGAACAAAAGTTGTATATAATATACCTCGGTTTTTCTCAAATATTTCTTTGTAGGTTGAGTTAGACTTGGTAATTGTATAATAGGCTGAAGGCCGAGTCAAACAGCGTGCGTAATAACATAATTAAGTATGCGAGCCTAGGGTTAAATTTCAATTGTTTCTAAATATCAATTCCATTGGTTCATTGCAATTTGCATGTTCGCCATAAAGTTTCCAATAATGACGTTTTAAATTCTTCAATCGGGACATAACAGATTATATGACAGCAATAATAGTCACGCTGCTCTTAACTACCTACGATTGGAGATGCAAAACTACAGTTCTCCTCGCTAATCTCAGGGATCTTCTCATAATCGTATAAAAATCTCTGGGAAGTGATAAGGACCAGTATTGAAAGTTAGAAGCTGAGTATTTGGTAGCAAGCACAAAAGTGGTGGAGAAAATTCTCTCCTTGTTTGTTTGGTTTGATATTTATACAGTTTAATCGTTCCCGCTGTATTACGTTTACGTCGCTCCTCAACGTTTCGTTGTTTGCTAGCACGACTTGGCGAGTCGGCTAGCTAGCCCTCCAGGAATTCCTGACGGGGTCGTGCATCTCAGAAGGCAATTGCCTTACTGAGACATTCACTCTTAACAAAAGTTGTATATATACCAGGGTAGTTCTCAAAATATTTCATTGTAGGTTGAGTTAATCCCGATAATTGTTTAATGGACTGAAGATTGGGTTCAACTGCGTGCGTAATAACATAATTGGGGAGGAGAGCCGAAAGTATCACTAAATTGCTCATGAGTAGTGAAAAGTCGCTTTTTGGTGTTCGATTACATTGGTTTAGTGGTTCAGTTCACAGTCATAGTTGCGTCTTGATATTAATGATATTTTATGTTGAGTGATCATAGACTGCATAACTAGGTTATTTTCTGTATATAAGTCAATATTGTTTCTAGTTCTTTAAAAGTTATGATACTTCCACTTTCAAAGTCAGTAAAACATCCTTAATACTCTTAAACTTGTATAACCCTTGTACACAGAATGAGATACAGCGCATGTAACTGTTTTATGATGCAAATTAAACGAAACCTTTCATATTGTGATATTTCTTAGTGTGTAGAAGGCGTTTACAGAAGGCAGTTACATCAGCCAACTAACAACTGTGATATTCTAAACGAGATGGTAGTATGTTAAAATAGAGCAGTGTAAGGATAATGGCGTTACAGTTACAAAGCACAAAGGCGGCAAACACAACGTATTGTTAAGTTAAGAAAGTTCTTTACTCTATAATATCAAAATTAGCTGAAGACCAGTGATAAGGTTATTTAGGGGATGTTATCTATCATAAAATATGGATTCATCTGCAGAAAATGTGCTGTTCTATACAGTAGGTATACATCGGCTTTTTCAAACTTGGGAGTAAAACTTCCCGAAAAATAAACAGATTCCCCCCTATTTTATCAATCTTATATTTTTGGTTAACAGAGACCACCCCGACTATGTATTGGTGACTTCTGCGCACGCCACGTGACACATATTTCCAATACTGGCATGAGTCTAAGCAGAACAATCAGTATTCAGTAGATTTCTATTTAAAGAATGTTATAAAGTTAGAAGTAAGGAGGAGAGTATAAAGTTACAAGTTGCCAGCGACTGTTACGGCGTTACACGAATATTTGGTCCAAGTTTAGAATTAGAAGGGACAACTCGTGATGGTAAGAACACGTACATCTCGATGGAAAGTTATTGTGTCAAGATTAAACACAAACAAGGATAATATCATGTTTTGAATTGTGATTTTGCAGAAAACTCTTTTTTGCGGCCTGCTCTAAGCTCTTGTTTAAAATGTCCAACTTTTATTAACTTTTTCAACGAATGAAACTTTCCTGGATCTATACATCTATCAGATTATGAAAGTTTTAAGAACTTACCTTGTTGAACTTCTCCACAAGATGCTCCAGGAACTGTCTTCTCTGTGTGTCAGTCCAGTTCTCAAACCAATGTCCAATCAGAATCTTCCTCTCCTCGAACAGCTGAAATAGAGTTCAGTTTACAACATGAACTAGATTACTTCATGGACTAAAAAATGTTTTAAATTGATTACATGTTGGTATTTACAACAGGAAATTCCAGAATTAGACAAAACACCACATTACATAGCAACATGTCAATCAAATATCTATCATCGTCCTAATTAAGTGGTTCTTTTGTCTCTGAAACTTATTTCCGGAAAAGCAACAAGCGACAAAATGATGTTGCATACTAATTCCAACAAATCGTAACACAGTAATTGGGAAGTTAACCAGTTTCTGGACACAAAAAGTAGGGTGATAAGACTAGGATCCGTCACAACTCATCACTCTACATTACATTAAACGTGCTATAACATACTCCAGCTGATGAAATATTACATTTTTACACGTATTATACTATTATAGCACTTTATTTGGCGAGAATGGCTAGACGACAAAAGTGTCTTATTAAGACATTTAAAGGATTCAATGCAGAATTCTGCCAGACCCTTTGATCTTGTTAAAAAGAGAGCAAATAGTTTAGATCTAACATTCCTAACAAACGAATAATAGATCACCAAGCTGGAGTAAGTTCTACTATGCCTGGTCGTTCAACGTGTAACCTGTTAGTTCCATACTATCTATAATAGTCGTGCTGCAATTAATGCTACAAACCTTCAAAATAGCGATGAGAGCACCAATTGAACAACATCCTCCAATGACAATACGAGATCTTAAAAATCTCATGGAATAAGGAACAGAAAAACTATGCTCAGCAGTGAAATGACGTCAATAAGGTATATATGATCTTGAGGAACCATGCCAGGTTAGATCCTCTTTGGTTTTATTAGTTTTCTCGGAGAGAGTGAATTATAATGTGATGGAACAAGACATAATGTTCGACATAGCAAATGTCGAGGTAAAAATGTCGAGGCACAAAAGGACAATAATATGAACTTAATGTAGTGTGCTGTAAAGAAGTGCGGGGCAACTGAGGGCCCCATTATATCACGGGACCAGGAAAAAGTGTCTATCTTTAGTGTACAGCTCTGTAATACCGAGTGTGTACTGTGTATGATACTTGAGTATACTAGTGAAATTATAGTTTTGTGCTAGTTACCATGGCAACAGTGCTAGTTACCATGGCAACAGTACATCATCACAGATGTTGCTGTTCTCAGTTAGTGCTCTGCAAACTCTGGTAAATTTAGCTAATACATTATGGGGACGATGTGACAGCTACTGGAGCTAATGGTTAATCGCTGTCACGTGTCTAAGCAATATGGTTTAACTTTTTACTATTAACCAAGTTTATTGGCTAAGTTTTTCGCAGAATTTGAACGTAAAACGTCAAACGGGTATGATTTCAGTTCAGGAATATTGTCCATCAGTGTTGTTCCACCAGAGACCATGTACTTAACTCAGTCTCAGTATGACTGGAGAGTAAACGACAACCTTTTCTGTGCCAGTACGTGTTATACTATAGGCTTCTCAAGTGTAGGGTAAGTTTAACATGAACCGTGAATAACCTAGCACGGTGGAATTTCCAGAGCTAGGTTTCCATTAAGATACCTTACTCGCTGGAAACTTGGCTATGATCCAATTTTAAGCTACACTCATCACCTTGGCTTTCATGTACGATTTTATGTATTCCTTTTTTAAATTAAACCAGATAGCTGCACCGGAATGACGTCATGATTGGGTTTAACAATTAGCAACCGGATCGTGATAATTTGACTATTTTTCATAAGACCTCTAACATTGGAGATAATGCAGTTTTAACTTGAATAAAGTTATATGTATAAAGTAGCCCAAGGTCAGAGGAGCTCTTTACAACGCTTTACAACGCAGGCGATGACAGCTACACCCAAACCCGATGACACATTCTTACACTTGGACTGTCAATTTCTCCCTTTTCACTGGATATGACCGGTCATGTGATGTCGAGGAGAGCATCTTATTGGTACACAGTCCATGCTAAGAAATGTAATTCTAGCAACAGCGCTGCTCGCTCAGCGGAGTTGTACGACTTTTTGCTCAAATACCAAGAAATAACTGAGGTTAATCAAAGGACCAATCGGGGAATTGATTGAATGATCAATAACTGATAATTTAAATGAAATTAAAAAAATTAAAATCATTACCTGACTGTTCAGAACACCTCCTTTTTTAGGGGTCCATGCGCTGTGTAAAGTGTTGACCACTGTGGTATCAATTTCATTGCTAGTTCTTCTCTCTCCTTTTATCTTCACTGGCGTTATGCCTTTGACAACTTTTCGAGCAGACTTTGAAAATGACATATTCTAGCAAATATGAGGTGAAGTCAAGATTTAAAACGTCAAGGTTTCTTTACTGCAGGATTGAAAAATGTTATGTAAGTGAATTAATTAAAGAAATGGATAAATTAATGGATAAATTAATGGATAAATTAATGGATAAATTAATGGATAAATTAAGAAATTTCTCAATCCCCTGATGCTTATATAGTAAGGCATCATCCAGCTGTCACTATGTCTTGAATCACGACTAAAATATTGATAATGATACTTTAATGGATTAAGTTTGATAATACTACGTTAGCATGTAATGCCAACTAAAAAAGGTGATGATAACGTATGTGTCTTCAACAGTCCTTTGAAGGGTTGATGTTTGAATAATACCATATTTGGTCAATATAAGTTGCGGATTCTCTCTCCTGCTGTAACAATTTCAAAAATAAACCTGCATGTATTACAGAACTAGAAGAGAAGCCATAGCTTGTATTAGCCAAATATGGTATTATTCTTTCTGCCGACTTTCGAACAAAACTTTCGATCGACTGAAGACCCATAAATTATGTTAAATGTATAATGAGACTTTATCTGTTGATTAACATTTTGTTGATAAATATGATAATCCAATGCGACACTTGTAGAAATTGTTGATATTAAGGTCGCAATTAACGAATTTTGGTAGGATACTGGCCTTAATATTTAGTCCTCAAAACCACAAATATTTGAATGAAAACAGGCATTTTCGATAGCTGTACAGTTTGTCTAATTGAGTTGTCACACACGAAATTTACAGACAATGACTCTGCCATAAACTGAGAGGGGCAGTTAAAAGCTGTAGGGGCTGCAATAAAAGTTGCCTGACCTATTTTGAAGCACATCAGAACAATTTTAGGGAGGGTGGAAAATATGTAGGTACTTTACGCCACTGCGTCTCGTAGCAGGATCAACAGGGTTGTTCATTACCCTATTTCTCACTTGATATGCCGGTATAAAATCTCTAAAAAAGTGTTTCTAGAGCAAAACGCACAGTTTTACTAGTACTTAAGTTCAGTTTTTCAAAGTTTTCCCACATTTAAACGACAATTTGGTGCCAGTGGCGTAACGAAGGGCCCCGCTGACCCCACTGTGCGGGGGGGGGGGGCCGGGGGGCACCATTTAAGTGGGGCGCAAAATCGTTGTTTGAATGTGGGACAATTTTGAAAAAGTTAACTGAGGTACTAGCAAAACTGTGAGTTTTGCTCACGAAACACACTTTTTTAGAGATTTTACCGCTGTGTCCTCTTAAATCACCTAATTTGTTCAATTCTAGGGAGGGGCGCCAAAAGGGGAGGGGGCGCCAACAGGGGGCGCATTTTCGGCTGGGGGAGCGCCAACAGGCAACGCTACGCCACTGTTTGGTGTGCCCTAGGATGGCACCCCCGCACAGCAGGGCAGTGGCGTAACAACCGCCCCTGCTAACCCTGCTAGCAGGGGGCGGCACCTTAGGGGGGCGGCATTTTCCTGGATTGTAGGTCTGATTTCACGGAAAAAGCGCCTTATTGGTGTACTACCCTATCGAATTTAGCGTTCGGTCAACGTGAAACAAATATTTGGGGTATCATTGTTGCTTCAGGGGGCGGCAAAAAGGTGTAGGGGCGGCAAAAAAAGTACCCGACCTTTTTTGGATTCATAGAATTAAAAGTAATTCCAGGTCATTTTGCATAACAGCCATACTGCAGACAGATTGAAAAATGACAGGACACTCTTGCTAATTCTGGAATAGCAATTATATTTTGAAGTTTTGTTGGATCTAAGTAGGATTACACAAAATGTTTGGCTTGGATTACAGGGACTATAGATCAAACAAGGACTGACTTCATGATAGGAACAGTAATATGATAGATTGACTGATTGTTGAATTATCAACGGAGTAAAAACATTTCATCAAGTAGGCAGTATGGAAAGTGGTAGCCCACTCATATGTTTGTAAAACAGTACAACTTTATCCAACACATACTCACAAAGAAAATTCAGTAAATCGCTGAAACATTAATCTGATTGCATACATCAGACGTAGATATAAAATAAATGCAGTTAATGTATTTTTACAGTAATGAGTAAGTCAACTTTCCGAATTGGGGCGCCACAATTCGGCAAGCCCGGGCTTGCACGTATTAAATTTTAATTACTTCCTTCAGACTTCGTGAATCGAAATTAAATCTTTTGCAATGTATTCAAAATCAATTTATGAATTTTTACAAATCAGTTCACAGTTGGAATATACTTACTGGGCCGCGCTCAGCCTGTCATTCCGCCTAATCTCTATTTACCAACATTAATTAAAGCCTGGGCCGGGGTCTTCAGGTAATTCAATCACTGAAGCGGCCACGGCGCGGGCAAGGCGGCTACCAAATTATAAAATAATAATTTTTGGGGCATCCACGGACGCCCTTACCTGAGGACCCCAGGCTTTAATGTTGTTAAATATAGAGATTAGGGGGAATGACGGGCTGAGCGCGGCCCAGTAACGGACGCCCTGTCCTAAGCTAAATAGCCGTTTTTGTATTTGGATGTCCCGGGGCCAAAATTATTGTAATTCTTTATCAATTGTTACTGGACTAACCCGGCGCGCGCTATACTACTTCCTAGCTTACCTAAGGACCCAGGCTTGAATGTTGTTAAACCGAATAGAGATTAGCTGCGGAATGACAGGCTGAGCGCGGCCCAGTAACTTGCTAGCACTTTGAACTGGCATCGGGCTAACATTTCGAGAAAAAAAGCGGCGCGCGCTACTTCGAAGAAATTTAGACGAATAACATTCACCTAGGGACCCCAGGCTATTATGTTAATAAACATAAAGCTGCGAGTAAACTTACTGGGCCGCGCTCAGCCTGTCATTCTGCCGCGCCTAATCTCTACCAACATTAAAGCCTGGGGTCCTCAGGTAACGAGTAAACTGCTGCGGGATGACAGTCTGAGCACCGCCCAGCAATTTCTTTTGTGCATGTACGGTCTAAGTTCTAGAATCTAGTTCCACTTTTCAAGTATTTAGTATCATAATCATGTTATTAACTTGTTATATTACGTCAATATATTATGCAATGAGGTTGACAAAAAATCAATTTCGATTGCTGCAGTTTTGATGTTTTTCTATCGACAGGACCGGTAGCATACTTGTTATATAGTGTGATATGACGAAGAAAACTTAATTACCAGTTGTGATATAGTTAAGCTTGTTAGCCTTTCATTTATTTGTTTGTTTGTTTAACGAGTATGTGATACTCGTAAAATATTTGTTTCAAATATTACCGTCGACGAGTCCATCGCGTCTTGGTAGGTTATAAATCTATAATTTGTTTGTGTTTTCATACAGTCCACTTTACTTCCTTATCGATTGATATAATAATAATTAATAATTACAACATTTATAAACCGCCTTATAGCTAAATCATATAACTCGATATAATTTAATCCTGGAGATAAACTCCAGTGCTTTCTAAAGCGGCTCTTACATTAACTGAGCTTAGTTTAATTGAAAATTAGACATGACAAGTTCATTTTACCTATGTAAATGCAAAATCAATCAAATGCTAGAGAAAAGGAGTATGTTTTAAGTTTGGTCTTGAAAGATGTAACTGACTCAGCTGATCTTATGTCGTATGGCAAGGAATTAAATACTTTAACTGCACAGTGACTAAAAGCTTTCTCTGTGTTTACATAGTTAGGAGAGGGCGGAAAACTAAGGTAAAAATAATCATTATCAAGACGTACATTTTTAAAACTTTGCTGCCTAGGAGATATCAACTCTTTTAAGTAAGGAGGAGCTATATTATTTAAACACTTGTAGGCAAGTAGGGCAATCTTAAAATCTATTCTAAATCTAACTGGTAGAAAATGAACTTTCTTAAGTAGTGGAGTAGTGTGTGCCTTTCTTCCTCTCCCGAAAATAAATCTTACAGCAGAATTTTGCACCTTCTGTAAACGACTTAAATCATAAGAGCTCAGTCCAAAATATACGCTATTGCAATAATCAATTCTAGAGAGTACTAGAGCATGAACAAGCTGAATCTTAAGGTTAAAAGACAGTTTTGATGCATTAAACCACAAATTTCTGATCTGAATATTACATGCTTGAACCACTGACGTAATCTGATCACTCATTGAAAGATAACTGTCCAAATACAGCCCAAGACTCTTCACAGTTCCACTAACAACATGTGGCTCTTGATCCCTAACAATCTGTAGAGAGGCTGGAATATTTGTTGAGTCAAATTTAGAGGATATAACGATGACTTCAGTCTTAGAAGAATTCAGTTGAAGGAAATTGTTTGTCATCCATTTCTTGATATCAGACATACAGTGTTCCATATTGTGCTCTAGCTGTGATGGGTCATCAGAATCAAGAGTGAAATACAGCTGGGTGTCATCAGCATACAAATGAATACAGCACCCATGCATGCTTGCAATGTTCTCAAGATCTTTGGTGTACAATATGAATAGCAGGGGGCCAAGGATTGAACCTTGTGGCACACCTATCTCAAGAACAGTTGCTGAGGAAGATGAATCCTTGACTTTGACACAAAATGAACGGTTAGCCAAGTAGGACCTGATCCATGTAAGAGCAATGCCTGTAATGCCATAAGCAGATCTTAGCTTCTTGATTAATCTTGGGTGATTGACAGTATCAAAGGCAGCACTCAAATCTAGAAGTAAAAGAACAACTTTAGTTTTCTTGTCAATAGTTATCAAGATGTCGTTATGGATTCTGGTTGTTGCAGTTTCACAGCTATGAAACTTCCTATAGCCGGACTGAACTTTAGAAAGCAAGTTGTTATCCTCAAGATAACTGGTGAGCTGTATAGATACACACTTCTCAATGATTTTTGACAAGAATGAGAGATTGCTAATAGGCCTATAGTTAGATAGAGATTCACCGTCAAGGCCACGTTTCTTCAAACTTGGACGAATGAGAGCCTCCTTAAGTTTTAGAGGAAACTCACCTTTAACTAATGATTCATTGACTATAAATGAGATCAGAGGAAGGAGTTCTGGGAGACACTTGATGAGAATCTTTGTAGGTATGGGGTCAAGATCACAGAATTTGTTAGACATATTCTTTATGATGCTTACTAGTTCTTCATCAGACACATGACGGAATTGTACTATCTTTGGGCTATTAGAAAGAGGAACAAATTCATCTGAGTTAGGAGAATCTTGCGATTGTTGTTCTAAATAAATGTTGTTGTATATGTTGTCGACCTTTGATTTAAAGAACTGTGCAAAGTTGTTAGCACTCTCAAGATTTGAAGAGCAAGAAGGTGTAGTAGTACTAACTTTAAATAAATATAGTGTTCCTTACTGATTGATAATAGTGTAAGGAGAGTACGGATGTAAGAATAGAACTTGCACTCTTGCCTGTCCAACCAACTTCATTCTCCAGGAAGACCAACACCCAGGATGAAGCCCGTCTGGATGTAGCAGCTGTTGGTCTGTATTCACCATTCGAAAGAACATTCTTTGACATCTGGGTCACTCATCCTAATTGCGACTCAAATACATTTAAGCCACTAGATAAAATCTACAGTGGTGCATGACAGACCTCTATGAAGAGAGAGTATTTCAGTCAGAGAAAGGGTCCTTTGTCCCAATAGTCTTTACAACATCTGGAGGAATGGGACCACTCTGCACTGTGTTCATAGATCGTATTTCTGAGATGATAGCTGACCACAATTATAAAGAAGCTAAGAGCCAGGTCAAAAATCACATCAGAACACGATTCAGGTTTGATCTGATACGAAGCACACTCATAGCACTCAAGGGAATCAGAGGAAGACGAAAAGGCCAGCACCTTGGACTGGATGACTAATCCTTCAATCTCATACCTCAGTACATATATAGAGCAGGGACAATCTGGAACACAGTACGACAAAATCTCATGCTAACTACATTCACCTGTAAGCCCAATCACCTCAAATCATCCATAAAAATAACCATCGCTCACACTCAAAAGGAAGGAGAACCAAACGACTGGAACTTAGCCTTAAACAGTGTTCGACAAAATTCAAAAACTTTAAAATTGACCTTGCCTAGATTACTTAAGCTTACAAAAGCTGTAATATCTTAGCAAAATATAACTTGCAGCAGCCCCATACCTTGTCATGAACATAATATCGATACTACCTCTGTGATCACATCTTTCTCTGGGTGCAAAATGAATAGATATATATATTATATAGATTATAGGTTTATCAGTTTTATAGAAATTTGAAAGTTCTATAGAAATTTATTTAATTTATTTATATATGGATTATAAACATTTTTGTTTGTGTGTTTTGCGCTATGCATCTTTATACCTATTTTAGAAGAGATTTTTATAGAATATTAGAAGTGTAGTAGGGTCAGTTTCAGACGAATTAAGCATAAATATCATCATTGCCATGTCTGAAGTGGTTTGTAAATGGGCCATTGTTAGCCCCAAGCGTTTTGGTCCTTCATTCCTGCCACTCAGCATTGCCTACTGTAAAGTAGAAATTTTTCTAAGACAATAGAGAAACTGACCCTGTCTCACTAAATTCCCCTAAATTCAAGGTTGAATTTTAGTCCACTTACCATAATAAAAATGCTAACAACCAAAGAAAGTTTTTTAAATAAAGAATATTTCCTCAAGTTTACGTCTAGCTAACTAATTAGTGGTTTAAGCTCTTATTCTATTTATGATTAAAGGAATGTAAAATAAAACTTTTCGTTTCATTGAAAACTTTTCGTTTCATTGAGTATAAGTAAAGTGAATGCAGCTCAGCGCCCAAATGTCCACATGAGCCGCCCTGCTGAGGTCAAGTAAGATGAATGCAATGGACGATTACAAGATGACAACATTGAAGATAACAAATAATAAACCATAACAGTAACCACAACTATTATAACCCTAACCAATCGAATTATTTAAAAACATGTGCACAGCAAAAAAAACTTGGGACCATTAATATTGCACTCATTTTTGATTCAACACTCAAATCCTATAATTAGCAAGTAGGGTGCAAATTTTACTATTGTTATGCACAGAGAACAATAGGCGAAAATTGATCAATCGGTGTGCAAGAAGAAATTTCAAGTGCAATATGATGCAATTTTCCTTTAAATGTTCTGCAACTATTAGGTCCTTAATCAACATTCAATATTTGAAGCTAAAGATGGCGTCTTTATACCTAGCAAGTTTTGCTTCAACGATTCATTCAAAGATTTAGAAACATTGGCACTTTAGGAAATTCTGATTGAACACTCTTTTGCATCATTATCTTTAACCTTCAACCAGCAATCATTTTTACTTCAATTTTGTTTGATCATTAGGTGAAGAACATCTGGTAGATCTTAAATGCTCCTCTGCCAGAAAACATCTTAAAATAAAGCCTTGATCAACTACATTAAAATCTTCATGGCCCCAAGGGTGCAGGTTGCGTCATATTCACAACAACTTTCATCACAAAAGCTACAAACTAACTAATATTCTATTTTTGTTCAAGTTCTTCTTGACCTTGTTCAGTGAAAAAGCGCCCCCCCTGTTGGCGACCCCTCCCCTTTTGGCGCCCCTCCCTAAAATTGAACAAATCAGGAGATTTTAGAGGATACACCGGTATTTGGTAAAATCTCTAAAAAAGTGTATTTCTAGAGCAAAACTCACAGTTTTGCTAGTACCTCAGTTAAGTTTTTCAAAATTGTCCCACATTCAAACGTCGATTTGGCGCCCCCCTAAGATGGTTACTTTACCTATTGTACAATTTTTATCACATTAAATTGTACAATGTTCGGAAGTATCCAAGTAGCCCGACATGTGTTCCCGGACAGGTGTTTTCGAACAGGGAAAGGGTTAGGGTTACTAGGGTTAACCCTAAACCTAACCCTAACACACCTGTTTGGGAACATCTGTTCGGGAACACTTGTCGGGCTACTTGGATACTGCCCAATGTCCTTCAATGTAAAGATAGAATTTAAAAATAAGTTAGACTTGTATTCATTTCACAGCAAATTTGCATGTCCTTGAGATACAACACGTTTCACTAATTCAACTAAAATGGTTTTTCTTATGTTATAGAATGATTTAAATGAAAATTCGTCAACCATGAGGAATTTAGAAGCAATTTAGAGGAAGCAACAAAAATGGCTCTTAAACCTGTAGGGTAAGTTAAAATATTGAAAATGAAAGATTATTCAAAATGAGAGATTTTAAAGTTTGTATTCCATGGTCAGAATGATTTCAGATGGCTCAGATTAATCTATTTAAAAAAGTTATGAAATAGGTCAGAAGACATATAATTACATTCTACCCAGACCACTTGACAGTTACAACAGCTTGACAGATGAATACCTCGTTGATTATTTCAACAACAAGCGGATCCGCAAACACCTACGTCATATGGGGCTCGTAAGTAATTTCTAATCTTTAATTTGTGGTAGCTTAGGTGAACAAATTTCTTGTAAATTCTGTTCATTATTTTTAGCCTAGATAGTAGATTTAAAAGCTGGACGTTGAAATTTTTTCTACATTTAATTAGATAAAGAAAATGCTAGAAAATAGTAATAAAGATTAAAACGCAGTTTAGTGAATTGTGGTGTTTTCTTAAAATATCACCACACAACCTAGAGCACGCTTTGCTGTGCTTGTTATTCTGACATTGCCACCTGGTCAAAAGCTACACAATACACGTTTCAGACATCTGCTTGCCGAGACACACTTAATTTGACTCTATCTAAGTATATATAATATATATTGCTTCATCACGTTTTAATCTTCTGCTATAGATCTAACCGGCGACCATGCAGTGTTCAGTCTGAGGATACCACAAACCATTTTTATTTAAATTGTCTGAAATTCGTGCAGTAAAAAGATATTACAGTAGATCTTTGCAGCACTATTTAAACTATTATATAATTCACCGATTTAGAATGGCGGTTTTTAAGATATTCTCAATAATTACAGTCAATTAAATTACACATAAAAATCAATCCAACTGTTACCGGACTACTTTTCATCAATTCTACGGTTAGAAATACGTTTAGTATTTTTGAAAGTATGTTCAGACTTCCTAACGTATCGAGCAGAAATAGTAATAATCCTTATAATTTTCAGAAATCTCAACCTCCAATTCAAAATCAGTGCACTTAAACTCTTGTCCACTTTTCAGATAACGAGGCGTGGAGAAGTGGTAGATGAGCCCACTTTCAGGTACCACACAGCGCGTAAAGAACACCGAGCTCATGTTAAGGAACTAATGTCCCAGGCTGTTATCAACAAAACTTTAGAACTTGAGGTACCTTCACTAACATTCATTTATTTGGAGAATTTAGTTTATAAATTGGTGTTTTAGTTTTTAATACTCAAATTCATTGACAGACTGTTACATTTCTTGCAAACGATAAAGTAACCTTAAAAGGAACGATTTTCACAAAGATGTGTCTGGACATGCGACTAATACAATTACTGACAGACGTCCACTTTGGTTACTTGAACAAAAGTTGCACAAAATTGTTATCCATATTAGGAATAAACTGTATCTATCAATAATCCCTGCAATGAAGGGCCATGGAATTGCGTGAGCAAAGTAATTATATATCTATTTAATATTTAATCTGTTGTGTCTCGAAAATTTGTTCTAGTGAAGAATATTTAATAATTTAAAGATAGTTCACGGAAAATATTACAGAGAAATAGGCGTGCGTTCATTCGTGACAAGTTGATTGAGATCAGAAAAATCGAAACTGTCAACAGAGTCAAGGTTTGAAATACTATTAGTTAATTTTACATTGGATATTATTTTATAAACATTGAAAATATAAACGCACAATGCACATAGATTGCCATATGTTGATGTGTTCATTTTTATTACATCATTTGTTACAAATGTTGGAGAGATTGCAATAAAATCTAGACCTTTTATGGGCTAATCTTCCTATATTTCATTCTTTAGAAATTTTAAAAGATAGAACGTTCACTAAATTTAAGGGGCAAACGTAAAATATAAAAATATTGCACAAAACTTTAAATTCAAGTTCAAGTCCCTCAAAATATAGTTCCTTAGAACTGAATGAAGCTCTTTCAACAGAAATCTTACTCTTACTTGGTTGTGCATGTAAAATGTAAATTCCTGCAATAATATTTGGTTCTTTCTAGAGAGACCGAGATGGCCTCCCTGACTACTCCTCAGAAAAAGGAATTCGACCCAAGAGTGCTCCTTCTAAAGTCAAGGTATATTTTACCTGCTTGAAAAGTAAGCAAGTCTTACAATTTCACCAAAAGTCTGAAACGATCTTTGTATCGATGACTTCATAATGACGATGAGCTCGCAACTTTACTGTTTAATTAATCAACTAAGTGAGCATGTTTACCATTTTACACACTGTCACGTTTATACACACTGCTTAATAAACACAGATAAGGTCATGTTTACATTACACGTGTGTACAGTAAAACCCTCATCAGAGGTTTTACTTCCATTATTATATAAATAGCATCTGACATCAATTTCTAATGAAATCTACAAATAATGTGTCCCCCCCCCCCTGGTCACTCTCACGTTATCCCATCTATAAATAAAATAATCAGTTTATAAAACTGGAACCAGACACCAATATCCTTCTCGAAAAAGGGCAGTAATTCTGTGTTATAAACTAGACAAATAATGTGTGTCCCCCCCCCCTCTAACATTGTGCCGGTATAACAGGGATCTGAAGCAGAGTGTATTGCGGGTGTAGGAATACCTCCAGGTAGTTCTGTAAAGTGGGTCCCTCTCATCGTGCCTCCGTACGGCAGTACTCCTTATCTGGCTGTAAGTCTCCTGCATGTTTGTATACTTTATATCGTGTGTGTGTGTGTGGTGCTGTTACTATTCTCATAACTACACTGACAGTTGATTTCCTTGAAAAGCTTGTAGCTGTAACAGACAAAACCTATTTTCTTGTGGTAAAATGAAACGGAATCCTTCCGACCGTTGATTGGTACGCAAGATTATTTGAATGACGTTGAAATGATTTTGCTAATGATAGCTCCACAATATGTCAAGTTATCAAGTAGAGAAATTAATATCATATCCCCTCTGTGGCCTGCACTAAGTAGAACATTAGACCGCATGTCGTGTGTCATTATATATGATCTCTAATGTATGTGATCGTATTGCATGTCGCATGATAAACTGTGTTGGTCACGTGACTACACACACTGTAGACCAGTTTTAGAACATCTAGCGGTTATTGTCATCCCACTGCAACCTGCACTGAGTTCATGATCATCTCAATGCAAAACTTGCATTGTGTTCTCATCGGAGATATCTGAAGTCTGAACTTAATGAATTTTATGCTACTAATTAATTGTAATACTGCTCTTTATGGCTTATATTACTAAGTTACTAAATACTGGAGATATTTGTCACAAGTTTTCTTCGAGCGCAAAGCACGTGTTCCCCACCTGAAAGAAGTATCATAATTTTAGCTTCATACAGGGAATCCAGTCGAACCCTGAAAATTTGTAGGAATTATCTTTTGAATTAATTTAGATGGATCGTTGCTGACTGGTTAATTCATATTTGGCTGTTATGTCTAGTACTCTTCTTTGCCATGAACATAAATCTACAAATATTTCCTTGTGTTTGAGAAACGTCACATTTTAGTTGAGTGGTGTGCCGAATCATGCGACTCGGCCCAAGAAACGTGTGCAAACTTCATCAAGCCGGGTCCAGAACGGTAGAGCTACAAACCGTAGCTCTGAGGTAAATTCACGGTAACATGTGCAAAACTGTGCTGACATCACGTGGTATTATCATGACGTCACGTGGTGTTATGATAACGTCACAAGATGTTTTCACTGAATTCTCAAGCCACGCTAAATGTATCTGTTGTTATTATTTTGTTAGTTGTTAGATCAGAGTGAACGTTTTTAATCTTAATCTTGGAGCTGTGATGTTTACTTATTATTGACACGTGCTAAAAGCTTGCTGAAACGCTGACAGAGGCTAGAGACGACACTAAAGCACTACTTAGAGCAAACTTTCATTCCAACCAACTGTAGACCTCATTAAATCATATTATTTGTACCATCTATTTGTCAGAATAACCCGACCATCTAGAGTATACCCATTTACAAGCCTCAGTTTTTATTGACATCTGCAACATTTGGTCCAAGCCTATGATCAGCGTATTATGATACTCCCTGAACTTGATAATAATTACAGAGCTACTTGCTAGAGTGCAGGCTTATAATCCAATATAAACGCTCATACAACATGCACAAATGTTTACCACTATATAATTACTTCTACGTTAAATACTGCTCTGGTATTTATGTTGGGTTGGATATACTATAGTGCATGTCACTGAACAAGAGCTTTATCATTATTATCAAGCCAAAGTTGTATCAAAGTTTTATCAAAGTTTTATCAAAGTTTTATCAAAGTTTTATCAAAGTTTTAAAAATCTACATAGTTGATAGTTGATAGTTTATAAAGTTTTTATTTATCTGTGGGGGTGGGGAACTATTTCTAGAAACTACTGTATTACAGATAAGAGAACTATTTAGGGAACTATTTCTAGAAACTACTGTATTACAGATAAGAGATCGTAAAAATAGGGATCCCGCTGCAATATTTCACTGGGTGGTTTCATCAAGTGTTTAGTACTGTTTGAAGGGTTAAACGTGTATTTAGTTAACAGTTAGTGTGAAATATTAGAAAAATGTGTTTAAATCATCTTGGGGTGATTAAGTGCAATTTCCACTCAGTTTTGGTTCTCAGGTAATAAATTCCAGACTAGCAGCACTCTGACTCAAAAGCACTCTAGTACAAAATCAGCAAGATTTTATAATCAGATAATCGAGTACTCGATCCTGTTATGTAGACTTTACAGGGAGAAAAGCAGACGCCAAAGAAGTGCAAGCCGAAGTGTGCGCCGCGCAGTGCTGACCCCAAAAAACCTCGCTGCGTTCTTGTTAACAACTTCACTGATGAAGGGTTGTCTGATAAGGTATTATAAGAGACCTCTTTTAGTTACTAGCTCGGTTAAGATGCACTATATTTTTAACCCCTATAATATATCGTTACTCTTGTAAATGTTCTATACCTCCTTAATTGTTTAATTCAAGTATTTGCTCTTTTCCCTTTGCTAAAGGGTACATAAAATACTTTTTTGTAAAAGCACCTATCTGCTTATCAGGCACTTTTTCGATTTCCATTTTCAGCTTTACAATACACATGAAATAGAAGTAGAGAGTAATTTTATTTCTATTCAATGTTATCCGCTTAAATCTCTGTTATCTCTGTCAAATCCCTTTTAAATCCCTTTTAAATCCCTTTTAAACCCTTTTTAAATCCCTGTTACATTCCTGTTATCTGTACTGACTATTAGTGTGTCTGCAGTACGGTTCGGATGTAACTCTCAGCACCGCTGGTTATCATGCTCCCCCTAACTCCAATATCTACCAGTCCTACAGTACGCCAGATATGAACCAGGTACCTACTTTATTCTCAATAATATCTACCAGTACGCCAGATATGAACCAGGTACCTACTTTATTCTCGATAATATCTACCAGTACGCCAGATATGAACCATGTACCTACTTTATTCTCAATAATATCTACCAGTACGCCAGATATGAAGCGGTCGGTTACCGGGTCGGTACTCAAACACGATAGTTTGTTATTACGCAATGGTGATTTATTGTTGCGAAACATCTTCGGATACCGTCAAACACTAATTTGACGGCCACCTTTTATTACTGATCCAGTGATCGATATTATAATACTCATATTCTACATCATATTATGTATCCTATAGTATAATAACCTACATATTACTATGGGTGGTAATGCAATGTGTATCAGTACTGGTATTGGTAGATGATCCCAGGCTGAAGTTGACCCAGTGGGTTTGGAACGTTAACCGATCTGGTTTTCATAGACCTCTACTTAGTTACGTGCAGCTCTGATCCATGTGATTTATGATAGAATAATTATGAGAATACTTGCTAAAACCTAACATGTCGTTATGTTATGAGATTATAGTGTCTTCTCAAGGGAATAATAACTTTCCCATATACCCACAAAATGTCCACTCAGGAGCTGTTACCAATTTCTAAGAGTTCGTCAGATTTTACGCCGACAAATCAGAATCCACTAATCATGTCTCGAAGCAATTTAATATTATACATGTGACGCTGAAACAAATTCTAATTTTATCCACTATTAGTTACCAGTTATTAAGATGTACGATTGTAACCAAACCGCTGGCTATGGCATCTGCTGCATGTTGGCTTGAACGTTAATTGTTAAATGTCGGCTAAATAAGACTTGCCGCTCCATGAAATTAACGATCATCTGATCAAATGTCTCTTTAACACGTCTAGAACTGATTTTTCAGATGATTTTCTCACATCATATCAGAATATAGAAGAAAGTAATGGTTAGTTCGATGAGAATTTACTCAGTTTAAAACTAAAATTAAATGTTTTTGTGAATTATTGACCTCAATGTTCAGCCGATGGTGCCAGGGCGGAGTTTACCGGTGCGACCAAAATCAGCCATGACTCGGAACAAGCGCAACCACAATCAAATTAAAACTCGTCCCAAAGTGAGTCCCAAGCATTCTTATCATTTTGATTATAAAAGTGTGGATTAATTATTATATGAATGACTCCGATTAATTATTTTTAGTGGCATATAATCTCATGAATTGACCTTTCATCTTTTATTTTATTTAATCTGTGGTTTATAAAAGTAAAGAATTGGTTAAATATCATCATTTTGTTAATACAAATTTAATGTCTGTGAAATTTTAACAAGTAGGCATCTGTTAAGTTGTATGAGAAACAAGCACATTTCTTGTGTTGTTATGATACTCTGACATGTCTACATGTCTGCTTATCAGCCCACATTTACTTCTAACACTGTGCTCTTATACTTGCATACTGTCAACTTATCAAATGACAAGCAGAAATATTTTATTTTTTTCAAGATGAAAATTTTATAAAAATTTTAACTTGCTATGTTTGGAGGGAATGTTTGGAAAAATTTTTCAGACAGAGAAATATTTCAATAAGCTGAATGATTTTCTAGGGGTTAAACGCTAAAAAACAAATGCTTAAAAGCACGAAGCTGATATTTGAAAAATTATGAATGTTGGCGGGGATATATTTATATATTTCTTTCACACAATAGGTTGATGATACTTTTTAAAGATGTGTAAAGATGTGATGTTATAAATTTGACTTTACTTTATGTAATAGTAGTGGGGTTGTTGTTTAAATCATATTCTTATCTTGATATCTCTTTCAGTCTGCCAGTTCAAATGCCAACTCTTCTCCGTATACCAATACTTCAACTGTACCCAGCACTTTTCTACAACGCAGACAGGTTACAATTATTGATAGTATTCAAATATTTACATTTTTAGATGCTGGAAGAACTGTATCGTTTATTAATTCAACTGTTGTGGGATAAAATTGCAGGCAAATGTTTTCAATGTTTGAATAAATGAAAATTTATACTTTTTACCATACTTCCTCATCAAAATTTCACCATACTGATTCCATAAAATTTAATATATTTTTTCGTCCCACATAGAAATAGAATTTGTTAGATTCCAACAATTTCTGAGATTTTGTTGGTATGCGGTGAATAGTTGGGAGCATGATATGCTGCTTCAATAAAGGTGCCCGTCGATCCCGCTCATTAAATATGTGCAGTCCTAAATGGTACTCTGTTGCTGTTGCCATGGCATCTGGTCTTAATGAACCACTTTATTGCCTAATTCCTAAGGTGCCACATGTTTCGAACACTTTATTTTCAATGAAACGCGCATTGCGTTTTAAAAGGAAAAAAGTACGTTTTTCAGTGACTAGTGCAACAGAATTTTGCGCGTAAAACCCGCGCGCAGCTATCAAAGTTTAGGCAGATCACGTGAAAAAGATAAAAATTTAAGTTAAAACATACATGATTGTCAATATTGTCATATTCTATGATTCATAAATTATGTTTGCATATGTGCAGACGTCAGTGGGTTGCGTCAAAGAAAGACCATGCAGCTCACTGTCGATCATGTGATCAATATGTGTCACATGGCAAAAACTGTGCAGTCTATAATAACTAGCATACACGTGAGCGTCATCTACATGAATGTGACGACAATTTTAAGCTAGTTTATTTAAAGTTTCATCTTTACATGAACAAATATAACGAGGAGAAGCTATCTGGTGAGAGATATCTGTATTCTGTCCCGGCCTATTTATTATTGGAGGACAGCTGTACAGCTGCTAAGCTCGCCACAATCTTAAAAACGATTTCACCCGTGATCAATTTAGTATTGGTGTCAAACTTTTCCTTGATTTCGGCCAAATATTTAGCAACAGTGACACGATGGAACAAATAAAAATTACAGAAATCATATTCTGCACTATTTTAAAAGAATTTTACTTTTTAGATTTTCAATAAATTTCCTAGAGTCACACTTTGAAATTACATCCAAATCAATTTCAGATCCATTCGATGTCAAAAATAACGTTACGATACCTCGGAAAATCTCTGGACCTGTCTTCAGGAGTGTTTGGAGACGCTGTCCAGGTCATGATTATGCAACAACATTGCGGAGGTAACACGGTCTGTGTCTTCCAGAACCTCGTCTCACCCAACGAGTGTTTCACTTTCACCTCCAGAAGACACAGAGACGCTCCTTTCGGGATTACCATTTATCTCGGCAGCATGATGGTGAGTGTGTTCCGGTATTTTCATTCCCGAAGTTTCCCCGTACAGTTTTCTCTGACGATTGGCTAGGAAATAGCACGTGCATCGCCTAGCTTTATATTATCGCATATATATTAGTAGTCCATGTGTGCTATTTTTTGTATTGTCAGTATGATGGTGATATGCGGATCTAAGTTCTTAAAACATGAAATTGTGGACAGAATATATTCTAATATAATCTGTCTGTCAAATAAACCCGTATTCCGTGGAGACGGGCACTGCCTTTTTTGTTTTGAATTGTTTAAATTTCGTATTTATTATCTATAGTTATAATTTTGCACTATTCCAGCACCTTCAAAAAACTTTTTGTTGATATCTAATTGGTGGCAATAGCATTAGCAGCCTGTCTGATTCACTATATCATTGAGTTATAACTCGTAGCAATGTACGTGTCTATAACAGTAATATCGTATTTTCTTTGGAATATCGTATTTTTCGTCGGAACTATCTCGATATGGTTACATGAAGGACGGTATAGGTTTTCATGATGATGAATTATAATATGATCCTAGTTACAAATTTCAGACTCACAATTATAAAAAATGTAAGTGCGCATTTAAGAAAACATTTGTTTGTCATTATTCTTAACTAGTGTAACAGTGCTGACGATATTGTAATCATTCTATTATTGTACTCACAAGTCATGACATACTATTTCGACCACACGTGCTTAAGGATTTTGTCTATATTTTAATTTGATTATTCCTGAACATTGTTCTCCTACTCAAGCAAGCAGCTTTTTGTTTAGGGTGACAATACTGCTCAGATCTCGTACTTCTCCTCTGTTTTAAATTAACAGATCTTCCTCAATATAATGTGAGGTTTGATGAAAATTTGGTTTTTTTCAACGGATATCGTGATCTTTTATCAATCAAATTAATGAACCATGTATTAGGCCGGCATAACGTTTTTTTCGTTTTGGTAACTTTTGACTATAGTGACAGTGTAATTGTATATTGTTCGATTATGCTATTGATTTTGACTTCTTTGCTTAATGACAGAAGGCTTTGTTGATAACGAAATTTATTATAATCTACCTTTTTAGAAATAATAATTCCTTAATTAACCACGCCTCAGTAGTCAGTAATTGAATCAAGAAGATGATTCAAATGTATTTACTGACGACTGATGCCTAGCTATCCGATAAGTCACTACACTACCTAGTGAGCTAGTTAGCTAGTAGGAGTTTTGGTCGTTCTACATGTTCCGATTTGTATAAGCCCTAGACACTGGACATTACCTTTTGAGCCACCCTGTACACCCAGAATATTTAAACTGTGATTTCAATTTGATGTGTACAGGGTGGTTTTGTATTATGCTATGTAAAAGGTTTAACAAATAATTGTTACTTTATACTGATAACTCTTCTAGGACACGCGGCTAAGTACGTGTTGCGAGTATAAACACAAACCAGGTCACATACTCGGAGGAAAGTCCGGACACTTTGCTCTAGTCAGAGTCGAGGGCTGTTTACCTTGCTACAAGTTAGTTTTCACATTCTAACTCTCAATACAGTTAGTTTCAGTTGTGACTTAACACATTTAGTTTTTATTGCCATGCTCTTTAACCTGAGTGTCATGTTCCAATTCTAGTTTCAAGATTTAACTCCACAATGTTCGATTGATCGATAGATTAACCCAGCGGGCCGGTTGGCTATAAAATTCCAGTTTCCATAAACATTTTGAAATGGAAATAAATGAAGGACAATGACTGAATGACAGTAGCCTACTTTTGAAAGATATAAGCTTTGGCCTTTACACTTACAGCATTAGCTCCCGTATGTCGAACATATATATTATACATGAAGTAAATAAAACTAAGGTCAATTATCATTCGACTGTTTTTCAGGTGCTTTGCTCACGTGGACGAATTTAAGAGGCAACAGACCGCTGCACACTCCAAATTTCAAGAGGACGTCCACAAATCCGATATCCCCGAAAAGTCATCAAAAGTGAGCACCGAGTAACTTGTGTTTTGTATCACAAAATCAGTAATGTTTTGTTTGATATAGATAGATAGATCTGAACCTATTAACTAGTGAAGCTGAGTTGCTGTAAGTCTAACTTTGATCGAACTTCTCTGCTAGGGTAAAAAGAAGAGGACTTCCCGAAAGAAACAGGGCAGCCACTCCAGTTATTCAAGCTCTGACAACGAGGAAAAACCAAGCATTGAGGCAACTGTGAGTAGAATTGGTTGATACCTTGAGTTCTTGTGCATTGCTAATTTATTATTTAGAATTATCAAGCGAATTATCTGGTGATACTGAAACTTCTTAATAACTATTTGTGGTTGTTCATTTTAGTAAGGTCAAATTGAGAATCATAATGTGTTCGCTCCTAACAAGAATTTAATTCCTAATGGCGTCCAACGGGGAGGTTAACTTTAAATTTTATTGATAATTTCCACAATATTAAACTATGTCTTGTGAAAACCTTCCATAAATTAACGTTGCATAATAATTTTCGTTACGCCTCAAACAACTATAACCTTTAATAATTGAATATCACCACATCAAGTTCTGTGCATACTACATACGTGTGCAGTATGTATATATATAATGCTATAATGTATAATGTTCTATTCATCAGGCTGAAAAGGTCTGGAAACATTGATCAAGTTAGGAAAGTCTAACTCACTGAACCTGCTGTAACCTAATAATTTAAAATCCAGTGCATAGAGCTGGTAAATAGCGTTCATCCTACTCGGATCTAACTGACTAAAGAAAATGTCGCTATAATAAGTGCTACTATGAATGTCAACCCCAATATTCTCCCGAGACCCCGGATAGGGTGTTGAACTTGTTTTAGTCATGTCTTGGAAGAGTTCCAGGTATTCTGAGATGTGCTCGTAGGGGATTAGCAAGTCGTACGGCCACCTACAAACCTCCATTTGATCCCACTGGGAGCTGAAGTGAGGGTTTAGGGTACCGGAGGGTGTGAGGAGATATGTGTCAATGAATTTGGTGAACACCTCAAAGTCTGACGAGTTCTCGGTGAAGTTTACCCCCAGTTCTAGAAGCTCTGCTTTTCGGAGCTGTTTGTCTCTGAAAGCTGATAGAAGGCGAGTTAGTGGATTTCTTATCGCTCCAATCTTTATAAACTCCCCAAAGCTGAATCTAAAATTAGCCTCATCTTCTTTCAAAGAATCTACGATTTCAAAATGTCCTCTAGGTTTATCATGGTAGCCGTCATGAAGTTTGAAGTCGCCATCAAGATAAAATAGGAACCTCTTAAAGCTTGTGGAGCCAGTCTTAGGATTACTTGCAAACAATATCTTCTGTTCTGGCCGTTTTATCAGCATCCGCGGTTTAGGCACAGGGTTCATCCCAAAACCCCACGTTGTACTCAAGTTCTCTTGCTCGCATCGCCGTCTCACGACACTTAACATGTCCTGTGATCTTCTGATGAGCTTACTGAACCGATGTTTGGAGTTGCGGTTCAACTCTCGTGTTACATATGATATGAGTCTAGAGTTGTAGGACAAGGTCCGGTCGGTGTAGAGGAAGCTCCAATTCAAGCTATCTGCAGCATCGTCTCCACCATATTGTAAGTATCTGACTTTGGAGCGGAGAAGGGACAGATGAAACTGGATATCAGTGTATACCAGGAGGTAAGTAACTGCAAATAATGCAAGTAGAACGAACACACGAGGTGCTTTCATAGGTAGAAAACAATTTCAATTGTGTTATCTGCAATTGTTTCAATTGGGTACAATCAATACACCACACTGAATGTATCAATAACAGCCGGAACTACTAAATAGAAAGAAATGTGCTGATATCAATAGCGGCTGGTGCAGGGTGGTGCCCTAGTTATAAAATATATTGTGCCTCACCGGAAACCTCCACCCCGGTAGTAAAAATGAAACATGCGCTTAGAAGTTCTGTGCCATCCTCTTAATAATCGTAATGCAACGAACAGTAATTATATCACTAAACCACCGCTATAATAGACATCAGTGACATTAAGGGGGCAGGGGGGGGTCTTTATGAAATTTCTCTCGAAATTGATTTTATAGTTGTTTCTAATAGAGGGGAGTGATATCTAACTGCTACTTTTGGTCCCATGGAAAAATATTGTTCCTAGACGAAATTATTGCCGGTCAAAGGTCAGCGCTCATGTGTAATTGTATTGCGTGAGCGATTTTCAATCGCGCGCCCTGAAAATCGAGTCTAAAAATCTATCTCCTCCTACAGTTTTTGAGCAATTACCTTGAAACTTTCAGGATATGTTCTAAGGACCATTTAGAAACTTTTGCTCGTTTTAGAATTTCGAGATAGGCCTTTAAAATTTTTTTATTAGATTTTGAAAATCTTGGACCTCTTTTTTTGACGATTTTTCCAGGTCCAAGATTTTCAAAATGGAATAAAAAATGTTTAAAGGCCTATCTCGAAATTCTAAAACGAGCAAAAGTTTCTAAATGGTCCTTAGAACATATCCTGAAAGTTTCAAGGTGATTGCTCAAAAACTGTAGGAGGAGATAGATTTTTAGACTCGATTTTCAGGGCGCGCGATTGAAAATCGCTTGCGCAATACAATTACACATGAGCGCTGACCTTCGACCGGCAATAATTTCGTCTAGGAACAATATTTTTCCATGGGACCAAAAGTAGCAGATAGATATCACTCCCCTCTATTAGAAACAACTATAAAATCAATTTCGAGAGAAATTTCATAAAGACCCCCCCCCCCCCCCCCCCTGCCCCCTTAACGGCAACAGAAGTGGTTAGTTACGTGAAACTTATGACTAAATTAACAGCTTCCTAATGATCGTGCATTGCGGTCCGTGACCTCTTGAAATTAGGGCTAAACGTGTCGTTTATAAGAACAGCTGGTGTGTGTCTAGTGGACAACTTCATGAGTCATGACCACCGGTTGTGAACCGGTTGTGAACCGGCCGAGAACCGCTTATTGTCATTGTAATATAAAAATAAACAATACTTAGATTTTACAGCTCTGTGGTAAGTTCTCCCTAATTTATGCTCTGAATTTTGTCTTTTGTATTTATATTAGCCTCTCGAGATCATCACTTGTTCCCTCTTGACAGATCACAGTGAAGCAGAGGAAGGACCCGGAGCCGGCTGGAGAACCATCTTCTACCAAGGTATTACTACTACTACTAGTAGCTTTGTAGGTATTTAAGGGATTACAATATTCAAAGGTTGAGGGTCACCGCTATATTAGTCTTAGAATTTAGAACAGTAAAATATGATAGTTATTGATTACACAGGATTACACAGGATTACTGATGATGCCGATGGTGATATGATGATCGTCCCAGGAATAAATATTGCAAGGCTAGGTTGGCCTTATGACATCAACTTTCAACTAGCAGGAACCCGTGTTTCTTTAAAGTGGTGTCAAGAGACATTAGCCAATTTTGTTCATTTAATTTGTGATTTTGACACCGCCTGGGGATCCATTTTTTGGGACCTAAATTATTCATTCCTTGGCTAATTTTGTATTTCTTTATACTGACCAAAAGGCCATAAAAGCATTCGACCCAGCAAAAAAAGTATCAAAAGTATATCTCTCACGGTTTCCGCGGAAAGTCTTGTTAAACTTGAAGTCGTGATGTCAGTAAAATGGCAATTGCCACATTCTTTGAAATTATAGATCTTCTGTTCATACATTTTGTTGTACCGTGCAGATACAGACAAGTAACCGTACTACATATCTTACTATATGTAAAGCGAGACGATATATATATTAATATATATATCGTCTCGCTTTACATATAGTAAGATATGTAGTACGGTTACTTGTCTGTATCTGCACGGTACAACAAAATGTATGAACAGAAGATCTATAATTTCAAAGAATGTGGCAATTGCCAATTAGGCCTTAGACAAAGGTCAAACTTACGGTATTCACGCATCATGGTTTTATAGCTTTACCTACAAGACGTGTAGTGATGTCAATTATTTAGTAGACTGACATTCCCTAATTGCCACAGATTCCTGATGACCCCGTGACTATGGAGCCAGATGAAAACGACATCAAGGACTTTGAGAAGCTTGTTGTAAAGACTAATAATATTGAGGTTGGAAATAGGAATTTTGTTTTCTGTATTTGCTGTATAAAAACCTGATTTTATTGACTCATTATTTATGATTTTTACCGGTCTCATGGTTTAAAATTAGTAATCGATAACGAAGATAAATGAATAAATTGATTATGTTACACTATAAATTATGATATCCACTATCCACTGTTTGTAACGATAGTACCATTGCAGGAGGAACATGCTATAGTGTTACAATCATCTGATACTGAAGATGAACCTGAACCACTGAAACTTCCTCCCAAGATAGAGGGTTTGTTTGGATTTGGGTCGATTATTATAAAATTCTTTGTACTTGTAGCCTCATTTTGTTCAAGTTGTATATTGAACAATAAATTCCGGTTTAAAATATTGTATAATATATGTATTCTTCAGAAGATTTGAAGCTTGAATCTTCGTCTTCATCGGAGGACGAAAAAGAAGACGAAAAAGCGAATGAAGAAGGAACGCGTATAGATATAGAAATTATAAAGGTATACTTTCAAATATATTTCACAGAAGCAAACACAAAAACGTTCTATTACTTTATATTCAACTTCGGCTCAAAGATAAAAAAGCTGCAAAAGTATGAACCTCCAAATTTAAAACTTATTATCAGCAATACATACATAATGAAAAAATAATAGCAAGGGATGCTATCCGATAAGGTATGCAACATAAGATGCTATCGAATAACCATACAATACTTTGACTTTAGTCCAAGTACCATCGGCAATCACTGGACTTGCTCGCAACTCCAGTAAGTTTCCCATTTTTAACTGTCAGGTACTTCTTCCCATAGTTAGCGAAAATAACAACAGCCCTTCTTCCCGTGTCATCAGTCTCATCGGTTGACAGTATCCACTCCTCAGCTCCGTAATGCTGAGCCTTGGTGTAAATATAATCCCCGTTAGGATCGTACCCAAGGTACCCTTGGGTGGCATAGTTTTTGAAGAAGACAATGTTGCTCCCCCTACCCTGACCCTCCTGGACCCAGTAGCTGGTGTCCTCTGGACGATCCCGTATGGTGAGAGAGTTTCTGCTTCCGCTTGCAGGATGGAATTTAACTTGTCCTGTCTCTGCGAGGTACTTTTTAGCACTGATGTGGATGAAGGCACGACCTTTTTTAGGTGTAGCCAGTTGCTTGGCTTCGTTGGATGAAACGTTGACTGCAACGTTGGCGATTTTATCACCGCATGTTGCGGTTATTTCTTTCACTAAAGATTGCATGCTTGTTTCGAACTTTGCGTTGTTCCGGAAGTCGATCCAAAGCATGCCAGCCGTCAGTAACCCCAACCAACTGGAAGCTTTGAAGTTGGGTTGTGCCATGCAAGGCACGATGTCTTTGTCACAACCGTCGGTATAGTTGAGCTCTTTCTTGCAATTTTTAGAAGCCTGATATTTCTCAGTCAAGAAAGGACACACCACTATGGAGTTCTCAACAGCTGAAAATACAGTTTTAATCTATACCCTAAATTTAACAGACTGCAAGTGTAAATACGCGACCATAACTTATTATGTCTTATCGTAAGTTCGACACAGTAAAAAGTAGCTATAAATTTAGCTAACCTTCAGCCATGGCTTCATTTATATTCCCTGACATATCCTGCAGATCCATCCAAACGTTAAAACCCAGACCTTCCAGTTTTTCAAACACTTTCTTGGCCAAATCTTGGACGTCCCACTGGTATGATAACATGATATGTGGCATATTTTCTCCTTAGCTCTGTATAGGAATGTGTTTGTTAAATTCTAGAAGTTCTAATAATTCTAAATCAGACGACCCTACAAGTATTATTAAAGAATTTACACATTGAAATACAGACGTTTTAAAACAGTTATAATACTAATAGATTTACTTAATTTACAACGAGAGAATTGGCAAGAGAGAGAGAAAGAAAGAGAGAGAGAGAGAGAGAGAGAGAGAGAGAGAGAGAGAGAGAGAGAGAGAGAGAGAGAGAGAGAGAGAGAGAGAGAGAGAGAGAGAGAGAGAGAGAGAGAGAGAGAGAGAGAGAGAGAGAGAGAGAGAGAGAGAGAGAGAGAGAGAGAGAGAGAGAGAGAGAGAGAGAGAGAGAGAGAGAGAGAGAGAGAGAGAGAGAGAGAGAGAGAGAGAGAGAGAGAGAGAGAGAGAGAGAGAGAGAGAGAGAGAGAGAGAGAGAGAGAGAGAGAGAGAGAGAGAGAGAGAGAGAGAGAGAGAGAGAGAGAGAGAGAGAGAGAGAGAGAGAGAGAGAGAGAGAGAGAGAGAGAGAGAGAGAGAGAGAGAGAGAGAGAGAGAGAGAGAGAGAGAGAGAGAGAGAGAGAGAGAGAGAGAGAGAGAGAGAGAGAGAGAGAGAGAGAGAGAGAGAGAGAGAGAGAGAGAGAGAGAGAGAGAGAGAGAGAGAGAGAGAGAGAGAGAGAGAGAGAGAGAGAGAGAGAGAGAGAGAGAGAGAGAGAGAGAGAGAGAGAGAGAGAGAGAAAGAATTGGCAAAGCTTATTATCTCACAGACAACACAAGTCACAACAAAACAAGCTTTCTGAGATAGTAAACAACTGTCCTATCTCTGAGTTAGGTTACTGTTAAAATTCCTCCGCTCTAGTCTCTAGAATCATAGTAACGATTGTAATCGAGTTATCTCACCAGTATGATATTATGTTGAGCCTGTTAAGTTGCCATGGTGATTGCTCCGCATTTCTCTCTACACTCCAATATCCATTCTCCACTAATCCTCCTCATGCAAGCTTTGGGAGGCTATTTGTTACATTCTCAGTGGCTAAACTTGCACGCTCGACCCAACATGCTCTGCAATAGCCTGCAATTTCTGGCTCTCTCTACGCTACAAAGCCACCTCGTGTAAATTAGCCACCTCGTGTAAATTAGAGCTCTGAATTCTCTCCTGAGCTATTACGGCGGAAGCTTAAAACAAAAGTGTGGAGAGTTTGGGGCCAGTATTTTGTAGTTGAAGAGTGACATGGCATTCCCAAGCCCTACTAGTGTACTACTTGGTACCTCGGATATAATTGTAAAGCTAATGTCCTACACCAGCTAATGGGAGGGGCAGTATCATGCAGCTACTTAGCATAGGTACACTGATCTGTGCTCTCAGATGAATTATTTAGCAAGATAGCTCGTGTATAAGTTATACGCCAACATACTACTTACAGTTAAACCTCGTATCAAAAATTATTAATAATCCATTATCGGGGTCCAGAATCTACCAGGTCCGTACTGTGAGCGGGCAGTGACTGTACTAGGATGCCCGTTGTCACAGGGATCATACATCCGGATCCCGGTGGCACTGTCGCGGCACTCTCGTGGCACTGTGGATGCACTATGACGGCACTCTATATGAAGGTATAATGATTGTCTTATGCTTTTGAACGAACATGATTCTCGTACCCGAGAGGTAGATCATGAAAATGGGAATCACGTAATCCTTCATAGCCATTCAACGTGTTATCGTGTAAACATGATTAACATGTAAAACATGATGGTAAAAATGTGTGGACATGTCATGAGCATATAGAAAATGGAAATACAATATGACGTATGTCCAGCAATACTAGCCTGACGACTGGTTAATAATAAAATTAGAGCAGCCGACTCAAAAGCCGAAGTGTTGAATGTACATTAGCACATTCCTGTCACGACGTATTTGTGTATTTCTCTACCCTTTATAAATTGGTAAGGTGTGAGCTTTTAGTGTCTTCGCAGTGAAAACCAATCATAGATACCATTCCATACACCTTATCAGTTTCGCTGAGCTTTTTAAACCATAATCTTATTTCGAAAATAAGTGCCCACCGTTCTGTTTACTTCAGAAAAACAACTTTTGAGTGCTATATTTATTATCTGACTGTAGGCGTGCAATCATTTCGCTTTGTTGCGTAACATAAGACGTTTAGTTCAAGAATACATCTGTTATCAAGTATAAGTTGCCAGAAACTGATGGAGATTGGTCAATTTAAAACTTTAACATGGGCTCTGCATGCGATAGCTACATGCTGCTCACTTTGATAATTACCTTTTCCTACACAGTGCACAAACTCTTGCATATTACTCTATGTGTTGTGAGAGCAGATTGTGATTGTTTTTTGTCTTTTCCGCAGATTTTGTCTACATACCTTTGACTGCACGAATTTAAATCTTCTAGCTTCAATCTAAACCGAGGGGTAGTCCAGGATGCCGCACATAATGATTTCGTACCAGTGGGACTCCCAGGAGTTGGCCAAGAAAGTGTTTGAAAAACTGGAGGGTCTGGGTTTTGACGCCTGGATGGATCTGGAGGATATGTCAGGAAATATAAATGAAGCCATGGCTGAAGGTTAGTTGACTGTAAGATAAGTGATACAATCAAAGCTTTTTCACTAAATCACTTCTACCAGAATATTCCAGGCTAAAAGCCTGGGCAGTGGGCAAAAAATTAAACTTAAATTAAACGAATAAGAATGAAGCTTTAATGAAGAATATTTACATTTCAGCGGTTGAGAATGCCATGGTAGTGTGTCCCTTCCTGACTGAGAAATATCAGGCCTCCAAAAATTGCAAGAAAGAACTAAACTATAGTGATGCCTGTGACGTAGCCTTCGTGCCCTGCATGATTCAACCAAACTTTAAAGCGAAGGGATGGTTGGGACTACTTACCGCTGGAATGCTATGGATAGACTTCCGAAATCCGGATAACTTTGAGCAAAGTGTGGAGTCATTGGTGAAGGAAATAACTGCGGCATGCGGTGATAAGGTCGCTGAAATTGCGCTCAAAGTGACCAGCGAGGAGACGAAACAATTGGTAACCCCTCAGAAGGGTCGAGCTTTCATCCACATCTCCACCAACAAGTATTTAGCCGAGACTGGGGAAGTGATAACCCATTGGGGCAGTGGCAGTCGAAGTACCTTAACCGTGACAGACACACCCGAGGATACCAGTTTTTGGGTACAAGTAAAGGAAAAGGGAAGCGAAATCGTCTTCTTCAAAAACTATGCCACTCAGGGTTACCTTGGGTACGATCCTAACGGGGATTATATTTACACCAAGCCGGACCATTACGGGGCTGAGGAGTGGCTACTTATGACGGACGAAAATGACGACACTGGAAAAAGAGCCGTCATCATTTTTGCTAACTATGGGAAGAAGTACCTTACTGTTCGGGATGGTGAACTCACTGGAGTTGATGACGTCTCTACTGATTGCCGATGGTACCTTCATTAGGTGTCGTAAATTATGTTCTGTCGAAAGAACGTTGAAGCTTACGAGGGAAGCTAGAATTGAAAATACTCGACTGCACAGTAAAACTGAACGCTTTATCTTTGTACAAAAACATCTTGAATAAAACCTTTTAAGTTTTAACCCAAAAAAGTCAAAGTTTTTTGTTTTTTTAATTCTCAACGGGCCTCACTTTTTTTTCACCGTTAAATAACATTAATTTTGATCAATATATTCTGAATGCTTATTTTGGTGAATAATGAAAATCATGCTGCTTGAAATAAGAAAGATGCTTTCACTATCGTACTAACTTTCCGTGACAAATTAGCATAGTGCAACTTAAAGCTTTTCAGCTCAGCTTACAAAAATGTTCGTATGAGAAGTCAATTCATTGTATAAAATGTTCCTGATTCTATAACGTCCCGACAACATTAAAACTTTATATTACAGGAAGTCACTGAGAACGGTTACGATGCTGAAGAATTCCACAGTGACAACGATGAGGAGGATAAAAAGTCAGACATTTCCGTGGCCAGCACGTTGAGCGTCGATAGCATTACAAGCGAGGCTAGTGTCAAAAGTGACGCTAGCATCAAAAGTGAGGCTAGCGTCAAAAGTGATGTTAGTACCAAGAGCGAAGCTAGCATTAAAAGTGAGACAAGCATCAAAAGCGCAAGCAGCAGTAAGAGTAATTCTAGCATTAAGAGTAATTCCAGCACAAAAAGCGCAAGCAGCATCAAAAGCAATACTAGTAATAAGAGTTACTCCAGCATTAAAAGTGACGCCACAATCAAGAGTGAAGGAAGCATGAAAAGTGAAACCAGCGTAAAGAGTCATAGTAGCAGTGCCAGTAGCGCTAGTACGAAGAGCTATAAATCAGATTCCAGCAAAAAAAGTGACAGGTCCATCAGCTCAAAAGGCAGTTCCAGCTCTGTAAAGAGTGATAGAGACGACTCAAGTTTCAGCTCAATGAAAAGTGAAGATTCGATCAAAGAGCTGGAAGAAGATAAGCCTAAAATTGGTGAACCAAGTCATCTTACCAAGTCATCTGTTCAAGACCCAGCCCCTACAGAAGAGTCACCTTCATTGATAAGTACCTTTGAGCCAACTTTCGAAGTCCCTCCACCAACAGTGACATTTACCGAATCTACTCCAGAACCAAAGAGTCCGGCTCCTGAGATTCTTAGCCCAGCTCCTGAAATTCCTCCTTTAGCTTTTGAGACTCCTCAATCAGTTCCTGGACCAGTCACTCCAGTTAATGAGGAATCGGTCCCTGAAACGACAAAAGAGCAACCTTCTCCCGCTTCTGAACCAGTGACTCCAGTTATTGAGGAACCATCTGAAGTAACAGAAGAAAGTCGTCCTAGTCCTCCTGTTACTCTGGAAATAACACCAGAACCGGAACCCAAACCTGACTCGACAGGAGTGAAATCTGTCGAGGAGGTTCCCTTATCAACAGTAGAATCAAAAGTAGTTGAAACAGTAGACGAATCTAAGGTCGAGGAAAATAACACTAAGGAAGTGTCGTCGCTACTGGTAGACAAAGTTGTAACGAAGGAACAGGACCCAAAACCAGAAGAAGTTGCTCAGCCAAAAGAAGAGGAAGTTCAAGAAACATTGCACATGAAAGGAAGGCTAGATATAGGTGAAGAAACATTGCAGAAAGAAGGAAGACTGGATATAGGCGAAGAAACATTGCAGAAAGAAGGAAGGCTGGATATAGGTAAAGAAGCTATTGAAGAATCTGCTGATACTGACAGGCGACAGGATGCCGGTTTTGGGGCACGAGTAAGTAAATTTTACATGTTTACTTTCGCGATAGAATATAGAATTGGTAACTTGTTAGGAGGTGACGCTAATTTCCTTTTCATTGTTAGAGCTCTGTATAACCTGTCGAGACCACTACAAAGTACAAGGGGATGCAAAAGATTCCCCCATTCACGTCCTCAATTATTGTAGTCTAGTCTATTAGCATCCCAGTAAAATGTGCAGTTTTAACTTTAAAGCGCATGTATGTCTATTGTTTAGAACACGTTTTATGATAAACTTAATATTAGAGTTATAAACTTCATCAGCAACTTGCACCGTGCATGCTATAGCTATAATACAAGCTATAATACAAGCACTATGACGTTATAGAGGCTTTGTCAATGTCATGGAGAAGGTAAAGGGGGTAAATATTTTACACTACCATGGCATTTACAGTAGGTGTTTATTTATCCATGTCTAAGCTGAATGTTGTGGAATGTCTCAATTTTGATTGGCTCTAGTATGAGTCATGCTGTGTACCCAAAAGGGTAGGTTCTAGCATGACTGCATAGTGCATAATTTTATCGCATCGGTAGGTTCGGTCTATGATGGATGGCATGAGCTTTATGAACTCTATGAGAGCGGCAGTGGTATGTTGTTTGAATTTTGACATCTTCGAAATTCGTTTCTCGGACTCTTCTAAAACTGCTTGATTTTACTATATTAATAACGATAAAGTTATCTATTTGAATCTTAAGGTACCTAGGCCCTACCACCGTTTCAACTTCTCTACAACAAACTTTCAGTTGTTGTAATTCTTCGCCATGTTTGAAGGTTTCTCTCCATAACTGCTTTTTAAATCTTATTCGTTCACCTTATTCTACATTTTCTTAGATTCTCTTTTGTTGTTTTTGTTTGGATTACATTGCCCTAGCATGATAGGAAGTCCACCTTTTTACATGGTGGTCAATATTCATTTGGAATTGCTTTTTTTGTTGTCGTGAAGAGGGAGACGGGAGTATGTTATGATCTCCCTCATTTCTTTCTTGCCTGAATTCTGCATGCACAAACGCTTGGCATCTCATAGATTTCGTGCACTTTTCTGGTTTTGATTGCTTCTCTTATCTTCCTATATCGAAGTGCTCCGTATGTTATCTTGGGACCTTGCACTTGCTGCATCACATTCTATAGTCGCTCATAAGTATTTCCAGGCTGGTTACTAGCTATATCTCTGAACCAGTGATCATCAACAAATTTCAGACGGAAACATTGGGCACTGAGCTATCTGATACAATTGTTGACTTTCTTGAGAAATTAACTGGTCCTGATGATCAAGAAGAGGTAGGGTCGTGGAAAGCCTGATTATCATAAAACACAATATTGTCCTGCTCGTTTGGTTTTTCTGGGTTTGTTGTATGATTATTTTTATCGATCGATTACAAAATGAAGTGTACCAATGTTGACTTGTTGCGGTACTGATTCATTTGACAATTATACTATCTCTTAATATTCGTGTTTCTCGTTACAAAGAGGATTAATCTCGAGATGTATAATTAAATACATATTCTTACATTATACAACCCTGTTTCTATTATATACTGGTTAAATATCAGCGATTTATGATACCGGTCCTTTTATTCAACATACACGAGATCCATAACACTACTCTGTTGATCCATAACATCTTGTACCCCAGGTAACATCTTGTACCCCAGGTAACATCTTGTACCCCAGGTAACATCTTGTACCCCAGTTAACATATTGTACCCCAGGTAACATCTTGTACCCCAGTTAACGTCTTGTACATAAGGTAACATCTTGTACCCCAGGTAACATCTTGTACCCCAGGTAATATCTTTTACCCCAGGTAACATCTTGTACCCCAGGTAACATCTTGTACCCCAGGTAACATCTTGTACCCCAGGTAACATCTTGTACCCCAGGTAACATCTTGTACCCCAGGTTACATCTTGTACCTCAGGTAACATCTTGTACCCCAGGTAACATCTTGTACCCCAGGTAACATCTTGTACCCCAGGTAACATCTTGTACCCCAGGTAACATCTTGTACCCCGCGTAACATCTTGTACCCCAGGTAACATCTTGTACCCCAGGCTACCATGTTAACATCCTGTACCCCCAGGAAAATGAAGGAAGTGATAACGAAAGTGAAGTTAGTATTCACAGCAACAAGAGTAACACTTCCGACACCACCACTAGTGAGTAGTACAGCTGTAGGGTATAGATCTAAGACATCTGTTTTACCGCTTGATTTGACGTGGCTTATCTTGAATAAGATGTATCAGAACTATTGGACACTGTTTAAGTTTATCGATTTTTTTGTTGAAAACTGGGAAAACTTGGTTGACTCGTTTTTGCCGACTGTCAACTAATGGTTTGTAGGTTCATATGTTTCAGATGCATCAGCCTCCACCACCCAACTCACGAAGGTCCTTTCACCTACGCACAGTATTCTCTCTACAGATAGTAGCAAGAGTAAGGACCCTAACAGACGCATCCGCTTCTCCGACACGGTTTGTTCTTTTCCAGGTTTAGGCTGATTTGGTGTCCTTTCGGTGGACCGATGGTTTAAATATTTGTTATAAATTATACCATAGGACTTTCACAGATGCATTATCATGTGTTGCAAAATTAATTGATACCACAATATCACATCAACAACAAATTAGAACTAGATTCAGCTCATTTGAACAGCATGTCCACTCATTCACCCATTCATTATCACAGATTGGGAGTTGGATATCTCAGTTAGGATTTAAGAAGAAAACAACGGAAACAAGCAAGAAATCTGTATCTCCAGCAAATTCAAGGTCGTCATTGTCTTTCCGACGGATCTCGTCTCTTGATAGCAACAGTTCCAGACATTCCATTACTGGTCGGGATTCTTCGACCTCGGTTTCATCGGCAAAATCATCATCAAAGTCAAAATCTATTACTAAGGGGGAATTTCTAGATACAGTCTCTGAAGCTGATCTTCTTTCAAATTTTGAGTCACAAGATTGCATAGCTTCTATCCAGAAGGGCAAATCTGACCGACGATCTTCAAAATCGAGTGGTATTCCATCTTCATCTCGTTCTCGGAGGAGATCGTCTAGATCTGAAAAAAGCGAACCGTTCCACTCCAACTCTATTTCTCTTCCACAGAATGTATCTAAAGAGAGTCTTGATACGTCTACAGAATTGTCTATGACCCCTCAATTAGACGAAAAACAACCATCTGCAATTAGTGAAACATTTGGAGCAAGCTCAGGAGGTACAATTTCTACCTTGTTAAGTTCTGATTTGTTACCAGATAAAGTGAAGAGTAATAGTTCATTTAACAGCTTCAGTTCAAAATCATCTAATTCAACGCTGATACCACAAGATATTTCTAAACAGGACCAACACCCCTCGCAGAGTTTATTACCAGGTTGTAAATCTATAGAAAGACCTATAAGTGCTAGTGATGATGTAGGTCAGAGGTCATCAATTTCAGAAGATACTTTTCCGGTTCGCACTTCTCGCAGAATGATGTCAATCAATTCATATCGATCCAACTCCAGAGATTCTACTTTCATTCCGCAGAATTTTTCAAAGGAGATTCCTGGTGCCTCAGAACAATCTCTTCGATCTCTAAAGCAGATGAACAGCAACAATCCATGGTCAATGAAATATTTGGAGCAAGCTCAGGAGCTGCACCTTTTACCTTGTTAAGTTCTGAAATGATACCAGATAAAGCGAAGAGTAATAGTTCATTTAACAGCTTCAGTTCAAAATCATCTAATTCAACGCTGATTCCACAAGATGTTTTTAAAGAGGATCCTTACCCCTCGCAGATTTCGTTACCTGCAGGTTTTAACTCTATAGAAAGACCTATAAGTGCCAGTGATGACGTAGGTCAGAGGTCATCAATTTCAGAAGATCCTTCTCCGGTTCGCACTTCTCGCAGAATGATGTCGATCAATTCATATCGCTCACAGGAGATCCCTGAAGCCTCAGAACAATCTCTTCTTATCTCTCAAACAGATGAAAAACAACTATCTGCGATCGGTGAAATATTTGGAGTAAGCTCAGGAGGTACAATTTCTACCTTAAGTTCTGAAATGTTAACAAATAAAGTGGCGAGTAACAGTTCATTTAACAGCTTCAGTTCAAAATCATCCGATTCAACGCCGATTCCACACGATGTTTTTAAAGAGGATCCTCACCCCTCGCAGATTTCGTTACCTGCAGGTTTTAACTCTATAGAAAGACCTATAAGTGCCAGTGCTGACGCAGGTCAGAGGTCATCAATTTCAGAAGATCCTTCTCCGGTTCGCACTTCTCGCAGAATGATGTCGATCAATTCATATCGCTCACAGGAGATTCCTGAAGTCTCAAAACAATCTCTTCTTATCTCTGAAACAGATGAAAAACAACAATCTGCTATCAGTGAAATGTTTGGAGCAAGCTCAGGAGGTACAATTTCTACCTTAAGTTCTGAAATGTTAACAAATAAAGTGGCGAGTAACAGTTCATTTAACAGCTTCAGATCAGATACAAGTGGAGGATACGCATCTAACTCTAGGGTAAGGGAGGCTGCTTTAAAACTTTACCCGAAACCAGAGCCATCAGAAGCGATGAGGAGTGTACCAAGGCAATCAACACAAAAATTGGACAGCCACTTACAAGAAAAGTCATCGAAGGGATCTGTTAGAAGTAAACGATCAGAGAATATTCTACAATCGGATAATGACGAAAAAAGGCAGTCTTCAGAGGATACATTTTTAAACTTGCACAACTCAATGTCAGTTCCACAAGTCGTTTCTGAAAAGAGTCCCGACAATGACATCTCTCTGATGTCTGCATCGACTCCACAGACAGAAGAAAAAGAGGCTTCAAGCATGATCAACGAATTATTCGGGACAAGCTCAGGAAGTACACTTTCCACCTTTTCATCAGGTTCTGATCTATCAGAGAAATGGCTGAGAAGTGACTAAGATAAATTCTCCTTATGACTTTATGAAAAGAGAAAAGATGGGGCTAGACCAGTGCTCACAACCATCAGTACAGACGTTGATAAAATTAATCATGACTATCAAAACATACTTTGGATAATAAAATTTGCATTCTATGCCAGATAAAGCGGAAGGCAAGACATTTAGGTTTTTGTAACAGAATTTTAAGTAATTCATTTCATGAAAGAGATTATTAAATTCTTCCCGTTCTCCTCACACGTACTTGATATTCTAAACACCATGTACATTCTACATCATCTGAGTGTTGGTTTCAAACAAACAAACTAAGACATAATATTTTCGAATCCGACATAGTGATCTGATGCTCCGATTATATTATAATCAATAAATCATTCAAAATTATGTTCACTTCAACCATATTTCAACTGATTCCAACTCTCAACATTCCAATCATCTGCACATTCCTTGAATCTCGCCACGTTCTATCAGCATCCACTTCATATCTGGACAAGTCATCATTTTACATCATCTCTATCATTGACTCTCTTCTACTCATAGGTTATTCAACGAGTTGCATCTGACGATGAGGATTATTAGACACTAGACAGCTAGTTCATGTTCACGTAATGGACTAAGAAAGTTGAGGGAAATGTTTTACGACAGTAGGACCACACACCATTCAGATCAATTAGTCGTTGCGTAATCAGTAACTGCAGTAACCACAGTAACCTAACAGTAACATAACAGTGACTAGATGACCCCACTGGTATCTGTTGATTCTTGCAGAACTTGTATTGGAAGGAAATTGTTAAATTCGTCATTAAAGCCCCTGGCCTTTATAAGTTTATAGAGCCCTAGCTTACCTAGCTGTAACATCTAACCTACCCTAAAATTTCATACCTATTCTATTTCTACTAAGGAGTGGAGAAAATGAATATTGAAATCCTGATTTGTCTCCGAAGAAGAATGGAGTGCTTGCTGAAATATTCTGTTTTCGTTTAATTGTGGAAATGAATAAGATTTTTGGGAAATTATGTACTCAATCAAAATGTTCGTTTTTTCGTATATCTGAGCTGTGAGTGGAGTTATTGTTATTCATATTGTGATCACCCGTCACCGCCTCCTCCTTTTTCATGTTTTTGTTCGCTGAAAAGATTATTCAGTTATACTTCCGATCGAAAAATCAAAAAGTTAAAATGAAAGCGTCAATTCCATACAACAATCTGTCTATATTACTATCTTTACACCGCCTAAACTGTTGTGATCTTATATCATAAGGTTTTCGGCGGGGTGTTTGGACTGTAAAAATGCTTTTGTTAAAGATTTCATTACTTTTGAAGATATCAATGATAGTATCTTTATGTTTGCCCTACCAAGTACAGAAATACATGCTGACGGTAAAAATGCTATCCGCTCTTTGCGTTCTCGTTATAAGTTTAATATTTTAAATTAGCGGCAATGAAATATGAAACAGGTATATATATATATATATATATATATATATATATATATATATATATATATATATATATATATATATATATATATATATATATATATATATATATATATATATATATATCGGTAAATTATCGGTAAATTATCGGATAAATATAGCCATCATGATCAAGTATAAATAACGAAGATCTTAATTCATGCGAGCATCCACCAACCTGTCGCGGTTTGTTTAAATTATCACAAACTGATAACCAATGCTTTGTTACTGGAACTTGTACAGTACACTTGTACAGTTAATTTACTGTTATAGGAAATATTTTGAAATATGAGTATAATTTTAGTAAGAGTTGTTGGTTTTGATTAAGCCTATGGTAGAATGTTCTGGAACTCAGGAACTGTAATCAGATTTAAATTGTAATGACAACGGTGCAATTCAAATGTTTGATCGGTACAACTACAAATGAATTTGTATCTAACCAGTAATCAGTGAAATAAAAACAAAATGCTCTTTCATTAATAGGTTTTAAGTTTTTTAAAGGGAGCCCTAACGAAACTTAAAAATGACAACGTAAATTTTATTGTGCCTGTAGATTGTTATCAATCTTATCAGTTTACGTAATAAATAAATTATCGTTTTATTTTGTCATGTTGGTAAGTAAATATTAATTTGATGATCATTGATCATGGACATGATCAAAAATTATTCATTTTTACGGGGGTACGGTGAATTTGTCACACGTTAATTGTAAACCTGCGCGGCCCTAGCTGTATCGTGGATTTTATAATAACCACGATATTAGTGAAATGACAATGGTATGGGGGTCACGACGTGTTACAACGGTGAATAAAAGCTGAATATAATTAGTATTACCTAGCAATTTGGTTATTGGTTATATACTGATAAAAACTGTATAAAACGCGTTAGACAATGCAAAAGTTCTAAGTCTAACACGGAGGCCATCCATAAAATTAAATTGGATTTTACTAATTCAAGTGCAGAAAAGTGCGCTAGATTTCGACAAAGTACTGATGTTAACGGGTGGTACTCGTAAAATATCTGTTCCACTTCCATATAATCCAACTCGGCGCGCGTCCTGGTAGGTTATAAACCTACAATACTGATGGAGAATATTTCCTTATTTCGTACAGGCCCTAAGGCAGAAGGCTAAAATGACTCCTGCAAATTTTGAACATCGAATTTGAGGGCCATTTTTTTACTATTTTTATCAACTTTGGAAACCTGGTCACCGTTGTGATCGGGATCCACGTTCTTTTTGAAATCTTTTGAAAGTTTGCATGCTTATAAAACTATATATAAAATACCGATATTTACGGTGATTCAATATTCATATAATTGTATGCGCACGCAACGTCTGCTCAATTAGTTTACACGAGCGAAAGTTGAAAATTTTGCTCATTCGTGATCTCGAATAAATTTTGCTTTCCGATCCAGCGACATTTAGATGGCATTATATAATATATATGGATTTAATGCCAACTTGAATGAGTAAAAAGTGGCATATTCAGTCAGTGATCGATAAATATGCTTACCTAAACAAAAAGAAATGTTTTCAAATATAAATTTCGAAATCGTTGAAATTACCTCTTTATTAATGAAATTATGAGTTTACATTTTAATGTCCGTTCAAGTAAAGTCCGTGCATTTAAAGTCCGTCCAAGTTAAAGTCCGTTGAAATTTTTTCTAAAATTTTTCCACTGATGGAGAATATTTCCTTATTTTGTAGGCCTTAAGGCTAAAATGACTCCTGCAAATTTTTAACATTGAATTTGAGGGCCATTTTTTGACTATTTTTATTAACTTTGGAGACCCGGTCACCGTTGTGATCGGGATCCACGTTCTTTTTGAAATCTTTTGAAAGTTTGCATGCTTATCAAACTATATATAAAATACCAATATGCAAAAATTTACGGTAATTCAATATTCATATAATTGATTAATTGTATGCGCACGCAACGTCTGCTCAAGTAAAAAGTGGCATATTCAGTCAGTGATCGACAAATATGCTTACCTAAACAAAAAGAAAATATGTTTTCAAAGATAAATTTCGAAATCGTTGAAATTACCTCTTTATTAATGAAGTTATGAGTTTACATTTCGACTTTGTAAAGTACCCTGACATTATAATCAAAAAGAGATGATATTTGACCAAAACCCATAATCATGGGTAGAATGGACCGCTGCCAGTGTCTCTCTTTCCCAAACAAAAGGAAATGATATTAATTTGAATAACCGTCCGCAAATGCAAAACGATACCTCCTTAGCTGAGGACTAGATGCTTCGTTCATGCTTACAATTATTGAGATTTGGCAGAAATACCGGTGCCACCCGATAACTATAAGCTGCTCAGCTTATAATAAAATACCTTATCCGTATCGGACCTTATTAATTTGGACGGACATTAATTGAACGCTGGAGGCCGTTATAACGTCCATTTTAATGTCCGTTCAAATAAAGTCCGTTCATTTAAAGTCCGTCCAAGTTAAAGTCCGTAGAAATTTTTTCTAAAAACAGTGCTAGGAAAGCTCCACGTGATGTCAAGGTTAACCTAAAGTTGTCTAAGATAAAACCACTTCACACCGAATGGCTAGTTGTAAAAATTAACACTGAAATGCAGGACTGGGGTAGTTTGAGCATGGACTATTTCATGCACGAAAACCCATTTGATGAAGATGATATTATGTAATATTAGACACTGATCATGTACACATATTTTAACTTTTTTACTGCTTTAACGACTGCTTTTCTGGTTCTTTTGCGATAGTCAAAACGCGACAACTAGCGCTGAATGGCGACAACTAGCGCTATCAAGCGCTAGTTGTCGCCATCCAGCGCTAGTTGTCGCTATCCAGCGCTGGATATTAACGCTGGCCAGCGCAAAATATATATGTTCGATAATTGTCGCTATCCAGCGCTAGTTGTCGCCATCCAGCGCTAGTTGTCGCCATCCAGCGCTAGTTGTCGCTATCCAGCGCTAGTTGTCGCTGGCTATGCGACACTGTCGCACGCGATAGTTTGCGATGGCCAGCGCAACTGGCCATCGCAGAAAACAGTTCGATAACTAGCGCTGGATAGCGACAACTAGCGCTGGATAGCGACAACTAGCGCTGGCCAGCGCTAAGCGACAGCCAGCGCTAACCAGCGCTAACCAGCGCTAACCAGCGCTAACCAGCGCTAACCAGCGCTAACCAGCGCTAACCATCGCTAACCAGCGCTAGCTGACGAGTAATATCGCAACTATATTGCACTGGCCAGCGCTGGCTGACGAGTAATACTAATACCGTGCTAAATAGCCAAATCACTCTACTATACAGTCGATCTTCGAGATTGTTCTAAAAGGGCCCCCGATGGTTGTAACCAACTTCAATCGATGCAATGTATTTTCGGACGCTAATTCCGAATCAACCCCCATGACATTGGACATAGGGTTAAAATGCTCTCCTGACGAGATATTGGCGAAAAACTGTATCGATCACGTGATATGACCGTATAAGGAAGTTAGTCTAATTTCTCGTTAGGGTTAGGGTACCAGCATATGTTTTTGTTAAGGATTGGGATAGGGTTAGGGTTGGGATCAGATTAGAGGGTTAGGGTTTCGAAAAGTCGTTCAGAACCAGCTAGAGTCAGAGAATGGGTTTAAAAAGTCACGTGACAGTCGAGTGTAAAGTGATTAATCATCATTCGAGTAATATTGCAAGTATATGATTTTGATACATTGCGCTGGCTAACGCTGGCCAGCGCTGGTTAGCGCGCGCGCTGGTTAGCGCTGGTTAGCGCTGGTTTGCGCTGGTTAGCGCTGGTTAGCGCTGGTTAGCGCTGGCCAGCGCTAGCTGACGAGTAATAGCGCAAAAATATTGCGCTGGATATCGATGGCCAGCGCTGGCCAGCGCTAGTTGTCGCTATCCAGCGCTAGTTATCGAACTGTTTTCTGCGATGGCCAGTTGCGCTGGCAGTGGCCATCGCAAACTATTGCGTGCGACAGTGTCGCATAGCCAGCGTCAAATAGCGCTGGATAGCGACAACTAGCGCTGGATGGCGACAACTAGCGCTGGATGGCGACAACTAGCGCTGGATAGCGCTAGTTGTCGCCATCCAGCGCTAGTTGTCGCGTTTTGACTATCGCAAAAGAACCGCTTTTCTTATTTATAGTATAAAAATGGATTTAAAAATCATTTGCTAAAGTTTTTTAAAAGTTTTAAAAAATGAAAAAAATTCGGATTTTTGATGGTTTTGAATGCCTTTTAGCGTTCATATTAATGTCCGTTCATAACTATGTCTGTTCATTTAATGTCCGTACAAATAAGGTCTGATAAGGTAGATAAAATTCAAGTGTATTTTAAAGCAATTTGTCCTAAAGAACGGTAATTATATTTATATCTAGTTTAATCTTGTTCAGCCTCCTCGAAAAGCAGCCGCCGTGTCAAGTCCCCATACATCGTGGTCCGGTAGTTTCATTGCGTCCTAATGTAATATGGTTACAGGGTTTTCGCTTCGATTTCATCACTAAAAATCGTACTATTTTCGATTCTCTGGGCCAGGTCTGCTACAACACAACTCAAGTTTACGTCTAAACTACTCCCCTAGCGTGTGTATGTGATCACACACAATATTTCCTGATTACTAGATTAGTTATACGATCATAACACATTGTATAATCAAATTATCCAAAAACCTGCCAATTTGACAAATCCAGTATGTAAATTATTTAACCTCCTAGAACTTAATTAGATCAGCATCTCACAATTCCTACAGAAACCTAATAGGATACAATTCCATATATCTTAAAATGCCCAGGTTTAACAATTTAGCAATCTTTCACTTATAAAGTTATAACACAACATGTCTTTAGTAATATGCGTCATGAGGCATCAAATCATTCAGTGAAATTAACGGAATTACAAGTTCATTACTTGTGGCAATGCAAACTCATTTTAAAGCTGCACAGGTAAATTTATTTGCTAAAACCTGCAACGTGGACAAATGACCTGATCAGGACCACCTTGTAATATACCCTCCATAAGAAAGGCTACGATTATCTAATCATGATACACGTGTACAAGATCTCCTAGATGTGAATTTATACCAAGTTATAATCAGTTATGGAGTGAGGTGTCCTAAAATTAGTATCGGTAAAAATCATCACCAAGACGGAAAATTGAGTGAACAAGGAGTCAACAGTAATAGTATGTTTCAATCTTAACTATTTGATTCTCCAGAGACTCATTCCTTCGTCTACAATTGCAGTGCCCAAATGAATTAATACGATTGTTTTAACAAGGTTAGTTTGTGGAAAATAAATTCGATCGTGAACGAATCTGGAACCTTGATCTACTGCAAGTGTGAGATGTTTCTATTTTCTAACACCTTTGTGTTTGGAATAAGTTGATCATTCAATCACTGTCCAAAACTAAAAGCCTGTTAAATAAATAAAAATTCACCATTTTATTGGAACATTAATCATTTCGTTTGATAATTGAATGAGGTGATAAGTTTTCCACCCCCCCCCCCCCCTATTGTATTACTTGCCGAAGAATTGTTTTAGAGTTGAAAAAGTCGCACCATAATATAATCAACACATATACTGTCACTGACTACGCCGCGCGATGAAAATATGTGAAGGACGCACGTTTGTTGGAATGATCTTATTCGGAGACCCTTTTATAATTCATTGTAATATTTTGTTCCACTTGATCCGGAAATGTTTTGTGTTGTAAGTTGTTCTCATCCTTATTCCTTTAGTTCTGTTATCCGTATCCGTGTCATGTAGACAGTGCCTCGTTAACACGCTCAAATTTCATTAACCTAGTAGACTGATAAACTTTGTCATTATAAGCTGAGGAATCTTAAATGTACGTCCTAGTTTCGCGTTGAAGCTTGAAAAGTAAACAGTTTAATTAGTATGCCACGTTCAGTAATTTAATGAGCGAGCCTTAAGTTTAAAACTTTGTGCCCTTGTGGCGTTTGTATTCTGTAAGTAGCTAGTAGGTTTTCTTTCTCTGATCTAACTTACTTCAAAAGTATACCGGCAGTGCACTGTCATCAGATATACAAATTACTAGTTTATGCCTTTCGAGTTTTTTCTTGCTTTGCAGCTTTAGTATCAGTGCATATCGTCCAAAACTAAGATCTCGTAATTATATCAGCCTTTCTCGTTCCAGTTTCAATAATAAGAGCTGATACGTACTATACGTGTGAATCTGTAGATGTCATGTTGTTTGTACTTTTGTAACTATGATCTTTCTGTCCTCACCCGCCTTCACTCTTCAGTCGTTCAAAAACTCAGTGAACCGCACACTTCTTTTTTAAACATCTTGTTAACAGATTATGTGCCCTTACTGAGTACCACTACCAGCTTCAATACCACTTGTTTTGGCGCTATACTGCTGTTATACTGTAGTTTTGGCGCTATAATGTTGCTATACAACTAAAATGTTGATCCTGATATAACGATATCTCGTACCCCGATAAGCTGGTAACCGAAATATCGTACAATATTTCATGCATTGATATTTTTATTGCTGACATCAAGACAGCAAATACAATCTGGAATCTGGATTTTCCATGGTCGAAAGTTTTTGATAAGGTTGCTGTATTTCTATGTTTAGACCTGTTAGTTAGAATTGTGCATCACGTACTTACATCTTTACATAATACGTGGGGGCTCCTTGCAGCCAGTACATTTGCACACTGCAGCCCTGCAGGATCAGGATTCTGAAGCTGGACTTATATTTATAGCTGGCTAGCCTATGCCATCTTGCAAAGTTGCAACACCTCTAATACCTCTAACATGTCAACAATCCTATCAAGTAGCCCACCATTCAAATTCGTTATTTTTACATTATTACCCAAATCTAGCAAATTTCCACCCTATATTTTAAGCAGATCAGTGCATGGTTGTGCTCCTTCTCTTCAGCCTGCTGCTGGCTGGGACCCTGTCCCAGGACGCAGTCAGTGCCCGCCCGACGATCAAAATCTCCCCAAGTGACATTACAGTGCACGTAGGAGCTCTGATACACTTACCTTGTGAAGCACAGGGCGATCCTAAACCTACTATCGAGTGGTTTATTGGTATGTTAACCGTTATACAACTTTATATTATTCAACACAGCTGTACTGTGTAATGTGTATCTACTATCTACCTCTATACGTTATACTTATATTACTTGTATTAGTTACTCGTTTTTTGTGGGCACATTTTATTTTTAAAGTCTTGATATTTGATATGATGGCATGAGGTGTAAGTGAACTCATACGATGTTGTTTGCAGAAATATAAACTTGGTGACCAAACAGTAAATTGCACTTACACCAGTTAAAATATTTGACGACTATCTCCAGGGAGAAGTCAGCTCAGGAATCCACCAGTGATTCCTGACGATTTAACCAAAGAGGAAATACGGAACTACGCCGGCGGCAACTTCCTGGTCACGAAGAAGGGCCATCTTTACGCCCGAGATGTGAGTATTTCCATTCCATACTAAAAACTCCCAGCTTAATGGTAGTTAAAAATTTATTTGATATTTTCTGAGAACTGGGAAAAGAATTTTAACATTTAATTCCCATCAGGTTACAGCTGGTTACAGTGCTCAGTACGTCTGCGTGGCTACAAATGATGGAGGACGTTCCTGGGCCGCCTCTAGAGTTCTCGTCCTAGGTTAGCCACAACTCAGAAGTTCTGCCAACTAAAACACATTCGCACTCCACTTTTTATTACCAGTTTACATAATACTGTACATTTTTTGCTTGGTTTCGATTTGGTATATTGAAAATTCTCTCTCAGATCCTCCCAAGATAACGACCAGACCCCAAGATACGAACTCCCTTGATGCTGATATTATCGGTATCGCGTGCAGGGCTAATGGCAACCCTCGCCCTAAAATCACATGGAGAGTCGAAACTTTCGAGGTGATTTATTGGCAGCCGAACTGCTTTTAGATAATATTGAAAATTTCTCAACCAATTTATGGGGCTACACCTTGTCCAATAGTTAATTAAACTCCTCATAAATATCCTTTATATCTACCAAGTTTACCCATGTACCAAGTTCCCCCATGATGTCTAACCGGCATGTTTACAACCGGCATGTTAATAACCGGCATGTTCGATCAGAATATAACGATCGTGGAGCCGGAGAACCATCCTAGTGGAAGGTACGAAACAGATGCGTACAAGACCCTGCGGATCAGGTTCCCGAATCCCAGTGACAGTGGAAAGTATATTTGTGTAGCTACCAACGCCGGGGGAGTCGCGGAGGCCAGCGCCATCTTACAAGTCCTTAGTGAGTGGACTATTAGATTTACTTGTGATCTTAATTCAGGTTTAATCGAGATGAAGTTTCCAGGCGTATAACGTACTTATTCGACTGAGGAAAAATATTTTTAGAAACGAGTAACAAAATATTTTCAGTTACCCCTCAGTTTAGGGAGCCACCCAAAGATGCGTGGGTACCGTTTGGAGGCAGTGCCGTATTCAGTTGTTCAGTGTTCGGTGGTCCCACTCCAGTTATCGAATGGTTCAAGGCAAGTTATTATTTAGCAATTTATCCACTGTCATGTCTAACTAACTATAGATGTTATTTTAGCACTTCTTCACTATGTTGGCATTCGATTGATTCTTCATTATTTGTGAAATTCTTGAAATGCAATTTGGTGAGAATTGCATTCCTTTAAGGCATTTTGCTGTTTTATTAATAGTGCCACACAAGTAGTCCCGATTAGTGATACTGGTGTTAATACCTGCATACCTTTAGTCATCCTTCACTGTTCTGCGTACGTGTAAAGAACCATTATTTGTATCCAGCCAGACGATGTAGAGTTTTTCAATATAATGCCATTATCAAACGCAGGAAGTCAAGTTTCTGGGACACATTATCGGCAAGGAGGGACAGAAGCAATAAAGCAGTTATAATTCACCTCCGAATTCTGTCAAAAGACTGCAAAAATTTCTTGGCGCCCTGAAATATAATCGTGGTTTGATTAAGGGGTTCAGTTTCATTGCAGCACCTTTGTACAAATTGTTACAAAAGGGGGTCACTTTCAAATGGGACTCTGACTGTTAATCTGCTGACAAAGGCTTAATCCAAGCCATGTGTAGTATCTGCCCTTCTCTTAGTCCCAAACTTACTCAAAACTAACCTTCCTCCCCCTCAGGACAACCAGTATCTGCCCTTCTTTTAGTCCCAAACTTACTAAAAACTAACCTTCCTCCCCCTCAGGACAACCAGTATCTGCCCTTCTCTTAGTCCCAAACTTAATAAAAACTAACCTTCCTCCCTCTCAGGACAACCAGTATCTGCCCTTCTCTTAGTCCCAAACTTACTAAAAACTAACCCTCCTCCCCCTCAGGACAACCAGTATCTGCCCTTCTCTTAGTCCAAAACTTACTAAAAACTAACCCTCCTCCCCCTCAGGACAACCAGTATCTGCCCTTCTCTTAGTCCCAAACTTACTAAAAACTAACCCTCCTCCACCTCAGGACAACCAGTATCTGCCCTTCTTTTAGTCCCAAACTTACTAAAAACTAACCTTTCTCCCCCTCAGGACAACCAGTATCTGCCCTTCTCTTAGTCCCAAACTTACTAAAAACTAACCTTTCTCCCCCTCAGGACAACCAGTATCTGCCCTTCTCTTAGTCCCAAACTTACTAAAAACTAACCCTCCTCCCCCTCAGGACAACCAGTATCTGCCCTTCTTTTATTCCCAAACTTACTAAAAACTAACCTTTCTCCCCCTCAGGACAACCAGTATCTGCCCTTCTCTTAGTCCCAAACTTACTAAAAACTAACCCTCCTCCCCCTCAGGACAACCAGTATCTGCCCTTCTCTTAGTCCCAAACTTACTAAAAACTAACGCTCCTCCCCCTCAGAACAACCAGTATCTGCCCTTCTTTTAGTCCCAAACTTACTAAAAACTAACCCTCCTCCCCCTCAGGACAACCAGTATCTGCCCTTCTTTTAGTCCCAAACTTACTAAAAACTAACCCTCCTCCCCCTCAGGACAACCAGTATCTGCCCTTCTCTTAGTCCCAAACTTACTAAAAACTAATCCTCCTCCCCCTCAGGACAACCAGTATCTGCCCTTCTCTTATTCCCAAACTTACTAAAAACTAACCTTCCTCCCCCTCAGGACAACCAGTTTCTGCCCTTCTCTTAGTCCCAAACTTACTAAAAACTAACCTTCCTCCCCCTCAGGACAACCAGTATCTGCCCTTCTCTCAAACCTATGAGATCCAGCATGTAACCCGGCCAGGAGAGGTACAAGAGAGACTGGTGTTCAGGTCCGTACAGTTCGAGGATACTGGTATCTACGAGTGTAGAGCCAGTAATCTGGCTGGAAGCAGTCGACATGAGTTCGCTTTAGCAGTAACTGGTGAGTTTTGTAAAGTTTAGAACACGGATAGTGGAATTATCAGAAGTTGTTAGCGTCTAGTGAGTTCATCGAAAATGACAACCTCTTTTTTGTATATTTTTCGTTCGTGGATACTGGAATGTGAATACATGTTCTTCGATGTACTTAGCACTATAAATTTGTATAAATTTGTATAACCCTCCTGTCCCCAGATGCCACACCATTCCCCGGAGACAGATTCGTATCGGATGCTCTAGATTACGCTCAGGAGTTCGTTCAGAGTGCTATTCAGGAGACTCAAATCATCCTCAAGTAAATTGGCACTTGTTTTAGATGCAGTCTGATCAATCTGTTGCAATCAACGTAACAATCAACGCCTATAGATTAAAATCTGCCACAATGATTTAAAACAATATAGATCACTAACTTTATTCTAGTAACATTGTTTACAATAACTCGTTATCTATCTTCCCCGTTTTACTTGATATTAAAACTGTTCCCCTCAGAGCCCGTTTTAACGCACCTAACTTCCACCCCACTCCTCAAGACTTGTTCCACATGGTCAGACAGCCTACTAGACAGGCACTTTACATGGCAATGGTCAGTAACCAGCTTTTTAAAACGTTATTACATTAGTTGCTGAGCTATTTGAATTTGAAATTTTAGTTTTTAATACCAAAAAAAAGATTATTTGTGTACGTTATTTCCCGAAATTTTGCAGTCAGCAGAGGTATTTGAACATGCAATGAACTACATACACGAGCAAATTGAAGCCCTGAACGTTACATCTATGGAGAGGAACAATAGACCTCTTGACTCCCTGCTCAGCCCTGAAGCTATTGACCATCTTGAAGATCTGTCTGGCTGTCACCGTAGGGTACGCTGAATTATCTTGATTCTTGATCTTGATACATTTTATTTTGTTCACTAATTAGTGTAAAAAATGTCATACCCCAGGCTATGTTGTTCTTCATTTAAAGGACTTATAATTTTCATGAGTTGACAATCTTGACTTTCAGAAACAAAAATTACTATGTGCATAATAATTTAATTTAAACAAATAAATAAATACCGCATATTACCTTGTATCACGTGGTGACCCCCACGGTCGTTTCACTGTAGCGTCTTCGACGCTACAGGGGGAGCCGCGCACTTCGTGCGCGGCGGGTCATACAACGTATGACAAATATTACCTCAGAAACGACAGCCCAAATGTCAGATGAGGTGTCAGGCTATGTCGTTCAGGTCCCACGACGGAACTTGTAACAACATCAAGCACCCTACCTGGGGTTCCAGCCTTAACAAGATCAACAGATTCCTTCCCGCTATCTACGAAAACAAGTTAGTGAACTCAACTCATCACCAGTTTACCCTCTATGCTAAAATCAATTAAATGTATTCCAAGAAATTTCAATAATCAAGCATTTACAGACAAATATAATTCATTTTCCCACTATTAAAACCAGAACACTACAATAATCCCGTGCCATTTCTCCATCCCACGAGTAGGTAACAGTCTCCTGCTCCCAGGTACAATACTCCCCGTGGTTGGGGTCGTACTCTTCCCTCTGCCAGGCTGATCTCCCAGCGTTTGATCCGGACTCACACCATCAAGGCTCACTCTCAGTTCAGTGTCCTTATGATGCATTTCGGTCAGTTCGTCGACCACGATCTTGCTCAGGTGAGCCACAGAATCTGTACAATTGACCCTTGAAGATTGATGTTCTAAAACCCCTTCCTTTTTTCAATACAATAACTTACATGCCATTTACATTTAAATCATTTCTTCTCCTTTTCTTTCCCGCTTCTCAACAAATCTAACAACTCTAGACAGTGGCAGGACCTAGTGAGACATCATTTGCTCCATTCCTTGGATTAATGTGTGAACAAACCTGTACCAACACCATGCCTTGCTTCCCAATAGAGGTCCACAGCAATGACTCCAGGATAGATGCGGCGTGTATGCCCTTCGTTAGATCTGCCTCAATATGTGGTAAGTCTTCCACTTCAGATTGTTAACCGAACATTCGAATCAAGAATAAACAAGAATTGTGATCGCAGTTTTCTCCCTAAAACTCTCGTTTAGCTGTAACAATAATCTACAAACAGGTACCGGTGACACGAGTGTTTTCGGTAAGGAAACGAGAGTAAGAGAGCAGTTGAATCAGGTGACGTCCTTCCTGGACGCTAGTACTGTGTACGGTAGTGCTGATCAGGAGATGGAGACTCTCCGGGACAGGTTAGTGATTTGACATTATAAGTAGTTTATATTTTATTGTGTTTGATACTACATTTTTCAAACAACTAACCGCAATAGTAGGTAAGGTAGAAGTTAGGGAAATCAGATGATTATTGACGAGACGTATTATCTACTGTTCCATCGGTCAAACATTTGACTCCAATGCATAAAATGACTTTACTGATATGTACATTTAATTGAAACGTAAATCACTTATTTATTTGTCGCCAACTATGTGAGTTACAAAGTCGACCTTATGATTTAAAAAAGTGATGATTCAAATCATAAGAACACTTTTAAATTTTGTGTAGACTAAGATACAAGCACCAACTATAATAGAATAATTACTAGAGTAGTAAAAATACAGATGCTGTAAATTTTCCAGGAAATTGCTTTAATTTAAATATGACAGGTTTAAGTCGCACTTTACTCGGTCTTTATTGGTTAAGCATCTGTATTTATTATATTCATAAAGAAACTTTGCCATGTCGGGCACGCATTAAATAATAAATACCTCCGGTTGTCGTGAAAAATTCGACTTCAAGCTACATTCGAATTTGAGAACCTTTATTTAATTGGGCAAAATCACTGTGGAATAATTATTCAAATTTCCTCAGATCTGCCAACAAAGGTCAGTTGAGAGTTGGAGAGGAGTCAATTCCCGGCAAACACTTCCTACCTATTGAAGACAACCTTATTCCTGAGGAAATGGAGAATGACAGGAGGTGTATTGGTAAAGCTGCCACTGTATTCCTGGATTGCTTCATTGCAGGTAACTTAACTTGATCTGATTTGTTTAAATAGAGGTCTTCACCTTCAGTATTTTTAAAATCTGATCCTATCTAAAAATAACTAAATATATAGGATTACCGGATTATAACTTTAACCACTTCACCAGTTGAGCGACATTAAAATCTCATTCCAAATCTCTGCAGGAGACTTCAGAGTAACAGAGCAGCCAGGCCTGACCACCCTTCACACCCTGTTCATGAGACAGCACAACGAGATAGCTTACAATCTAGCTGAAGTGAACCCCCAGTGGAACGATGATCGTATCTACGAAGAAACTAGGAAGATTATAGGAGGTGTCATGCAGCATATTACATACCAGGAGTACTTACCCAAGGTACGGTTCATTCTTCAGTTCCATTGTCTCTTGCTTTTGTTCTCACCTGGAATTTCATCCTACAATCTTATTTTCTCATCATTTTGTCTCGAAACTGGGAGAATGTTAGTCGTGATATCAACCACAGCTGTTTTGCAACTTGAATTCTGTTCTATTTATTTTTACTAAGTCTCCTTTTGCTCCAGGTGCTAGGAGTTGAAGGAATGGAGCAGATTGGTGACTACACTGGTTACGACTCCGATGTGGACGCCTCTCTTCTAAACGAGTTCTCTACCGCCGCTTTTAGATTCGGACACACCCTCATTCCACCTACTCTCTTTAGACGAGGTCAGCATTATATGTATCTTTAATTAACCTTGATTTATTATTGCAGTATAGTTGAGCAGTCCGCGCTGCCTAAACCACCGAATCAGCTTGTTGATGGACTGAAAGTTTCTCGGTCCTATTAGTAATTAGATCTGTCTCTGATACCTGTTAGAGTCTTTTAGCGCTGAGTGTATACGTCTTTTACTTTTAGTTATAGCGGGTAACTAAGAGAGTAATTTCTTTTCGTCAGTAGTAAAAATAAAACTTCTGTTCGATAGATGACTAAATTTAAAGTTATTTACCTACTATATTAGATACCAGTTAATTTTTAGAAATTTTGAGGAATGTTGAGCGGCTAGTTGTTGAGCCGTTATCTTGAGAATTTCCACAAAAACAACTGAATCTGCAACTTGTGATCGTAGTCTGAGTCGATATGCACCAGCTTGGAGTATGCAGCTATAATGTTGACTCTCCACAATAATATCATAGAGCATGTAGAGCTTGATATTTTAACCCACTGTTCCACGTGCATTTCATTGAGCAAACTTTAAATCGTGATCCTAGAACGATGACAGGTGGCATGTTATCAAATGAAGGACCCGCCTATATTTCAACAGAGAAAGTAGGAAATTTTAAATAGCTCAATACTTTACTCAACCGTGTTCAAAGTGCAAGATTCTTTAATCTCATGAATTTCTCGAGGGCTCATTTATATTAAAGTCATTATTGTAATAGTACCTATATTAGAACCAGACAGACACAAAGTGTGAAGGGCCTGAACGGAACCCCTCGGTTTCAGTTCCTTGTTTAACACTGCCGTACAGCAAGGACATCCACCGAGTTCGCAAGGCTGGGCACATAGCTCACTCCACAAGTTGCTCTGTCAAATGTTGCTTATATACCAAGAATCTACAGGAAATATTTCCTTGTAGGTTTTAGAGGGTGATCTGTGAACAGACAACTACCTCATTCCCAACTTACCTTACTCGGGATTATTACGACGGGTTTATTAACGACCGGTTAAAATATGGTTCGGGAAAAATATGGCGAAATTGCTCAAAACCCACCACATTTTCCCAGTCGCCATTTTACCGGTGTCCAACCTTTCAATTTTAGATTCAAAAATTTTGTCTCAGATGTAAATTTCCTTATTAGAGATAAGCAAGTTTAGAAATTTTCGCATTGCTAAAACTTGTGAAACAAGTCGAATTATCAATAATTGTTGAAAGTAGACAGAATTTCGTCGAGCTGGTATTTTAGAGGCAATTAATTACACGCAATTCCCTGAACAGGATCCTTTTAAGGACTTATAAACTTGTGGACTATTGATAGTGAGATTGTTGTTACTTATAGGAATTTTTGTGATCCCCTTTCTGCTGGTAGTAACGTGTTGGTAGTCTAGCACTCTAGCAAATTCGTTGTTTTGAATTAGCATTAAATTTTTACGTGTATCAAATAACCATTATGACTCAATTTGTAGAAAATCTTCGAAAGAATGCATCGTTCACATTGTTTAGAATTATGAATAAATGACTGATGAAACTGTTTCATGTTATTGACAGTTTTAATTAATTCAAGTTTTAATTTAACTGTTACTTTTACTTTGAGTCCTATTTCATTATGTAGAGATAGTCAATACCTAAGAAATTAAAAATTGGCCTATTTAAATCAACTTTGACAATAAGGATATATGACAAGAATTGGGCAAAAAGGTGAATTTTTTGCAATTTTAGCCAAATGAAGTCGCAAAACCTACAACAAGTGTCCCAATAGTCTTCTTTAGTGAATATAAGACAACGATTATAATATGAGAACCCATACCCCTTGGGAACCCTAAAAGCTGAGACGGCGGGTTTATTAACGACCGGTGAAAATGTGGTTCGGGAAAAATATGGCAAAATTACCCTAAACCCGCCACTTTATCCCGGTCATAATAATCCCGAGTAAGGTATAGGAATTAGAATTCCTATACTATCCCAACGAGTGCTACACCAAACATAGCTTATTTGCTACGAAATTGTGAGTACAGACCCCAGTACTTAAGGCCCAATTAAAAGGATACCAGGCCTTTACTTTCCACCAAGAGGTAATTCAAAATATCAAGTTTAACCTGACGTTCTTTCACAGGAGAGAATTACGACAAGTTTAAGTTGGGAGATATGCCCCTACACAACTCCTTCTTTACTCCCTACAGACTCTTAGACGAGGGTAAGTGGAACTCATCAGCATTGTAATCCCATCAGTTGATATCAGTGATCAATCAACTTTTGATCAAATGAGAAAATGCTCTGTATCGAATTTAGCAACACCCTCCCCACTCCTCTAATAGCTAATATAATGAGGGTTCTAGATACCAATATAATCCTCATATAATATCGTCCGTGCCAGGTGGTGTGGATCCAATAATCAGAGGAATGATCGTGCAGAATCTGAAGTTACCTGACGGTAAACTGTCTGACTCTCTTACTGAACGACTCTTCAATGTGGTGGCTCAGGTTCGTAAATATATAATATATGATAGCGTCTTCAGGTTGATGATAGTGTAAACTGTAACCACGGTTTTACTTCTCTACTGCAATCAAATGAGACAAAATTCGCCGCGTCAGAAGTTCGTTTCATAAAAACAGAACCTCGCAGTCACTGATATAGTAATTGTAGGTAGCCTTGGATCTGGCAGCAATCAACATACAGAGAGGACGTGACCACGCTATCCCAACTTACAATGACATGAGACAAGTTTGTGGAATGAGACGAGCTCTGGACTTCCACGATCTTCAGGTTAGGGTCTGATCCAAATGCTCCGTAAATTGTGTCTGTATTTGGGATTTCAACTCTTTACACATAATATTTATTATGTGAAGGTAATGTACATGCTGAAAAGTAAGTCTCAGAACTCGTGTTAATATATGTTCTCGATTAACCAGATTAACCATCAACACATTTCAGAGTGAGATTAGGAACGCCACAACCAGACAGCTCCTATCCGAGCTATACTCTTCAGTTGACGAGATTGATCTCTGGGTTGGTGGACTTGAGGAGGATATTGTGGAGGGTGGTCTAGTTGGTCCTACATTCAGGTAGTTAGCATTTGTTGTAGAAAAGTATCTGAACTGTTTTCTTCGATATTTTAGACTGTGATAGTCTGAGCAATAAAAGTTTGGTTCGTATTATGGTTAAGTTTGAAAATCTTAATTCGAGCATTCATATCCTGAATAAATTGGACATGTCTGTAGAATTAAGAATAGTTTATTCTGACGTTAACTAACAATATTCCTGGTTACAGATGCATCATAGCTGAACAGTTCAAGAGAGTGAGAGACGGAGACAGGTTCTGGTTTGAATCAGATAAGCAATTCACTCAGGAGCAGATCAGACAGATAAAGAAGATCACCATGGCCAAGGTCTTCTGTGATAGTGGAGACAAAATCGAGGTTTGTGGAGCTTGCTGAAAGATTCCGTCCTAAAATGTTCTAAATTGAACTATTGAACAAGCTAGATCATTACATCCTGTATCCGCAACTACGCACATGCTTTTACTAGTAAAATGAATACCTAATTATTACAACTTGGTATTTTACCCAGACTTTAATCCCCAGAAAGTCCCAGTGGATGTATTCATGTACAACTCAGATGCTCAAAAGTTCACCCAATGTAAAGAACTCCCCAAATTCGACTACTCCGCGTTCGTCGACTGTGGAGGTAAGAGTTATAAACGTTTGAGTGGCGGAGGCGTTTTCTAAAGCGTAAGAATAATATGGTGCCCTTGTCAGGGCCATAATCTCACTCACTGTTCACTCTCACCCCCAACTGTCGTGGTACCCAAGACAATAAATACCCAAACTGACATAATGACTGACCTGCAGCTTTTTGCTGTCTATTTCGGTCAACAAATAGATCTGAAACTAACGATATTTCTTTTTAGGGGCAGATTATCTTAGATACCAATCGTACCTGTACGATGGTACACCATGCTCCACTAATCTTACCGGCACGAGTGAGGCCATATCTAACGGTCCCAGGACCACAACAGGCACCTTCGGTAGCACTCATACCCCCAGCGGAACCACTGGGTCACCTCCAGATGGGGGCACTCATGGCACCACTGATAAAGTCACTGCTGCTACTGATGGAGGCACTGACACCACAGACGCCGCCACAGAAGGGGGCACTCTCACCGGAGGGAGAGGTGGTATGGAAAAAACTGCCACCACTGTGGTAGTCTACCCGACCCCAGCCACTTCATACGCTCGTGAGGATCTACAGGATGTGGTCACTAAAGATCCTGTTGAAACTCCTGGTAAGTCACTTACTAAGTGAACACTAAACATATCATTTAAGATATTATCGGTAAACGTACTCAATGTTTGGATTGAATATTCTCGATGAATAGTAATAGTAAGATTTGTATAATTGAAATCCCAGCGAACCCCATCGAGGGAAGAGCTGACTCTGAGTTTGATGAAGCAGTTGTCGCGTGATTGACTGTGAGAGATGACTGGAAGCTTTGATGAAGGGTCTTGATGAAATGAACCGGCAGTTGGACATGCTAAACAATTAAGTTGCTCTCGTCGAGACTAAGGTACCTTTATAGTTCGTAGTTTACCACTGATTGATAGTGATTCAATTTTCGTCCATATTCATGACTGGCGAGTTCTGCTGCAATTTAAAACTCCAATAAGATAGTGACAGTAAACAAAATAAAAAATAAAATTGAATGTAAAATTGTATAAAAAATGGAACTGAGTAATATTGAGATATTGAAAGTGAAACTGAAAATTTTTGAGCAGATTAGTTATCCATTTGTGTTGAAAGTAATGAAAAATATTAGTTCGAGAACAGAGAAACACCATAAAAAAGCAAAATAATATATATGGCCTAAATCCCGATGTCTTACTCTTACAGTTACATGATATTAGAACCTGTAAAACTTGCCTCCAGCTCCTCACTTTTGAGATTCAAGCAATAGGGGTCGTTCAAAGAGTGCAAGATGTTCAGTTCGACAAAATACCGTTTAGGTTAAGATCCAATAAACCTAAACTTTGACATATTATAATAAGTAGCTCTGATTAATTGTTATGCATATTTAAATAATCTTATCGGAAGGCGCCAGCCTCTCCAATTTGTTTGCCATGCATTTTATTATCGGTAAAATCTGAGTAAAGTAATGTTAGTTAAAAGTTATAAACCTAAAAAATTAACGTTTCCCATCTAATTGGGGTTTTTGGAGGCTAAGTTACTGTAAATGTATCTTGCAGCTTTTATGCGGGTTCATGACACGGCTATAACTATTGTGACAAATTCTTATATCTCCATATACATTGTACATCCTTAGATTCTTTTTTAGATCTGCAAGCAAACCTTTCATTGTTGGGCCCAATTAACTTCAAGATATTAGTCTCATTCGGAGTTCGGAAGCTGTGCAGCAATTGCTGCTTAACTTTATAACCTGGCCTGACCACCGCCCAAAATCAGATAACAGATCGTGAGCTTTTGTTATCCTGATTCTTCAAGTTCAACCGTTTCGCACCTACTCGGGATTTGTACTTGACACTGACAGTTGCTTACCTTATCGGACCTTATTTGGACGGACATTACTTGAGCGCTGGAGGCCCTAGCGTTCATCTTAATGTCCGTTCAAATAAAGTCCGTTCAATTAATGTCCGTCCAAGTTAAAGTCCGTTGAATTTTTTTCAAAAATTTTTTCAATTCGAACTTTTTGTCCAGAATATGACAACTTTTTAATTTCAGTAAATTTCAATAGCTATCATTAAACTAAACTATATCGTTAAATTAATAAAAACAAGGTATTACAAAATTTTAACAGTCAGAATTGTAAATATCACATTATTGCATGATCACTATACTATCTTGAAGTTGATCTTCGGCTTTTTCTACCTCCACATTTTCTCTTACAACTGGTTGTCTGTCCAACTCGTAGTCGTACCGAGCAATGAACGATCCCAACTGCTCTACTAGAGAGATACTTGAATGCCTAAAGTACAGCTTAAGCTTTATCTCTCGCCCCCCACTTGGTATAGGCGACCTTCGGTGGCTTATGTCAGCTACGATACCTTCTACCATACCACCCATCTCGATAAAGTAGAAGACAAACTGGGATATCTCCCTAAGTATGTGACCGCCGGCATCTAATCTAGTCCTGTAGGTACCTTCGTACCTTATCTGCACAGCGCAGATAAGCTTACTGTATGAAAAATGGATTTAAAAATCGTTTGCTAAAATTAACAAAACGTCAAAAAAAGATGAAAAAAAATTAGGATTTTGATGGTTTTGATTGCCTTCTAGCGTTCATATTAATGTCCGTTCATAATTATGTCCGTTCAAGTAATGTCCGTCCAAATAAGGTCCGATAAGGTATATATATATATAATATAATATGTGTCCTGCGAAAGGTATGTACACAGTTCTGCCCAATGATTATGAAGTACGTACAATTATATACTTTCTGTTTTCACGTTCATTTCATCGTTCTGGTTTCATTGCGTGTTCCACTTTTTTATAACACTTTTGATGTTGGGACTTGAAGTTGAAGCTGATGCCTTCATATCCTGCAAAAACTGCGTCAGGCTTCAAACAAACAAACACGCTCTGACTTTAACGTTTTTTAACGCGTGCTTCCCGGCGTTACCGGACATGGCGATTGTTCAGTCAGTGTGATTTCCTACTTCAGTAGGGTGTAATGACACATACAGTTAAATATGGGTACATATCATATCATGTTGACACAGTAACCGCTATAGAGCTTCCTTAGGGAGAGAGGTGTCGGGCAGTAAATATGACGTAATGTTAGGTGGAACATCAGGGTATCATCAGGTTATCAGATTATCATGTAATCAATCACTCAATGGGAACACTGGGCTCCTACAAACGGGTATGATCGCACAGACCACTCGTAAGAACTCTGGACGTGTGTCTGCATGACGTCACCATCATCCGACAGATCACGTGATGTGACTCCAACCACGTGACCCTTGCTTTGCAATGATCTTCAGTAGCACGTGCGCGCGGCGCGTGAATCACGTGATAGATGCACGTGACTCGGACGTGGTGGGGTGGATGGGGATATTTTGATACTCCTCTGTTACACCCGGGTTTTTGCTGTATTCGCCGGTCCATTAGTGTCTGCCCAATTATTGTTTCAGTCAGAGCACGTGGTCTTAATTAGCGGATGTGCATTTTTTGTACTTCACACTTACTTTATTTTCTGCGTGTTTTTATAATTAGTTCTCAGTTCAGACTTCAGTACATGCCCGAGAATTTCCAATATTTATGTACACACTGCCATATTATGGGATCGGACCCTACACACACCATTCAACTTGAAAATTGGACACGGGTCTTGTTTCTTCTTCCGCAGTCTGTCGTGAAGCGATATCGTTATCTAATTCTAAATGCATTTTTCTATCAGTATTCAGTATCCTCTTGATTTTTCTACTTTTCACCCTTATTTTGTGTTTACAGAACGTCTTGTCAGTTTTTGCCAGTATCCAAGAAGACCGACCACTGTGTTTTTTATGTCAATTGCTTATTGCAGGCTACATACTATGTATTTGAATATTTGTTTTACTGCCATTTGACGCAACATAATTGCATTACACAGTGCACCCACCAAGTCTAATTTGCGATTCAAAATAGCCATTTGCTTAAAACTGTAATACTTCTTAGTTTTGGTCATTTCAGTCACAGTTAATCATTTTCACTCGGGCATATTCCGATCCAGTAAGTTGGTATAAGGCATAAGCTTCAACAAATGCATTTTTTTCTTGTATCGTACCAAAAGAGCAAAAGCAGGCGTGACCTGGTAGATCATTAATCAAGCTAGATTTTGATATTTCAATCGTGCAAATTTGTTTGTCTGTCACGGCTTGTTAATTTGCTCCTCAGATAAGCTGCTGAAGTTTCTTAGTGCGTTTTGATTACAATTTACAAACCTGCAGTTGACTTTCAAATTTATGTTAAACTTTGCTATAACATTCAACTTCATCACGAGAAGCCTTGTGCAAATCGAGACTTTTCAATGCAAATCTTGATCGAACCTTCGCCAGTTACGACTTACGTACAACATGTGCATATAAATCTAAGAATGTAACATTTTTTAGCAGTTTCTTATAACCGCTTATGATGCAGCAGGGGGAGAAAGAAGCCTGTCTATTTTCAAATAACGTAATCACTGCAGTAATGTCTTTGGTCTTATACATTTTTACGATAAAAAGTCTGGATTTCTTCTTCTTTAGACCAGCCGAACCATTGTGATTGATAACTTGATACTGTCATGACTCATGTTGACTCCCAACCCAAATACTATAACGATTTTAAGCCCTTTATTAGTAGATCTTATGAATTACTAAAATTACTAGAGTGGTTTTCCTCCGCAGTCAGTAATTTCTAAACTTAGCAGAATTAATGCTCAGTTTTGTGATGACCACGTATTTATAATAGAGATGCTTGTCTGTCGTACAATGTATCAGAATTTGAAAAATTATTGCTTTCTTGTATTCTCACGCGTGGTTTTAAATTTGAGTTGTAACAAGAAAGGAATACAATCACTCTGCTCTGTTCCTGAATTCTGAATCCTTTGTTTTGGAGCAGGTCTCTAAATTGACTCTGTGTTGTTAACAAACGGTCCCACGCGTTGAATTCTATATCGCATTCATGATTTCTGCTGTCGTATTGATACTAAGTTGATATCTTTAACTGTGATGGAGATATTTGATCAGGCATCAGAGTCCCTATGTAGATTATTTAACCTCCTAGAACTTAATTAGATCAGCATCTCACAGTTCATACAGACACCTAATAGGATACAATTCCATATATCTTAATACCCAGGTTTAACAATTTAGCAATCTTTCACTTATACACAACATGTCTTGAGTATGCGTCATGAAGGCATCAAATCATTCAGTGAAATTAACGGAATTACAAGTTCATTACTTGTGGCAATGCAAACTCATTTTAAAGCTGCACAGGTAAATTTATTTGCTAAAACCTGCAACGTGGACAAATGACCTGATCAGGACCCCCTTGTTAGGTGTAATATACCCTCCATGAGAAAGGCTACGATTATCTAATCATGATACACGTGTACAACTACAAGATCTCCTCGATGTGAATTTATACCAAGTTACAATCAGTTATGGAGTGAGGTGTCCCAAACGTAGTATTGGAAATAATCATCACCAAGACGGAAAATTAGGTGAACAAGGAGTCAACAGTATGTTTCAATCTTAATTATTTGATTCTCCAGAGACTCATTCCTTCGTCTACAATTGCAGTGCCCAAATGAATTATTAATACGATTGTCTTAACAAGGATAGTTTGTGGAAACTAAATTCGATCGTGAACGAATCTCGGAACCTTGATCTACTGGAAGTGTGAGATGTTTCTATTTTCCAACGCCTTTGTGTTTGGAATAAGCTGGTCGTTCAATCTCTGTCTAAAAGCCTGTTAAATAAATAGAAAGTCACCATTGTATTGGAACATTTATCATTTCATTTCATTTCATAATTGAATGTGGTGTTAATTTTTCCACCCCCCATTTTATTCCTTCCCGAACAATTGTTTTAGAGTTGAAAAAGTCGCACCATAATATAATCAACACATACTGACTCTTAAGTCGATTGTTGGAATGATCTTATTTGGAGACCCTTCTAATCCGGTGTAATATTTTGTTCCACAGAATATCCATTTGTAACCCTTGATCCAGAAATGTTCTGTGTTGTTCTCATCCTGTAGTTCTGTTATCCGTTTCTATGTGTAGACAGTGCCTCGTTAACACGCTCAAATTTCATTTACAGACTGATAAACGTTGTCATTCTAAGCTGAGGAATCTTAAATGTACGTCCTAGTTGTGCGTTGAAGCTTGAAAAGTAAGCAGTTTAATTAGTCTGACACGTTCAGCGATTTAATGAGCGAGCCTTAAGTTTAAAACGTTGTGCCCTTGTGGCGTCTGTATTCTGTAAGTAGCTAGTAGGTTTTCTTTCTCTGATCTAACTTACTTCAAAAGTATACCTGCAGTGCTGTCATCAGATATATAAATTACTAGTTTATGCCTTTCGAGTTTTTTCTTGCTTTGCAGCTTTAGTATCAGTGCATATCCTTCAAAACTAAGATCCCGTAATTATATCAGCCTTTCTCGTTCCAGTTTCAATAATAAGAGCTGATACGTACTACTACTATAATACGTGTGAATGTGTAGATGTCATGTTGTTTGTCACTGTGATCTTCCTGTCCTCACCCGTCTTCACTCTTCAGTCGTTCAAAAACTCAGTGAACCGCACACTTCTTTTTTAAACATCTTGTTAACAGATTATGTGCCCTTACTGAGTACCAGCTTCAGTACAACTTTTGGCGCTATATTGTTGCTATATTGCGGTTTTGGCGCTATACTGTTGCTATACTTCTTTTTTGGCGCTATAATGTTGCTATACAACTAAAATGTTGATCCTGATAACGATATCTCGTACCCCGATAAGCTGGTAACCGAAATATCGTACAATATTTCATGCATTGATATTGTTATTGCTGACATCAAGACAGCAAATACAATCTGGAATCTGGATTTGCCATGGTCGAAAGTTTTTGATAAGGTTGCTGAGTTTCTATGTTTAGACCTGTTAGTTAGAATTATGTATCACGTACTTACATCTTTACATAATACGTGGGAGCTCCTTGCAGCCAGTACATTTGCACACTGCAGGATTCTGAAGCTGGACTTATATTTATAGCTGGCTATGCCATCTTGCAAAGTTGCAACACCTCTAATACCTCTAACATGTTTACAATCCTAGCAAGTAGCCCACCATTCAAATTCATTATTTTATATTATTATTTATTACCCAAATCTAGCAAATTTTCACCCTATATTTTAAGCAGATCAGTGCATGGTCGTGCTCCTTCTCTTCAGCCTGCTGCTGGCTGGGGCCCTTTCCCAAGACGCAGAGCCGATAAGAGAGACCGAGATTGGTAGACAAGGGGGTTTTGTGGCTTTGAGATGTGGTTTTTCTGATGTCACGTGGTCTAAAAATGTCAACGGGGAACAAACAGACGTTAAGACATTGGGGTGAGTTTTAGTTCATTTTAAAATAGTTTGCGAAGTTTCTTTTATTTTGTTGGTTTTCGAAATTTTGTATTTCAAGATTGATAAGAATCACCGCAAATCTAACCTGTGATTCACGAAGAAGCTTTGACTAATTTACCTCGGCTTTCCGTTAAATCTACATTCCTGTATTTGAGTATTTTATACGTGGCGACTCTATGTGGTTTGACGTGTATAATATAAGCCTCCTCTCCCGGGATATCTTTATATAAGAAGCCTGCCAATTTAAAAATGCGGCTATTTTCTGGCTTCCTCGATCGACTGACTCCCACGATCATATGACAAGTTTGATTAATGTGTATAAAATATTACAAATATCCGCTCGGTGGTATGATAACATATCGTGGGGTTTGTAACAGTTGTGTGCCACCTAAATCTGGTGACCGTGACCTGAGTTTTATACACTCTCCAAAGTTTAATTAATCTAGCAACTCCGTGTTATTATTATTAAATATGTACTCAATAATATGTTAATATTATAAACATTACAGGGATAGAAGGTACATTGTGACTGCTGACGGTACAATGTACATCAGCAGACTAAAAGAGATCGATGCTGCAGTTTACACGTGCACCAAGTTCGACACTCCTATCAAGGAGGTCACTGTTGCTATGGCAGGTTAGTCCTGAAGACATGGCCTACGTCAATACGTTAAAGGGATCTGTTATGTGGTAATGAATAGATAAGACATTTGTTTATGTGGTTATATTACATAGTCAGCCGAAACGGGTGTCCAGGTACGCCTTTACTAATATAGAATTTCAAGTTAATATATAATATAAATTCAACGTAAACTTCCACAAGTTTCTTGTGAAATCAATCTTACTACATTATGTATAAAACGAGACGATATATATTTATATACTATATTATATCTGTTGACATGTTACGAGAATAAGAACTTAAAATCTCCAAATTTGGACCCCGAAGTGATTTCATAATCGCAAAATAAATGAATATTGTTGTCTCTTTACACAACTTTAGTAATTCATTCACACAGGTTCCCGTTAGTTATATCAATAATAAATATAATTATAGATATAATTATAATAACCTTAAAGTTAAACAGTGTACATTTTTTAGCCCGCCCGACGATTGCAATCTCCCCAAGTGACGTTACAGTGCACGTAGGAGCTCTGATACACTTACCTTGTGAAGCACAGGGCGATCCTAAACCTACTATCGAGTGGAGAGTTGGTATGTTAACTGTTAGTTAGTTAGTTTATATTTAAATAACAGTGTTCAACACAGCTATACTGTACCTTTTATAAGTTATATTAGTTACTTGTTTTTTGTGGGCACATTTTATTTTTAAAGTCTTGATATTTGATATGATGGCATGAGGTGTAAGTGAACTCATACGATGTTGTTTGCAGAAATATAAACTTGGTGACCAAACAGTAAATTCCACTTGCAATAGTTAAAATATTTTGACGACTATCTCCAGGGAGAAGTCAGCTTAGGAATGTACCAGTGATTTCTGACGATTTAACCGAAGAGGAAATACGGAACTACGCCGGCGGCAACTTCCTGGTCACGGAGAAGGGCCATCTTTACATCCGAGATGTAAGTATTTCCACTTCATACTAAAAACTCCCAGTTAACAATTTATTTGATATTTTCTGAGAACCGGGAAAGAATTTTAACATTAACACATAATTTCATCAGGTTACACCTGGTTACAGTGCTCAGTACATCTGCATGGCTACAAATGATGGAGGAAGTTCCTGGGCCACCTCTAGAGTTCTCGTCCTAGGTTAGCCACAACTCAGAAGTTCTGCTAACTAAAACACATTCTCACTCCAATTTTGATTACCAGTTTACATAATACTGTACATTTTTGCTTGGTTTCGATTTGGTATATTGAAAATTCTCTCTCAGATCCTCCCAAGATAACGACCAGACCCCAAGATACGAACTCCCTTGATGCTGATATTATCGGTATCGCGTGCAGGGCTAATGGCAACCCTAACCCTAAAATCACATGGAGAGTCGAAACTTTCGAGGTGATTTATTGGCAGCCGAACTGCTTTTAGATAATATTGAAAACTAGTTTATTTTGGCAACTGACATTAATTGACTTGATTACCAATTAAATTCTATTATAATTTTATATCACCAAATTTCTCAACCAATTTGTAGGGCTACAGTGGTACACCTTCAAACACCTTGCCCAATATTTAATTAAACTCCTCATGATTATCCTACTAAGTTTACCCATGATGTCTAACTGGCATGTTTGATCAGAACATAACGATTGTGGAGCCGGAGAACCACCCTAGTGGAAGGTACGAAACAGATGCGTACAAGACCCTGCGGATCAGGTTCCCTCTTCCCAGTGACAGTGGAAAGTATATTTGTGTAGCTACCAACGCCGGGGGAGTCACAGAGGCCAGCGCCATCTTACAAGTCCTTAGTGAGTGGACTATTAGATTTACTTGTGATTTTAATTCAGATTTAATCGAGATTTACAAATTAATCGCGAGATGAAATTTCCAGGCGTAGCCGTATAACGTACTTATTCGACTGAGGAACAATATTTTTAGAGACGAGTAACAAAATATTTTCAGTTACCCCTCAGTTTAGGGAGCCACCCAAAGATGCGTGGGTACCGTTTGGAGGCAGTGCCGTATTCAGTTGTTCAGTGTTCGGTAGTCCCACTCCAGTTATCGAATGGTTCAAGGCAAGTTATTATTAAGCAATTTATCCACTGTCTAACTAAATATAAATATTAATTAGGCACGTCTTCACTATGTTGGCATTCGATTGATTCTTCATTATTTGTAAATTCTTGAAATGCAATTTGGTGAGAATTGCATTCCTTTAAGGCATTTTGCTGTTTTATTAATAGCGCCGCACAAGTAGTCCCGATTAGTACAAGTAGTCCCGATTAGTGATACTGGTGTTAATACCTGCATACCTTTAGTCATGTCATTCACTGTTCTGCGTACGTGTAAAGAACCATTATTTGTATCCAGCCAGACGAAATGGAGAGTTGTTCAATATAATGCCATTATCAAACGCCCCAAGTAATGATCACGTGGTGTTTTGGCAGTTTTGTTAGAAATGAAATTTCAGCCTTGAAGAGGGTGTCGGCATAAAATAATTCCAGTTAGCAACAATACTGAAGATAAAGTATTCTGATTATACGCGCCGCCTTTTAGTTTAAAACTCACCGTGATGGCCAGTGAATGAGTTATTCAGGTATTGCTGTATTGGAACTCAATGTATTCAGAGTTTTGAAGTAAAGGAAAGAAGCCACGTAATGAGGTTAACATGTCGAAGAGTAATGTAGCTCCTGCGGGTGTGTCACCACTTTCCCGTAACCCGTGTCAGTTCATGCTATCTGGACATCAGCTGTAACTCAAATGAATTACTGATAATAGGGATCAGCAGCTTCAAGGCATGAAAGTGGTGTTAATCTATGAAAATATTTGTCGTTATTTATCGACTGATGTTACCGTATCATCTCGGTCAATCCTGTTAAAATGAGCTTATTAAAATAGCTGATCACTGTCTTATCATGATTCGACATCTAGGTTTACAGTACCACTCTTTTACAGAACCAATACACACCCACTTTCTAACAGAGATTTAGATAAGCCTTGGAAAATGCTCAGTCTCGGACTAACTGAAAACTAACCCTCCTCCCCCTCAGGACAACCAGTATCTGCCCTTCTCTTAGTCCCAAACTTACTAAAAACTAACCTTCCTCCCCCTCAGGAGTCAGGACAACCAGTATCTGCCCTTCTCTTAGTCCCAAACTTACTAAAAACTAACGGCCTTCCTCCCCCTCAGGACAACCAGTATCTGCCTTTCTCTTAGTCCCAAACTTACTAAAAACTAACCCTCCTCCCCCTCAGGACAACCAGTATCTGCCTTTCTCTTAGTCCCAAACTTACTAAAAACTAACCTTCCTCCCCCTCAGGAGTCAGGACAACCAGTATCTGCCCTTCTCTTAGTCCCAAACTTACTAAAAACTAACCTTCCTCCCCCTCAGGACAACCACTAACCAGTATCTGCCCTTCTCTTAGTCCCAAACTTACTAAAAACTAACCTTCCTCCCCCTCAGGACAACCAGTTTCTGCCCTTCTCTTATTCCCAAACTTACTAAAAACTAACCTTCCTCCCCCTCAGGACAACCAGTATCTGCCCTTCTCCCAAACCTATGAGATCCAACATGTAACCCGGCCAGGAGAGGTACAGGAGAGACTGGTGTTCAGGTCCATACAGTTCGAAGATACTGGTTTCTACGAGTGTAGAGCCAGCAATCTGGCTGGTACCAGTCGACATGAGTTCTCTTTAGCAGTCACTGGTGAGTTTTGTAAAGTTTAGAACACGGATAGTGGAATTATCAGAAGTTGGCGTCTGAGTTCATCGAAAATGACAACCTCTTTTTTGTACATTTTTTTGTCGTGGATATTTGAACTTTATGCACAGTGCAAACAATACCCAATAACCAAGAACTGTGACGAGCAATATTAGTTGTATAACCCTCCTGTCCCCAGATGCCACACCATTCCCCGGAGACAGATTCGTATCGGATGCTCTAGATTACGCTCAGGAGTTCGTTCAGAGTGCTATTCAGGAGACTCAAATCATCCTCAAGTAAATTGGCACTTGTTTTAGATGCAGTCTGATCAATCTGTTGCAATCAACGTAACCTATTGGCTTATAGATTCAACTCTGTCACAGTGATTTAAAATAACATGGATCACTAACTTTCTAGTAACATTGTTTACAATAACTCTATCTCTCCGTTTTACTTGATACTAAAACTGTTCCCCTCAGAGCCCGTTTTAACGCACCTAACTTCAACCCCACCCCTCAAGACTTGTTCCACATGGTCAGACAGCCTACTAGACAGGCACTATACATGGCAATGGTCAGTAACCAGCTTTTTAAACCGTTATTACATTGCTGCTGAACAATTTGCATTTGAAATTTTGGTCTTTAATACAAAAAAAGAGATGATTTTGTGTACGTTATTTCCCGACATTTTGCAGTCAGCAGAGGTATTCGAACACGCGATGGACTACATACACGAGCAAATTGAAGCCCTGAACGTAACCTCTATGGAGAGGAACAACGTACCTCTTGGCTCTCTGCTCAGTCCGGAAGCTATTGACCATCTTGAAGATCTGTCTGGCTGTCACCGTAGGGTACGCTGAATTATCTTGATTCTTGATACATTTAATATTTTGTTACACACTAATTTGTGTAAAAATTGTCATACTCCAGGCTCCGTTGTTCTTCATTTAGAGGCATTATGATTTTCATGGGTTAACTTTCTTGACTTGCAGAAACGGAAATTACAATGTGTATTACTATAACCTAAACATTATAGTCACTTGTTTACTATTAAATAAGGCTTCTGCCGGCTTCAGTGCTAACAGTTTAGTTTAAATCACTTAGTACAGAGAACATAAAACCGGGTTCTGGCAATGAAATTAAATCGTTCTGACCCGTGTCAAATGTATAATTTACTGATAATATCATATCATCAGCGCCAAAAGTCTAGACACAGATAAATATTAAATAAGATATGTAACGAGCATTACCAAATACCGATTCTCTTCGCAATTTAACAGCTGGGGAAAATGTATCTTACCCTTTTCTGTAATTTATGCATATATTTCCTTATTTTCCAGTTTTAAACAGATAAATAAATACCGCGTACTACCTCAGAAACGACAGCCCAAGTGTCAGATGAGGTGTCAGGGTATGTCGTTCAGGTCCCACGACGGAACTTGTAACAACATCAAGCACCCTACCTGGGGTTCCAGCCTTAACAAGATCAACAGATTCCTTCCCGCTCTCTACGAAAACAAGTTAGTGAACTCAACTCATTCATACTCATTGCCAGTTAACCCTCTGTGCTAAGATCAATTAAATTCATTCCAAGAAATTTCCATAATTAAGCATTTAGTATTTACAGACAGATATAATTGATTTTCCTGAGGTAATACAGTCCCACGAGTAGTAGGTAGGTAACCTGAGGTAACAGTCTCCTGCTCCCAGGTACAATACTCCCCGTGGTTGGGGTCGTACTCTTCCCTCTGCCAGAATGATCTCCCAGCGTCTGATCCGGACCTACACTACCAAGGCTCACTCTCAGTTTAGTGTCCTTATGATGCATTTCGGTCAGTTCGTCGACCACGATCTTGCTCAGGTGAGCCACAGAATCTGTACAATTGACCCTTGGATATTTTAAAATCAACCTTTTACTTTTTTGCAATACAATAACGTACATGCCATTTACATTTGTATTCTTTCTTCTCCTTTTTTCCTCTTCTCAACAAGTCGAACAACTCTAGACAGTGGCAGGACCTAGTGAAACATCATTTGCTCCATTCCTACGAGTACGGTGTGAACAAACCTGTACAAACACCATGCCTTGCTTCCCAATAGAGGTCCACAGCAATGACTCCAGGATAGATGCAGCGTGTATGCCCTTCGTTAGATCTGCCTCAATATGTGGTAAGTCTTCCACTTCAGATTGTTGACCGAACATTCCAATCAAGAATAAACAAGAATTGTGATCGCAGTTTCTCCCTAAAACTCTCGTTTAGCTGTAACAATAATCTACAAACAGGTACCGGTGACACGAGTGTGTTCGGTAAGGAAACGAGAGTAAGAGAGCAGTTGAATCAGGTGACGTCCTTCCTGGACGCTAGTACTGTGTACGGTAGTGCTGATCAGGAGATGGAGACTCTCCGGGACAGGTTAGTGATTTGACATTATAAGTAGTTTCAAACGCAAGGAAATATCTTGTAGTTTTTTTTTATGACTTCTGAGAAGTTCGGTTAGCTTCATGTGTTTCTTCTTCCTGTGTTTGATTACGTTTTTCAAACAACTAACCGCAATAATAGGTAGAAGTTAGAGAAATCAGGTGATTATTGAGGAGATGTATTATCGACTGTTCCATCGGTCAAGCATTTGACTCCAATGCATAGAATGACTTTACTGATATGTACATTTAATAGAAACGTAAATCACCTATTTATTTGTTGCAAACTATGTGAGTTACAGAGTTGACCTTCTGATTTTAAAAAGTGATGATTCAAATCATAAGATCACTTTTATCATTTTATGTAGACTAAGATACAAGCACCAACTATAATAGTATCATTACTAAAGTAATAAAAATACAGATGCTGTAAATTTTCTATATGTCCAGAAAATTGCTTTAATTTAAATTTGACAGGTTTCAGTCGCACTTTACTCGCTCTTTATTGGTATAGCATCTGTATTTATTATATCATAAAGAAACTTTGTCATGTCGGGTACAGATTAAATAATAAATACCTTCGGTCGTCGTGAAAAATTCGGCTTTAAGCTACATTCGAATTTGAGAACCTTTATTAAATTGGGCAAAATCATTGTGGAATATTTATTCAAATTTCCTCAGATCTGCCAACAAAGGTCAGTTGAGAGTTGGAGAGGAGTCAATTCCCGGGAAACACTTCCTACCTATCGAAGACAACCTTATTCCTGAAGAAATGGAGAGTGACAGGAGGTGTATTGGTCGAGCTGCCACTGTATTCCTGGATTGCTTCATTGCAGGTAACCTAACTTGATGTGATCTGTTAAATAGAGGTCTTCGCATACAGTATTTTAAAAATCTGATAATATCTAAAAATAACCAAATATATAGGATAACCGGATTATAATTCTAACCACTTCACCAGTTGAGAGACAGTATAATCTCAATCCAAATCTCTGCAGGAGACTTCAGAGTAACAGAGCAGCCAGGCCTGACCACCCTTCACACCCTGTTCATGAGACAGCACAACGAGATAGCTTACAATCTAGCTGAAGTGAACCCCCAGTGGAACGATGATCGTATCTACGAAGAAGCCAGGAAGATTATAGGAGGTGTCATGCAGCATATCACATACCAGGAGTACTTACCCAAGGTACGGTTCATGCTTCAGTTCCATTGTCTCTTGCTTTTGTTCTCACCTGGAATTTCATCCTACAATCTTATTTTCTCATCATTTTGTCTCGAAACTGGGAGAATGTTAGTCGTGATAACAACCACAGCTGTTTTGCAACTTGCATTTTGTTCTATTTATTTTTACTAAGTTACCTTTTGATCCAGGTGCTAGGAGTTGAAGGAATGGAGCAGATTGGTGACTACACTGGTTACGACTCCGATGTGGACGCCTCTCTTCTAAACGAGTTCTCTACCGCCGCTTTCAGATTCGGACACACCCTCATTCCACCTACTCTCTTTAGACGAGGTCAGCATTATATGTATCTTTAATTAACCTTGATATAACATTGCAGTATAATAGTTGAGCAGTCTGCGCTGCCTAAACCGCCGAATCAGCTTGTTGATGGAATGAAAGTTTCTCGGTCCTATTAGTAATTAGATCTGTCTCTGATACCTGTTAGAGTCTTTTAGCGCTGAGTGTATACGTCTTTTAGTTATAGCGGGTAACTAAGAGAGTAATTTCTTTTCGTTAGTGGTAAAAATAAAACTTCTATTTGATAGATGACTAAATTTAAAGTTATTTACCTACTATTAGATACCAGTTAATTTTTAGAAATTTTAGGAATGTTGAGCGGCAAGTTGTTGAGCCGTTATCTTGAGAATTTCCACAAAACAACTGAATCTGCAACTTGTGATCGTAGTCTGAGTCAATATGCACCAGCTTGGAGTATGCAGCTATAATGTTGACTCTCCACAATAATATCATATAGAGCATGTAGAGCTTGATATTTTAACCCACTGTTCCACGTGCATTTCATTGAGCAAACTTTAAATCGTGATCCTAGAACGATGACAGGTGGCATGTTATCAAATGAAGGACCCGCCTATATTTCAACAGAGAAAGTAGGAAATTTTAAATAGCTCAATACTTTACCCAATCGTGTTCAAAGTGCAAGATTCTTTAATCTCATGAATATCTCGAGGGCTCATTTATATTTGCTATGAAATTGTGAGTATAGAACCCAGTAATGAAGGCCCAATTAAAGGAATACCAGGCCTTTACTTTCCACCAAGAAGTAATTCAAAATGTCAAGTTTAACGTGAAGTTCTTTTACAGGAAAGAATTACGACAAGTTTGAGTTGGGAGATATGCCCCTACACAACTCCTTCTTTACTCCCTACAGACTCTTAGACGAGGGTAAGTGGAACTCGTCAGCATTGTTATCCCATAAGTTGATATCAGTGATCAATCAACTTTTGATCAAATGAGAAAATGCTCTGTATCGAATTTAGCAACACCCTCCCCACTCCTCTAATAGCTAATATAATGAGGGTTCTAGATTCCAATATAATTCTCATCTAATATCGTCCGTGCCAGGTGGTGTGGATCCAATAATCAGAGGAATGATCATGCAGAATCTGAAGTTACCTGACGGTAAACTGTCTGACTCTCTTACTGAACGACTCTTCCATGTGGTGGCTCAGGTTCGTAAATAATATATGATAACGTCTTCAGGTTGATGATAGTGTAAACTGTAACCACGGTTTTACTTCTCTACTGCAATCAAATGAGACCAAATTCGCCGCGTCAGAAGTTCGTTTCATAAAAACAGAACCTCGCAGTCACTGATATAATAATTGTAGGTAGCCTTGGATCTGGCAGCAATCAACATACAGAGAGGACGTGACCACGCTATCCCAACTTACAATGACATGAGACAAGTTTGTGGAATGAGACGAGCTCTGGACTTCCACGATCTTCAGGTTAGGGTCTGATCCAATTGCTCCGTGAGTTGTGTTTGTATTTGTGATTTCAACTCTTTACACATAATCTCTATAATGTGAATACTGAAAATTAAGTCTCAGCACTCGTGTTAATACATGTTTCCGTTTAACCAGATTTTCTGCAAATTATACCATCACAACAATTCAGGGTGAGATTAGGAACGCCACAACCAGACAGCTCCTATCCGAGCTATACTCTTCAGTTGACGAGATTGATCTCTGGGTTGGTGGACTTGAGGAGGATATTGTGGAGGGTGGTCTAGTTGGTCCTACATTCAGGTAGTTAGCATTTGTTGTAGAAAAGTATCTGAACTGTTTTCTTCGATATTTTAGACTGTGATAGTCTGAGCAATAAAAGTTTGGTTCGTATTATGGTTAAGTTTGAAAATCTTGATTCGATCATTCATATCCTGAATAAATTGGACATGTCTGTAGAATTAAGAATAGTTAATTCTAACGTTAACTAAAAATATTCCTGTTTACAGATGCATCATAGCTGAACAGTTCAAGAGAGTGAGAGACGGAGACAGGTTCTGGTTTGAATCAGATAAGCACTTCACTCAGGAGCAGATCAGACAGATAAAGAAGATCACCATGGCCAAGGTCTTCTGTGATAGTGGAGACAAAATCGAGGTTTGTGGAGCTTGCTGGAAGATTCCGTCCTAAAACGTTCTAAGTTGAAATGTTGAACATGCTAGATCATTACATCCTGTATCTACGCACAAGTTTTTACTAGTAAATCAATACCTATAAATTATTACAACTTGGTATTTTACCCAGACTTTAAACCCCAGAAAGTCCCAGTGGATGTATTCATGTACAACTCAGATGCTCACAAGTTCACCCAATGTAAAGATCTCCCTAAATTTGATTACTCTGCGTTTGTCGACTGTGGAGGTAAGAGTTATAAACGTTTGAGTGGCGTTTTTAATTAGCGTATGAATAACATGGTGCCCTTGTCAGACAGAGTCATAATATCACTCCAGTGAAAGCAGGATTAATGAACGAATAGTGTGACATTGGGTTCTCAACCATGGAAATTTAAAAGTCTCTACATGCTGTTCTTTCTGGCTCCATGTGCTAGTTAGGGATCTGAGGTATCCGAAAAATCATGTTTTGAGTACCCAAAGTGTTCTGGGTGCCAAGAATGAGGTTATTAAAGCGGCGAAAATGACCGGTTTTGGACTATTTATGAGCTTTTTTGCCCATTTTCATAAGATAAAGAATCAGGAAAGCTGCTCTAGATGATTGAAATGGTTGATACCAATGAGGATACACCCAACACACATAAATATTCGTGATATATGTGATTTTAATGAGAAAAATATGATCTCAGGGCCCATTTTATACCAAAATTTGCCAAAACCACTCGCACTTGTCAAAGCTTCCTCATTTTAGACACATTTAATGATTATTATGGTATCTAACTTATGGTGGATCTGATAGGAGTATGTCTTAGCTTCATTTTAAGCCATCAATGAGCATGCTGGTGTGTATGAAAGTACTTTAATCCTCCCGTCCATTGAACTTATAGTTTGGGCCATGCGCGCGCGCGCGCGCGCTTGTTACAAGCATGAATTTTCTCCCTCAGTATCTATCTAAAGCTTTTAAAGACATGATTAGAATGCTATCCTACTCAGCACATGAGTGCTACAGGATAGTGAAAGAATTTCCATAAAAAATCATTAAATGTGGAAGATATGAGGTCATATGTGTGTGTGCGCGCGCGCGCGCGCGCGCTTGTTACAAACTTGATATCCTCAGAACCTTCACATTTACTGAGATTTTGTTTCAAACTTAATTGACTCTGAACCGAAATTGCCAAAGGAAACAGATAGTGTAACTCAGAAAGACCACAAATGGATAGTTTGTGAGATATTGAGGTTATACTTCAAAAAATTTACAATGATGTCACACCAGAAAACCCCTATTTTTGGTATATTTAACCTCATATCTCGAACGCGCAGTACTGGATTGAGCTAAACTTGGTCAGGTTTTGTAGCCCTGACTATCCTCGATCATTTGGAACAGGAATAAAACTGTTTAGATGTTATATCTTAATTATATTAGGCACTTAGTTCTGAAAAGTGAGAATGTCATTAATACTGCTTTCACTGACTCACTGTTCGCTCTCACTCACAAGACAATAAATACCCAAACTGACATACTGACTGACCTGCAGCGTTTTGCTGACTATTTCGGTCAACAAATAGCTGGACACCACGATCTGAAACTAACGATATTTCTTTTTAGGGGCAGATTATCTTAGATACCAATCGTACCTGTACGATGGTACACCAGGCTCCACTGATCTTACCGGTACGAGTGATGCCATATCTAACGGTCCAAGAACCACAACAGGCACCTTCGGAAGCACTCTTACCCCCGGTGGAACCACTGGGTCACCTCCAGATGAGGGCACTGGCACCACTGATAGTGGCACTGCTACTACTGATGGAGGCACTGACACCACTGATAGAGTCACTGCTGCTACTGATGGAGGCACTGACACCACTGATAGAGTCACTGCTGCTACTGATGGAGGTACTTCCGCCACAGACGCCGCCACAGAAGGGGGCACTCTCACCGGGGGGAGAGGTGGTATGGAAAAAACTGCCACCACTGTGGTAGTCTACCCGACCCCAGCCACTTCATACGCTCGTGAGGATCTACAGGATGTGGTCACTAAAGATCCTGTTGAAACTCCTGGTAAGTGAACACTGAACATATCATTTGAGATTTTATCGGTAAACGTACACAATATTTGGATTGAAGATTCTCGATGAATAGTAATAGTAAGATCTGTATAATTCAAATAACTTAACGCTTGAAACCCCAGCGAACCCCATCGAGGGAAGAGCTGACTCTGAGTTTGATGAAGCAGTTGTCGCGCGATTGACTGTGAGAGATGATCTGGAAGCTTTGATGAAGAGTCTTGATGAAATGAACCGGCAGTTGGATATGCTAAACTATAAAGTTGCTCTCGTCGAGACTAAGGTACCTTTACAGTTCGTAGTTTATCACTGATTGATAGTGATTCAATTTTCGTCCATATTCATGACTGGCGAGTTTTGCTGCAATTTAAATTTAAAACCTCCAACAAGATAGTGACAGTAAATAAAATGAAAAATAAGATTTAATGTAAAACTGTATAAAAAATGGAACTGAGTAATATTGAAAGTTAAACTGAATAATAATGAAAATGAAAATGAATAATGCTGAAAACGAAAACAGGCAGAAAAGCTGGAGGAGAGGATGTTGGTAGAAGGAGGATGTCTAGTAGCTGGAAAAGTTTACGAACAGAGTGAAAGGTGGAACGGAGATGAGTGTACGGTCTGTACCTGCCAGGTAAAATTTTATAATTATGTTATTAAAGCAGTTTAAGTTGAATTTTTTACGGGCCAGAAAGAAACCATGAAGGTAGTTATTTAAACGTTGCCGAGCAAACATAACTTTGAAAATTTTGTGTTTGCCGGGGATTACCGGTTTATAAGCTGTCTCAATTGTAGATTTTGACGTTTAATTAAGCTTATATTTGAGGGAGATATGGGCCATTCTTTGCAATTCCTAATAATCTGTAACACCTTTTTCAGGGAGGAGCCGTTACTTGTGAACCCAACCCAGCCTGCGCTAAACTCACCTTATAGTAAACAACATAGCATTCAATCAAAATGCTCTGAAAATTAATCTGTCTCATCACAAAGTTCGCCTAGGGAAACTTTACTCTATTTCCTGCTTCAGCTTCTCTCCCTTAAAACTGACCAACAGGAGTACGACCACAGTCATGACCTTTTCCGATGCCACATTTAATCACACTTCTCTCTTGAGAAGTCACGATATACGTTCAAAATCTGCCCTGTCATGTATTAATGCTTTTCATACAAAGTTACAACAAAGTCTTCATGTTATGTATCCTGGGTTTGGACAGGATATTACCCGTTTAAAATATTTCCATCACGTTACATAATTTTCAATAAATGTAATATAGATTTGTAGTGTTGTACTTGTAATTAGTTCAAATATGTCATAATAGCCTAGAATTGCAATCTTTAGCGGTGGTTTTTTCTCTGGATATTCTATGATTGTTCTTGAGTTATCTGTTATAATGTTATGATCGATGAATAGATACATGCATAAAAATGGAGTCCGGGGATGCTGAAATAAAACTATAAATCTTATTTGTTCATTTGGTTGTGAATTTTATTAAGTGTCTGAGATGAATGATCGTAATGTCATTCGCTGATAATTCCAAACCCGAAAAATATTCAACAGATTCGACGATGTACCAAACTGAAAGACGTGAAATGTAATATTTTTACGAGAATTAATTTGATTTTGATAATTTATTTGATTTTAGTCACTAATGATAACAATTTTTGAGAAATAGAGAAGGTCAATTTCATAACCGGTGAATCTTTAAAAAAGGGATAAATACTTAATATTCATACTGTCTTGAGTTTAAATTTGATTAAAATTAAATTGTGATGTCGCCATAGAATTTAAAATATAGATGGCGATGTTATTATATTGAGTAATGATCATTACATAGTGTCACTCCTATTGTGGTATCTCGTCATTATAAGCTTCACTTAAATCTGTGGCGATTAATTATATTTATTGTAACTTTATAATGGCGTAGGGTTGTAGAGATTAAGTATAAAATTTTATATCAACCAAAGCCTTTGTAATGGGCCTAATGGCTTAAATGATGAAACTGGTCACCTAATAAATATGAAGTTTAATCGAAAGCAGTATTGTGGCACACCCTTTACTAAACAATTAATTAAAAATCCACGGTTATTGGAGCAGCAGCTGGTGTGTTCAATGTTGATATTTCTAACGCGAATGTCACTGTTAGTTTACACATTATAAGAACGTTCAATCAAAATTTGTTCATTCTACTCAAATCTAAACGAAAACTTTAACATCAAAGAGCTGATAAGAACCAACTATACACATTACATTTTGTGTCTGGGGAATATTTGGCAGTATTTGTAAGCATGAATTGTTAGGCTCTTTTACTCTATATATGAATTCATAACTCAATGCCATAGTTGATGGATATTAATTGATTGATTCATTATGTAGTCACCTGAGAGTGAAGATATTATATTTATGATGGTCCGTTCTTCGTCAGATACTATCTGGTAATTATGATCTAGTTATAATAAGCGACTAAAATTATTTAGATGAGGACGAGGGTAGAGGTTCAACTTCATGATACCTATTTATAAATGTGATGAGGTGATTTCAGCCATTAAAAGTTTTGTTTAGACTTTATAGCATCACAACTTTTTGACTAATCTTTATAATCATATAAATATTCGTGTAACAAACTTGGTAAATTATGTATTTTAATTTGAATTGTAAACTATTATTTGTTGATAATGTTGAACTTGTTTTAAAAACGTCTTATCCTGTGTCGGTGACAGATCTCTCTAAATCAGTATCAGTATCACTTTCAAAATTCGAATTCCATGCTTTCAGCCTTTAAGGGTCCGGCATACACCGAAACAGGGGTTTTTGTCGGCCAACCCAAATGACCTCATAGGAAGTTAATTCAGTGACCATTTAGCGCACCGTTTCCTCACCAAACATTTTTTTTTTGAGAATTCCCATTTCCTGGTCAAAGTGCATTTTTCGGAAAAGCTCAATTTGTTTTATTGAGAGGCCCCCCCCCCCCCCCCGCCTTTTTTGTTCGTCTTACCAATCGCGCGCCTGGACTTTCTGTCAAGGTCAATTTAACAAAGTTTACTTTGATCTTATAAAATAAGTGTGTCTGTTCGCGCCGTCCGTTTGCTGAACTTTGTGACATGACGTCATCAAGGGGCTCAATGCTCCAAAATAATTAATATCGTCAGACGTCAGACAGACAACTTCCCGCTTTAGATTGGATAAGCCTTTTTCTGGTTTAATACTATCAAAGACTACCAATTAATAGAAACGTATCAGTAGAGGGTACCAGGAGGCAGGCAATAATCACTTCTCCCAGTTAAGCAGTTAGATGACTCCAAGAAATTATTTTTTAAGAGCTCCTTTTGACTTGGTTAGAACTTTACATGGGAGGCCCGGTTATATGTTTGTTTGGGCCCGGACGGTGCCGGTGGTTCTAATGACCATTTACTAAAATACATAAATACAAAATACAATATAGTATAAATATTATAATCAGAAGTTTTATAAATCATATCCGTCCAAGTTAAACTTGAAGGGCGCTACACGCACGACGAAAACTCCCTTTAATATGAGCTGAAGTAGACTACTACAGTAGTCGTAGAGCTAGTAGCGCTTGAAATTGACAGAACTGAAAACGAAATCTGACAATTGTCGCGAAAACTGACAGTTTTGTGTGCTCAAAGTGTCGAGAAATACTGACAGTGCAAGACTGGGCACACAAGAGTGAGTTAAAACATCCTCCACACAACAAAAACTTGAATACACTAATAATAATCAATTATTAAAAACACACAAGCTCATTCTGCAGTCTTATTAGTCTTATCAGTACTCTTTATAGCACCGTTTCTGATAAAGTGTAGCTTATCAGGCTGCTCAGTTACCAGTCTTTTCATGTCCCTGACGAGTTCTCTTTGCTTGGCTCTCTGTTCTGGAGATCGATCTGGGCTGATAAAAACAGTTTTAAACTTTTCCGTTGCTCGCAGGTTTCTCGATTTAGCGAGAATCTGATTAACAATTGTTGCACTTGCCGCAGTCACTTTAACTGGTCTCACAGCCTTGCCAGGTTTGAGTTTTCCGACTCTACTAGCTTCAATTCTGGGTTTCTCTCCGATTGCTGAGAACACTTCACTGACCACGGTGCTGAGCTCCTCATTGTCCTGCTCCGATAAAGACTTTCGGTCTTCCTCCTGTACCACAGTTTTCACAGCTTTCTTGATCATTTCAGAACTGACAGGCTTCTGAGATTCTGGAAAATTCGCCTGTAATACCGAGCTGAATGGATTGGAATTCAGCCTTGACAGACTCTCCGACTGACGATTTAACTGACGTTTGTAACGATTCTAACTGTTCATTTTTGCAGGCTAGTAGTTCTGACTGCAGCTTAATGATGGTCTCCTGTGTCTCGAACATAAGATGTTTAACTGAGTTTGAGGCCATCTTGTAGTCCGTGGATACGACACCAGTGAACTCCTCCAAATATCTTAATGCATCGTGCAACAAGTCACACGCAGTGTCCTTGTTCATCTTCTATTCCTCACGCGCGAAGGGGATAGTTGCCCCATTGCTGTGATCTCCATCTCGTTCATAGCCTTGCTGAGAAGTTCAACTGAGTCACCCCTTAACATGTTGATCTCCTTTTCACCATACTCGCTGGGCGGGATGGTCATGGTCGTGTAACACGGTGATACACAAACCACTGTAGCTGCACGTTACAATCAACAGAGATAAGCACTAAGATAAGAGAGTAAGAAAAGAGCAACGTATGCAATTAGTGTAATACTGAACTGAGGAGAGTCCGTCTCGGAAGGTTCTGAGCCCACTATTGAAGTATTGAGCGTCTGAAAACTTTGAGTTTTATGGAATTAATGATTTTCTTGATTAATATTTCAGTCGTGATTGTATTGCGAATTTAGCTAAGAGTCAAGACTTTCAATTTTGGTGAGTTGACATAAATGAATACAACTATATAGAACAAAAATGTAGAACGAGAAATATAAACAATGAACAAAAACCTTTTCTAAAACGTGATCAGAAAACAATGGAATGAAGCATTTTACACTACACTGATTATTTAACACGTGGGAGAATCTTTTAGTAAAAAAATTAATTTTAAATGACTTAGTTCTAAAGTCCATTATTGATGGTGCGATAAGCTTTCAACGTCTTTATCCAAGCTAGATTTTTCATACAAAATGAATTAATTCGTATATTTTTTAGAGAATAAATGATGATATTGCAATCTCACACAAAACGATCAAGTTCTTTTTCTATAGCACAAAGCAATATATGATGAATCTTTCAAATCTGCATTTTGTCAGTGAAATATCATTAACTTAAAAGCATAAAATGTCTCTAAAATCCACAAAATATTATCTTACTCGTATGATTTTCTTGAAACGGAAAATATTGACAATATGTTTATCAATCCTGGACATAATTATCAAAGTTATCTCAAAAATAAGATGTAAAATCATTTCTTACCAGCAGAAAATCTTAGATTAATCGCAAAATAGTTTTCAAACGCACAGCCTCATAAAAGCCGCAGCCAAAACCACAGCTAACGAATAAACAACACCCCTATCTCCACACTCCATATCAGTTTCATCAGCTCCCCCCACACAGTCATCGTAACCATTGCACACGTGAGCTCGTCTGATGCACCACTCATTGGGACACTGGTAGTCTGTTGGGTAGCAACCCACTGCCTTCTCAGACATTTCTCCATCTGGTGGGTCAGGGTAGATACAGCCTATCTCGTCAGATAAGTCCAAGCAGTCGTGCACTTCATTACATTGGGATGAGGGGACTGAGGATACACTGAATCACATAATGATAAATCAATTTAAATCAAATCTTTTAGCTTGTAGGTAAGCGGTCTCAACTTGGATGAAAGAAGAATACAATTTGATACGTCTTGATTATCAATATAATATATTTCGGAGAATCATATAGAATCTATTTATAGAATCTACCTAACTGACAAACATTCTAATGCACTAAGATATACAGGCACATTTTTCAAACCTCGACATGAAGAATCATCCAGAACTTGATAGGTGAATGTTAAATCAATAACCATATCTTCCTGACCGAGTAGAATGACGAGCATTGCTTGATCTGAATCTGAAGCAAAACCTGATTCTGCCTCTGAAACGGGTATCAAATTATATGACAGCATATTATTATGATATAGAACCTGCTATCAAAATTCCATCGTAAATGTACAAATAACAAGCATCAGGGTTAACTTACGGACAGAAGAGTAAGTCTCAGGCGTAAGTTCTACGATTGGTTCTTTCGTCATGTCGTAATCATGGAACATCTTTATCCTGCTGTACTTACTGCTGCCTAAATTTACTGACAAAGACTTTACCTGAGGTCATTTTAACGATTTTATAATCCCCTCGCATGATTTGTGTACATTTGTTGAAAATTGAAAAAAAATTACAAAAATATAAAAGATAAATAAATACTTATGGTTGGTGGGCTAGACAGTGAAACACGCAAATGTAGTGTATACTTCGTTAAATTACATCATTAGCTACAAAGGAATTAAGTTGGTTAGTTTTATTAGTACTATATATACGAAGATCTAAAATGCCTCAAACAATCGAGAATCAAATAACCTAAATAAAATACACAAGGTAAATGGAGATGAACTACACAAAAATATAGCTTCAAAAATGAAGCTTCAAAAAAGAAGAACTAAAAACTAAGAACCTTATCTTTCAACTTTGCATCTATTTAAACCCAAGCAATTAGTTCTATACTTCTCAATATACCTAAATTCCTCCCTATTTAATCCCCTGGGGTTACATTCTTTCAAAATGGCAAATTTATAGTTGTCAATAGTAAAAATGTCACTGTGATGTTCATAGGCATGAATCGAAAGGGCTGATTTATTACGATCCTCTACTTTAAAACAGGCTCTGTGTCCATTGACACGTTTATGAAAGTTTTGCATTGTTTGCCCGAAATAAGTGTCTTCTACAACTATCTCATAACCTTCTTCCTTTATAAGATTACAAAGCTTACATTGGGCCACATAAATAACATTTTTAGATTTACAATTATATCTGATAGGAACTACTAGCTTCTGTCCATTAACTACAAATTCTTCCCCTGCCCTACACATATGCCTGCATGTTCGGCATCTTGGTGCATTGCATTTCTGAGTCCACTCTGAATTATTTTCTGCCGGTGTTCTGCAGATAGCACTGTTTCTCAGTACTCGGTTACCAATCGAGCAGCCTTTCTTCGATGCCACCGTGATTTGTGTTGGGCCTAATAGTGCTTCAATGTCCGGTTCCAACTCCTTTAAGACTGATTTAAGCTGGGGCATCTCCGATAGGTGTTGGACTGAAAACACCATGGAAGTTTTTTGGGGAACATGAACACTTCCTTCTGAGTTGGGTGGAGGATTGAACAGCTTCTCCAACACTTTTGGCTCTAAGGCGTTCAGTTTCGCTGAGTCGTGTCCACTACGACGCAAATCCGATTTCAATTGCTGTAGGTCCGCCTGCCGTGTATCCTCTCTTGAGTTCCTGTTAGCAATCCGAAGCATTTGGGAGAAGGCTACGGAGTTAAACACGTGTTTTGGGTGGAAACTGTCAGTACGGAGAAAATTCCTGGCATCTGTCGGTTTGGTGTAGAGCTTATATTGGATCTTGTTGGTTGTGTCCAAATACAAGGTTATGTCCAGGAAATTCACCTCCTTCCCCAATTCCCAGCTGCCAAACCTTATCCCGTATTCCGCTGCCAGTTGGTTCAATTTCTGTACAAAAGAATCAAACTGCCTTGCCGTACCCTTCCAGATTATGAAGCAGTCATCGATGTAGCGTAAAAACAGTTCAATGAGACTATCCCAAGGGAGATCATTCCTAAGTTTTTTATGCATAAGCCAGTGCAGAAATAGATCAGCGATCTGCCTTGAATCGCATCCCCCTGTTGGGATCCCTTTCTCCGACTTATAACAATTGTCTCGGAACGTAACACAAGAGTGGTTAAAGGAGAGTTTGGTGAAATTCAGCAAAGCGTCCTTAGTCCTTTCAGATGTGGTTCGATCCGATTCAAAAGCGTCCGCCATGGCCTCTAGTGCTAAACGTGGGTTAATGGAGGGGTACAGGGCTTCCACGTCCAGGGTGGCTAGTAGGGTGTTTCCTCTTGGTGGGGATGAGTTGTGTTGCTCGATTTTCCTCATAAGATGGGGAGTGTCAAGCAGGAATTCATCTCCACAGTAGTCCTGGCTGATTTTTGTTAGGTGTGGGCTTGACCATTGCCCTAGTCTATAGAGGGGACCATGCTTTGCTGCATTGATGAATCTTTGTGGTGGTACAACCTTGTTCCTGATTTGTTCTTCTGATAGCTTGTGTACTTTGAACAAGGGCCAGATTTTTGGTGGTACTGGTCTGTAATCCGGGCTGTGTTTCATGTTATTATCCGTGTTGAGACCTGTTATTATAGTCTTGTCCTTAGATGTTATGTGTCCAATGTGTTCTAATAGATAAATAAATAAGAAAAGTGACCTGAACCCGACAATATTTGCCAGTGTTGCACTGCATCTTTATAAACTCGGTCTGATAGTTGAGGCCATTGTTCGACCAGGAGTACACTTGTGGTTCCGTTGTAGCTATCAGCTTCACCCAGGTTCTATTCTGAATGGTCAATCGTCAGATGGCTCTAAAACTGTAAAGATTGGACAGAAAATTACATACACTTCCGTGTTCATGATTTTAAACGTTGCGCTTCTAGTTGATCTGCAGTCTCAGCTAGAGTAAAATTGCATCTTTGAAATAAAATTGAACAACTTAGGTAAGAATACAAATAAACAGCCAACCATGATTTTATTGGCCCAGGATTTCATTTTAACCGCATCAGAGTTTATGTCATAGGACGGTTTTTTGTCATAACCGGTTATAGAATAGCTCACCATACCGACCTGCGAGTTAAAAATATAATAATTTTAAGTTTAGTTATATTTCTCGACAAATGCACTGTAAGACGTCTCAAATTCTGTTAATCAAAGGGGCGAGAATAGTTAGTAAGCACTCAAAAATACCATGTGATTAAGAAAGCTCTTACTAGTTCGGTAACATTGTCCTTCATCAGAACTAAAGGTCCCCCGGAGTCACCCTGAGCAGCTCGGTGCTTCATGTTCTCATCCCCACTACACCACATACTATCGTCCAGCAACCTGTTATTTAGCAAGGTTTTACAGGTTATTTAGCAAGGTTTTACAGGTTTTTAAACAAGGTTTTACAGTTTATTACACAAGGTTTTACAGGTTATTACACAAGGTTTTACAGGTTATTACACAAGGTTTTACAGGTTATTATTAAACAAGGTTTTACAGGTTATTATTAAACAAGGTTTTACAGGTTATTATTAAACAAGGTTTTACAGGTTATTATTAAACAAGGTTTTACAATTTAGTATTTACAGGTTATTACACAAGGTTTTACAGGTTATTATACAAGGTTTTACAGGTTATTATTAAACAAGGTTTTACAGGTTATTATTAAACAAGGTTTTACAGGTTATTACACAAGGTTTTACCAAATTTTACTACTCGACGTTTAAATGTTTATCAATTATGGCTATGCAATGCAATGCTCCAAAGTTAAATTTACTAAAACCCAGTTAAAGATCATTCTTAACATTTAAAAAGGGAATCATCATGCGGAAGTTTCTTGAACAATGAATAAAGCAATAAAGTATGATTTAATTTTCATAATTGCTGATTACTAATAATAACAACTACGAGTATGATAAAATTCAACTTAGAATGCAGAGTATAAAAATAGACAAACGCGTAATTACGATCCATAGATATTCAAGCAGTCTGTTCGCTGTGGCACATCTTGATCAATATACTGAAGCCGAACGGCTACTTCACCAGTTTCAGTTAATCCATACCCTGCAAAAAATTCTGACTGTATTGGCAATTTTCTCAAGTTTACGTAGATTATAAAAGGCCATTTGCTGCAGTATGATCAATATCAAATCTCGGGTAATCTAGAATTGGCAGTGGTAGTTCAATTAGTTCCGCATTTTCGGAATGTTGTACGATAGTGATATCTTTATTAGATCTTTTTACCTTGTGAGATACAAAGTGAAACAGTATTACAATTAGTCAATTCTCACCAGAAACACGGACTGTGTCACCAGGTTCGGCCCCCTTATCTGCAATAGCGACGACTGAAACGTTCTCGTTAAGAATAAGTGGATCCTTCAAATGGAGCAATGCTATGTCGTGCTGCGAGTGAAGGTGGGTTTGAATGGTGGCATGATCATGATTGAGGGTGATATGAAGTGATTGAAGATGTGATAGCGTAAAGCATTAAACATCTGCATTCCTTATCCTAAATTCAACAATCCTACAATAACATAACTAATAACTGGTATTGCTGTATCTCTAATATAGAGATTCCTAGGTGGCATAGGTATTCATATTATCTAATATTTAAACTATCATAATTACTGTGTTTAAACTCGAATCTCTTAAAATGAATGTCTTCGAATAACTTAAGAGAACAGAAATGGTAAACAGTATAAAAAATAGCCAAATTACGTGCAAAATTAAAGCTAACAGAAAGTGAAGCATCGTTGTAGTTCTCGTGGGGGAACATCATGTCAACATAACGGTGCTGTTCACTGTCTGATTCTTCCAGCACATGCAGGGTACCTGCCCAAACCTGACAACAGTATATAAATATTAACCTCCCAAATTAATGTTCGAGACATCTCCCATCGGTATTGCAAGAACGTACGAAGAACGATCAACAATTATCAAGGAGACAATGGAAGGCGGCTGGGTCTTATTGCTATGAATCATATAATTTATTTGTTTTATCTGTGAAAAATAATAATATAATGGAATCTACGAGAAAAATAGCCGATTATAGATTATAGTCAGATTTATTCCTGGTTCAACTTCAGAGCATATATGTTTTTTGCACATCTGGTAAATAAAACCCTAACCAGCCCCACACCATCTCCCCCTGCCTTCTAAATAATTAAGAACTTGCCGTAAACATTGCTATATTGACTATCTTATTTTTCAAGACAGTGCAATGGGCAGCAGTTATCAGCCACCATTGGTCAATAATGGCTCCACCACAGAGGCCCGAATCGTCATATGACAACAAAATCTGAAAAGCTGTAATATTATCATGATGACGCCCGGAAAGAAGGTACCCTAACGCTTGGAAAATAAAACAAATGACCAAAAATGCTAAATTTCAGACATGCAGTAACCTGTAACATTGGTCGTCAAAGTTACAAAATTCGAATATTATAAGATATTTGGGTGCAGATGTTTAACGACGGTTAACTTTGCGAAATAGCTAAAACTATCGAACACTTATCATCATAATATCATAATTTATAAACTTATCCAACCTGATATGGAGCGATACTTGCATCAGCATCCTTTCCCCAATATATTTTTTCTTCTTTTTCTAACTGTGGCATGTTATCATTAGCTGTCTTTGTTGGCAAGTTCCATAGTTTAATCATCCGTGGGAGGATCTCTTTATCCGCACATAACAATGTAGCCAGTAGATGTGGCAAGAGAAGAAATAACTTCATTCAAAATCTCACCATTTGACCTAGCAAAGACAAGTTCTTATTCGACAAAGTAGATAACTGTAAGCTAGGCAATATAAAATTCGAAAATAGTTGATTAAGAAAATACGTCCGTATGAAATCAGAAAATAAAATTATGTAAGTCGTACAACTATAATGTATCGTGAAATGAGGAATGAAATAATACGACAATTAAGTATATTGTGATTATGAAAATACTTATAAGTTTATCAATACAGATTCAAAATAAATAATAAATAAGCAAATGTAAAAATAAAACTGATATTTAGCAGAGAACTTGGCTTAGACAAAAAGTGCGCACTAAAAACCACTGAGTGCCAACGAAATACCAAGTACGTTTAGCATAAATAATATTAATAAAATTACTACATGTACATTGTACATTGAACAGTATAAATTTCCTCAAAGGTATACGCACATATGAAACAGCGATACAACACTAATCCCAGTAATAATTGATCTAATTCCCGCAGCGTGGGAATAAAAAACTTCTGTGTAATTACAATGGTAGCTCGAATTGTCCCTAAATCAAATCAAATCAAATCAAAATATAATGATTGTGGAACACAACAAGAAAATTGAGAATAATCTTGTGCGAGGGTAGGGACCCAGATGTCGTTTCTAACCCAAATAAACTTTAAGGAGGCTTCTCATCAGTAGCCGCACCTCCTTACTCGGTTTCTGAACTGGAATTCTATGGGTTTCCAGACGGCCAGACCGAGTATTACCACCGCATCCTTCTAGAGTTCATCACAAGTAGCACCCACCTTGAAGATCTTTGACACCCAGACACACCCCATTGGCGAACAAACTTTGGATATAATCTTACATGCTCCCGAAGGAATCCCTGGTTTATGGTCTCACACATCATCAAAAATATATCTACTAAAGTTTAAAAATTATCTTTAATATATTGGCCTAAACAACCAAGTTAAAATGAATCTAATTTACATACTTTCCACTACTATATAAGTTGATAAAGCGTTTTTTAGCAACATGAGGATTACACACAAGATAATCATTGTGCTTCTCTTTATTAGTAGCATAATTTAATCCCTCGATCTTTCCTAATACTTCGTCCGAAACATACCAAAAATGACTATCATTTACAGATCCGTTTAAAATAGTCTCTTTTTTGAAAGCCTCTAATCTTATTTTAAAACTTAACACAGTCCCACAATTCTTGACATCCGAGGGGAGTTTGTTCCAATATGGTCTCACCCTCTCCGGAAGAAAAGAACTGTGGACTTTCTTCATTTTACTGCTACTTTTACTGCATCTACTGTTTGATACCACATTAAGACCAGATCTGCTCATACTGAACAAACCAGCTCCGTAATTGGCGAAACCACTTATCATTTTAAAAGATTCAATGATAAACATATACTCGTCCTCTCCATATTCGCAATCCTCGGCAAAATTCACAGATCTGGGATTGCCTGATACACTTGTTTGTTTTCTCCGGGACACTTGTGATCGTCTGGGTAGCATCCCACGGTGTACTTGTTTTGTTTTCCCGGTATAGTATGGTTGTAATTGCAATCTATTTCGTCTCTCATGTCCATGCAGTCCATTTCTTTGTCACACCTAAACGACTTGTGACCTGAAATTCAATTTCTTACTATGGCGGCCGCTGTAATAAGTTGATGGTTTTCAAAGGTTACCGGATAATTTTATAAGACATACCAATAGGAATGCGTTTTTTAAAGGAGATTAAACTGTGAGAATTTTGAATACCGACCACAGTTTATCAATTTTCACCATAACAACATTCTGACCCTCTTCTCTAATAATTTGAATATTTTATCAAAATCAAATGATGAAACTAGAATTCTAACTCATCTCTATACGGACACGTTCATAAAAAGGTGGCACTAGAGATTGATTTTTCACTGCCAAAATTGTGTGAAGCATTTTAAAATACTTGTATCTCAATGAGTATGCTATGAAAGTTAACCAAATTTTAATATGTGGTCCAAAAAGATTCAAATATCACATAATTAAGTCATTCATCTCTTTATATCTGTTAATTGTGCAGATATGAGCCAGAAATCACAAAATATTCATTTCTTGCACCTCTAATGATGAATTTACATTCTGTGAGTGTGTCCTGCTTCTCAATGTGATTATTGAACCTTTTTGAGATAGTTGAGTGTTAAAAGTGCAAAGTATCACCGGTTAAATGTGGAGTTACGATGCAATTATCACACAGGGTTAATTCTGACTAAGTGTTTTAGAATGATGAATGTGATATGAATATCAACGGAACGATTGTAACAATGAACTCTATCAATCACAATTATATCATGCTAACTAATATTTAGAGAATTTAGATGGTTAAAAGTGCCATAATGAGTCAAAAATCACATAAATGAGCATGTATTGAAATTATGCAGTATCAGGGGAATGTATCACTTTTTGGCTCTATATCAGGTTGGTATTCATAGTAAATCTGCAGTAATTTGTTGTGACACTTGTTTATGGTCATGGAGAAGTTCGTTATTAGAGTAATAGTGGAATCAATAATCACAAAAAACTGATTTTAAACTGAGTAAACTAGGCAAGTACTTTTACAGCTCAAGCCATGATAATTTTGTCGCCATAATGTGACAAATGAATCATATCAGTAACATATAATACTTAATCGGATTTTTGAAATGTGATTATCGAATCATTACCTTTACTTTCAAAACGTCATTACAACTTGAACATTACGTATGATTCAATTATCACACTTTAAAGGAAATTACATATTTGGTAGCCAGATTTGTGTGATTTTTGAATCATTTAAGCACCGAGATCAAAAATTATCGCTCAAAGGCCTTCAATATGGTATAAGCTTAGACATGGATTCAAAAATCACATAATAAGAATCATAGAATGGATATAAATTGTCATATCGTGCACTTAATTTAAGGCTTACTATAGTGTGACTTAATAGCGCACCTTTAACGAAAATGTGATTTTTGAATCATATTAACTGGTTTTAATACTATTTAATACTATTTTGTACCCTAAAAAATGATAGAAAGCCAATAAAAACGTAAGATGATTCAATAATCACTGCTCAAAATAGGCTCATTTCCAACGTTTAAGTTGTGATTTTTGAATCATTTTGGCACCAATAACAATTTCAGATAAGACATTCCATTCCTTACATGAATTATAATCACCATATCAATTTTGACGTCTTTGTGAATAGTACTTTTCAGATTATCTAGTGTTGATTCATCTTGCATTTCTAATTGTGTGATATTTGAATCATTGGCACACAAATAACGATAACTCCTGTAATATAAGCACTAGAGACTCCGTGATTTCAGGATCATGAAATTTAATCGAATTTCTAAAGGTATAGATAGATATATCAACCAACAAAGAACAATGACTATTTTTAAAACGCATTTAAAAAAATCAATCTCTAGTGCCACCTTTTTTTTAACGTGTCCATACTGCACTGGATGCAGTTATCTTAAACACTTCCAAAACAAGATAGGTAATGAACCGTCCAACATCTGCAACAAATGCGAAGAGGAAACAGAAACCACAGAACATTACCTAACCATATGCCCAGCCTACGCACTAACAAGGAAACAAGTGTTTGGTAACTTTATCATCAATTCAGGTATATTCCACAATCCACACCCTCGCCTTTCCTAAGCCTATACTTAAATTTGCGCTTATTTTGAAGTACTTAGATTTTTATGATCCCCCTTAGCTTACTGTACAGCCAGATTATCTCCCTCACAGACTTACCACCTTGTTCTGGGCCGCCATTTCGGTGCTTAGTGACCAGCACCGTAGAGATATGCCAACTCTATGGTCAGAGTTTTAAGCTACCAATTTGACGAACCCCCTTTGATCTCGTTTCAGCTGTTGCTGTTCTTGAATGAGGGAAATGATCCAATATTATTTTATGCTATACCCGAGCCTACCCGACCTCCCTTTGTGACCTGCATTCCTTGTTTAATTGATGACAATCATTAACCACTTAAATACACAGGACTATACGTTCACAAGACCCCCCGATAGCAATCAGGATTGGATATCCACGTCCACCCTCAATATAGAAGAAGAGAAGAACATCCAACACCCAGGACCACTTTTTTCTTCGGCCCGTGGAGGGGCCCCGGTTTTTCCCTCCCTATATTTTTTTATATCCCTCTATTATTGTTACTATTGTTTCCATATTGTTATTTTCTATAACCAGTCGGCTCAGTTTGTTTTGGTCCGGGCCTTGCTTGCTGGCCCTGCCATGGCTCTCTAGCTTGGGCCGGTTCGACTTATATACAGTGGGGTGACATATGTTTTCGTCACTTCTGATAATGACAATACAAACAGTGTTAAACTAACAATTTTAATTGAACCATAACTCCGTTTCCGGACCACCGATTTACAAAATTCAAAAATAGGTGTTTAGAGAAAATTCTGAACTTTTCTCGTACTGTAGAAATTAAGTTCATTCGTACTTCAGAAGAGACTGGCAGGCCCTTAAATAAGGGGTTTGATCACGATAATGATAATATTTATGAAGGAGCACATGTTTTAATAGCAAGCTAAGAATATGTCTCTACTTTAACATTACCATGAAGTTTAAAACGGGATATCTTTGTACTGCATTGTTCGATTTCAATAAAATTGACATGGTAACAAGACCAAATGTTTCTCAATTGATTAAAATAAATACCGTTAGAGTAGAGTTGTCAATTTTCAGCCAGAGATATCATAAGTTTTCTATGCTAAGTTGGATATTGTGAAGACTTCCCTGTTCCTTAGTTTTAAGTGGTGTCAGAGATGTTACATCGTCACAAAATTTACTACAAATACGCCAAAGGGTCTGGACCTCGCACTAAACAAATTCTCCAGACTCGTAATTACACTCACTGCTAACAATATCGCGTGATGTGCACGCAAACTCGCGCGCATTCAGAAGTGACGAAAACATATGTCACCCCACTGTATATATACAGCTTATTAATCCTATGTTACCAGAACTCGCTCCTG